ATAATATTCTGATTGGCCCTGATTTTGAACCTTACATTGGAGACTTCGGCCTTGCTAAGCTTGTTGACGACGGCGACTTCACTCGTTCGTCCAAAACCATTGCTGGTTCCTATGGTTACATAGCTCCAGGTATTTTCCACATTTCTGTTCTGATACTAATTCATTGACTTGAATCATCATTGTCACTACTATAGTCTTATATTTATTGTCGGTTCATATGTCCATCTGTAGTTACTACTAGCATCATATATGTATTATCTATCGGGCATAATCTTAGAGATTCGTATGACGCCGTCTTCTACTATTGCAGAATATGGATATTCATTGAAGATAACAGAGAAAAGCGATGTGTATAGTTACGGAGTTGTGGTCCTAGAGGTACTAACAGGGAAGCAACCGATCGATCCAACGATACAGGACGGACTCCACATAGTGGACTGGGTCAAGAAAATTAGAGATATACAAGTAATCGACCAAGGACTACAAGCGAGGCCAGAGTCAGAGGTCGAAGAGATGATGCAAACGCTAGGAGTGGCGCTTCTCTGCGTGAACCCGGTACCTGAAGACAGGCCTACGATGAAAGATGTGGCTGCTATGCTCAGTGAGATACGTCAAGAAAGAGAGGAATCAGTGAAAGTTGTTGAGAACAATGGTTGCTCGGGAAGTTGTAACGATGGAGGAGAACGGAGAGATGATTCTTCGCATTCCTCTGTTATGCAGCAAGCGGCTAAGTATTTGAGAAGCAGTAGCACGAGTTTCTCTGCGTCTTCTTTGCTATACTCTTCTTCTTCCTCTACTTCTAATGCTAGACCAAATCTGAAATAGATGGGTAATTAAGTTTGTAAGGGAACAAGTTTTTCTACTTCTAAAGATGTTGTTTATCTATGTGACGTTGTGATGAACTCTGTTTCAACCTTAGAAATATCAGCTGAGCGATAATCTCATTTTACTCGTCAAGTGATAAACTTATTGACGTGTATAAGATGAATTATATATTTTTTTAACAAAAAAAGAAGAATATCTCCCTTCTTTAGTGGTTTCAAAAACTTTTAGTTACTCGTATCATGATGATAAATGTACCGATATAACACGTTACTAGATGCCATGGGTGAAAATAACACCAGGATTACATTTGAAAAGGGATACTAAGTTTTGAATCCGCGCACTTGCGCGGATTTCTTTTCATAAAATATTTTTAGGTGATACCAAAAATTGGTTCATATTAAATTTTTGTTTAAAAAAATTAGTTTATATTATTAAATCCAAAATTGTGGCCCAAACATAAATTTTTTATTAGATTATATAAACTATTTTTACGTTATGGTTTTATGTTCTTAAAATTATTTAGACTTGATATTCTAAAAAAAAAGATATTTTGATTGGCGGATTTCCGGTTAAATTTTGTAACAAATAGTTTCAAAGTATTATATTTTATAATGCAAGAGAGATTTTATTTATTTATAATTAAGATTTCAATATTTACTTAGGTTTTGTTTGTTTTTGCATCCATATACTTATTTGGATGTAAATATTCGAATATACTTTTTTAAAATATATGAATACAAAATCTATAATATCTCAAAATTTGAATATTTATGATGCTAAAAAAATAGAGTTTGGATGCAGCATTTGATTTTCAAAAATTAAAAGACCAAACTACATTTTTAATTTAAACCATAAAATCAAGTTTTTTCGTTGTCAAAACCATAAAATCAGAGTTTTCGATCGAAATAAAAGCCGCATTTTCCCGTAAAATACTAAAATTACGTTGTTGTACAAAAATCAGGAATTCCCATAGAAACTGTAAAAATAGCATTTTCTATCAAACAATATTTTTCTGCCAAAACTGTAAACCCATATTTTTTAACAAAATAAAAAATTACTAAAATTATGTTGTTGTACCAAAATCAGGAATTCCCGTAGAAACTGTAAAAATAGCATTTTTCATCAAACTGTATTTTTCTTCCAAAATTGTAAACCCACATTTTTTAACAAAATCAAAATTTTTGTTTTCCCCAACACCATAAAACAGTATTCTATGGCCAACTTTCTAAAATTACGTGTTTTTGTCAAACTTGCAAAATTACGTTTTTCATCAAACCCGCAAACCTGTATTTTCAATAAAATCCATAAAACCATATTTTCCATCAAACCTATAAACCCCGCCAAAATATGTAAACGTCGTAAAATTCGCAAAATTACGTTTCTGACCAAATCCACAAACCCATATTTTCCATAAATTTGTAATTTTTAAAATCATGTTTTACGACCAAATTTCTAAACTTATGTGTTTCTGCCAAACTTGCAAAATCGAGTTTCCAAACCCACAAACTCGCATTTTCCTGTATGACTATATTTTCCCTCTAAAACCCATAAAATCAGCAAAATATGCTTTATTCACATTCCGTAAACCCGTGTTTTCCCGTAAACCCCATAAAATCTGCAAAACCAAATTTCTAAAATTATGTGTTTCTGCTAAATCTACAACCACATTTTTGTTAAACCGACATTTTCTCATAAAAGTATATTTTCCGCTAGAACTTCTAAAACCCGTAATATCTACAAATTTGTGTTTGTCAAATCCGCAAAATCCATGATTTCCGGTAAAAGAATCATTAACAAACCATGAAATAATTATTTACATAATATTTTTTTCATAGTATTTTATATGTAACCAAAAAATAATGAGTACATATTCATCACTGACTATAAATTGTCACATTTAATAAATATCATATTAGCTTTTAAACATTTTAAAGTAGTGCTTTTTAAGTTTTTTTAATTGTATAAAGAAGAAATTGATTATGATATCATATATATTTAATTTATAATATAACATATATAATTATATTAATTATTTGTGCCATATATATTTTATGGTAATTATGTTAAGATATTATTATGAAAGATTTTGAAATAATTTTGAAATTATATTAATTTGAATTTTATTAAATATCAGATATAATTTATTGTTATTATCTGTTATCAAACTAATATAATTTAATTTAATCTAATGCATTTTTAGTAGTTTAATGATATGACTAAATTACTCTTAATGAATTAATGAAATTGTCTAATAAATGTAATGACATATATTGTAAATACCATGATAGCTTTTGAATATTTATTAAGAATGATTCTCTTTTAATAGTATAGATATCGATATCTCGTTTAGTCCCTATGGTCTCTCTCTTTTTAAGCCTTCAAGTGTTTTATGTTAACATATGGTGGAATTACATTTTTTTTTGTAAAATTGCAAACGTTTGCGGTACACTTTGTATATACATTTTTTGAAAAATTGAAAAATGTTCCGTTTTTTTCTTTTCTTTTAATGTAATTACATGTTTGAATGCAAATGAAGAATAAAATATGGAAACAACCGGAGTCCTGGTCCAAATGAAACATTTCAATCGAATATTATATAGTTGTTTGATATCAAAGTTTTAAAAGTTTTATTAGTGCTTATTTCAAAGATAAAAGAGCAATCGAGTACAAGAAACAATAACATTAATTAGGAAAAGGGATATTTGAGAATTTAGAGGATTTCGGGTTACAGCAACAAGTTAATCCTGAACAGTAGCCTCCACTAAAGCCTAAGTTACCGCAGAGTGTGTCACAGTCTGGACAAATGGGGTCGTACCGTGATCTTGCTTCTGATCCTTGTAATTTTTTTATGTTCATATCCCGAAAACCAAGCATACATATCACCAGTATGATGCAATTTAGTTATAACCCTTCAATATATTTATCAATAATAAATATTAGAAGAGCAACAACATTTTTTTTTGGTGTGGGACGAGAAGAACTTTTGTTATGCTCTTCCAAAATTTGAAACTTTCATTGTGAATAATCGTTGATCATTATAAGCATTATACTATTTTATGTTACTTGATTTACCTGTGAGGAGGAACACTGCAATGACAAAAACCATAATGAAAATGTATGGAAATCTCTGAATATCCATTACTTGTTTATTTCTTTCGGTTTTTCTATCTGTGGTATGAATAAGATACTGTGAATTCTTATTATTAATAATATTAGATTTGAAGCTCACGAGTCTCTTATATAGAGCAAATTCTGAAATCTTAGTCATGTATATATATATATATATATATTTTATAATAGTCATGTATTTCTATGAGAGGTCAGATTCAAATCCATAAAATTTGGTGGAAAAATGAATTACTATATAATTCTTTTTTGGTAAAAGATGAATTTGTATACAATAACTTTGACTTTTTATATTATTAAAACATATATTTTTCTAACTATGCTAAAAAATTAGAATAATAAATTATATGCCACTGGACTCAAAATCAACAACTATAGTTATAAACAATTAACTAAATAAAAAATCAACATAAATTTATGACAATTAATCATGGTAAAATCAACTATCATTTTTGTTAGATTTTTTTAAAACAAAATATTATCAAATAAAATTTAATCAAAGTAAGTATCTGTATTTTTTTCAATAATACAGTGTGATGTAGATAAATTTAGTGTTTTACGGGTTTTAACGTGACCACATAACAAAATATTTTAATCTATTATACAACACAATAAATATATATATAAAATATTCATATAATTAAAATATATATAAAATTTAATTTAATTTCATAATCGATGATATGTTTCATGTAGCTTGTTACTATATAATAGTAATCAGGTTTATTGTTTGTTTTTTTTTCTTTTGCCTATTAGTTATGATAGAACTATGTGATTGTTTCGGTTTCTCATTCCAATCAACGTTTTCGCTTTAGATTTTATATGGTATGTCTGCATTCACATTCATAAGTTGATTTTTCACAACATTTGATATTTTAAAATAATTATTTTGTTAATTTTAATGTAAATTTCAAATGCAAACAAAAGAATAGCTATTTGTATTTAATCTTTGAGATACATTTTGTATATACCTATGTTTCTTATGTGAATTTATTCTTTAAAGCGATTTCACATGTGAATGTAGATGAAAAAAGGAGGAGACAAATGTAGTTTAGCCAAAAGTTTCAATACATATATGTTTTGTATATAAGTTTAAAACTTTATTAGATTTTATTTTATACAATCAGAGAGCAATCAAGATTAACGTAAACAATTAAAGGAGGTGGGATATCATATAGAAGGTTTAAAGGATTTTGGTTTTGCAGCAACACGTTAATCCATTACAGTAGCCTCCAGCATGATACCCTAAGCTACCACATAGTGTCTTGCAGTTTGGTACAATTTCAGGTGAGCATACCCCCGGACACTTGGGATCATATATCTCTGCTCTTGCTTTTGATCCTGTAAATATGATTTTATGTTATTATCATCATCAAACAGTCATACTGCTTTTGACATATTTTTTAAATGTATATTATAAACTTGCAAAATTTTAAATAAATGCCAAATCTGAAATTTTCATTGTGAATAATAGTTGATCATATCTAAAAGTTATAAGCATTAATATTATTTTGACTGACCTATGGCGAGAAACATTATAATGACAAAAACTGCAATGAAAATGTACGAGGATCTCTGAATATCCATTACTTGTTTTGTATGACCTGTGACGAGTAAGATCTTGTGAATTCTTATTATTTGAATGTTTCTGGAGTAATTCTAAATTTGTAGCTCAAATCCTTTATATAGGGCAAATTCTGAAATCTTAGTCATTTATATCTCTATCAAAGTTCAGATTCAAAACTATCAAATTTGGTGGAAAAAATGAATTTGTGTACAAAGTCGTTGACTTTTTGTATTAAAAATATATATACCTGATTATACTAGAAATTTTAAAAATATCGTTAAGAAGGTGTATTCAAAGTAGAATTTAGAGTGATTTGTATTAAATTTATAAACTTTCTGTTATTATAACATTTATTTTAATAATTTGTTTAAACTTCAGTTTTATTGAACTAGTGATTTCAAAATGTATCTTCAAATTTATTGTTATTAGGAATCATTTAAATAATAGATTTAAGAAATTTAGAGTGATTTTAAGATATTTTGATAGAATTTTCTAGTTGAAAATATAAAAAAATAAAAATCTCATAGTTTTGGGTTGAGTTTGATAAAATTTTGATAGAAAATCATCAATCTCCATAATTCAACCAAATAACCTAAAACCGCATTAAAATTCAAATCATTTTAAATGGTAAGTTGAATACACCCCCCTTAAAATCTAAAATATTAAATCATATGCCATTGAACCAAAAATCAACAATTATACTTATAAACAATTAACTCAATAAAAATTAACACAAATTTATTATATTTAATTATCGTAAAATAAACAAAAAAAATATAAAACTTTACCAAGTATTTGGTATATTTTTAAAAAAATATACATAAACCACATACAACATATTATCAAATAACATTTAATCATATTAACTATTTATATTTTTTAATAATACAATGTGATATAAATAAATTTAATGTTTTACGGTTTTTTACGTGACCCACACAACAAAATATTAATATATTATACAATACATTAAATATATATTAAAAATAGTTTCATATTATTAAAATATATATAAATTTATTTTAATTTCAAAATTGATGATATCTGTCATGTAGCTTAATACTATTTAGTAGTATTGATAGATAGTTAGGTTTATTGCTTGTTTTTTTTTTTTCTATTTTCCTATTATCTATGATATAATTATTTTGATTGTTTCGGTTTCAATTGACCCATTCCAATCAACGTTTTTGATTTAATTTCCATATGATATGTCTGTATTCACTCTCATAAGTTGATTTTTCACAACATTTGATATTTTAAAATAAATATTTTGTTAATTCTAATGTAAATGACAAATGCAAACAAAAGAATAGCTGTTTGTATTTAATCTCTGCGATACATTTTGTATATATCTATGTTTATTATGTGAATTTATTCTTTAAAGCAATTTCACATGTGATGTAGATGAAAAAAGGAGGAGACAAATGTAGTTTAGCCAAAAGTTTCAATACATATATGTTTTGTATATAAGTTTAAAACTTTATTAGATTTTTATTTTATATGATAAGAGAGCAATCAAGATTAACGTAAACAATTAAAGGAGGTGGAATATCATATAGAGGGTTTAGAGGATTTTGGTTTTGCAGCAACACGTTAATCCTTTACAGTAGCCTCCAGCATGATACCCTAAGCTACCACATAGTGTCTTGCAGTCTGGTACAATTCCAGGTGAGCATACTCCTGGACACTTGGGATCATATATCTCTGCTCTTGCTTCTGATCCTGTAAATATGATTTTATGTTATTATCATCATCAAGCATTCATATTGCTTTTGACATATTTTTTATATGTATATTATAAACTTGCAAAAATTTAAATAAAACGCCAAATCTGAAATTTTCAATATAAATAATCGTTGATCATATCTAATAGTTATAAGCATTAATATTATTTTGACTGACCTATGGAGAGAAACATTACAATGACAAAAACTGCAATGAAAGTGTATGAGGATCTCTGAATATCCATGACGAGTAAGATTTGTGAATTCTTATTATTTGAATGTTTCTGGAGTAGTTCTAAATTTGAAGCTCAAGTCTTTTATATAGGGCAAATTCTGAAATCTTAGTCATTTATATCTCTATCAGGGATCAGATTCAAATCTGTCGAATTTGGTGGAAAAATGAATTTGTGTACAAAATTGTTGACTTTTTGTATTACTAATATATATACTTGATTATACTTAAAATTTTAAAATATCATTAAGGAGGTGTATTCAAAGTAGAATTTAGAGGGATTTGTATTAATTTTAAAAACTTTCTGTTATTGAAACATAAATTTTTAAAAACTGTTAAAAATTCAGTTTTATTGAACTAGTGATTTGAAAATGTATCTTCAAATTCATTGTTATTAGAAATAATTTAAATAATAGATTTAACAAATTTGGAGTGATTTTAAGATATTTTGGTGGAATTTTCTAAATGAAAATTAAAAAATAAAAATCTCTTGGTTTTAGGTGGAGTGTGAATCTCCATAATTCAACCAAATCATCTAAAAACTCATTAAATTCAAATTATTTTAAATGTTAAACCCCCCCCCCCCCCCCCCCCCCCCCCCCCCCCCCCCCAGAATCTAAAATATTAAATCATATGCCATTGAACCAAAAATCAACAATTATACTTATAAACAATTAACTCAATAAAAAATTAACACAAATTTATTATATTTAATTATGGTAAAATAAAAAAAATATAAAACTTTACCAAGTATTTGGTACATTTTTTAAAAAATATACATAAACCACATACAACATATTATCAAATAAAATTTAATCAGATTAACTATTTATATTTTTTAATAATACAATGTGATATAGATAAATTTAATGTTTTACGGTTTTTTATGTGACCCACACAACAAAATATTAATCTATTATACAATACATTAAATATATATTAAAAATAATTTCATATGATTAATATATATATAAATTTATTTTAATTTCATAATTGATGATATCTGTCATGTAGCTTAATACTATTTAGTAGTATTGATAGATAGTTAGGTTTATTGCTTGTTTTTTTAATTTCTATTTTCCTATTATCTATGATATAATTATTTTGATTGTTTCAGTTTCGATTGACCCATTCCAATCAACGTTTTTGCTTTAATTTCCATATGGTATGTCTGCATTCACTCTCATAAGTTGATTTTTCACAACATTTAATATTTTAAAATAATTATTTTGTTAATTGTAATGTAAATGACAAACGCAAACAAAAGAATAGCTGTTTGTATTTAATCTATGTGATACATTTTGTATATATCTACATTTCTTATGTGAATTTATTCTTTAAAGCAATTTCACATGTGATGTAGATGAAAAAAGGAGGAGACAAATGTAGTTTAGCCAAAAGTTTCAATACATATATGTTTTGTATATAAGTTTAAAACTTTATTAGATTTTATTTTATACAATAAGAGCGCAATCAAGATTAACGTAAACAATTAAAGTAGGTGGGATATCATATAGAGAGTTTAGAGGATTTTGGTTTTGCAGCAACACGTTAATCCTTTACAGTAGCCTCCAGCATGATACCCTAAGCTACCACATAGTGTCTTGCAGTCTGGTACAATTCCAGGTGAGCATACCTCCGGACATTTGGGATCATATATCTCTGCTCTTGCTTCTGATCCTGTAAATATGGTTTCAGGTTATTATCATCATGAAGCATTCATATTGCTTTTGACATGTTTTTTAAATGTATATTATAAACTTGCAAAAATGTTAATAGAACACCAAATCTGAAATTTTCATTGTGAATAATCATTGATTATATCTAATAGTTATAAGCATTAATATTATTTTGACTGACCTATGGCGAGGAACATTACAATGACAAAAACTGCAATGAATGTGTATGATGATCTCTGAATATCCATGATGAGTAAGATCTTGTGAATTCTTATTATTTGAATGTTTTTGGAGTAGTTCTAAATTTGAAGCTCAAGTTCTTTATATAGGCAAATTCTGAAATCTTAGTCATTTATATCTCTATCAGAGATCAGATTCAAATCTGTCGAATTTTGGTGGAAAAATGATTTGTGTACAAAATCGTTGACTTTTTGTATTACTAATATGTATACCTTATTATACATGGAAATTTTAAAATATCATTAAGTTGGTGTATTCAAAGTAGAATTTAGAGGGATTTGTATTAATTTTAAAAATCTTCTGTTATTGAAACATAAATTTTAAAAAATTGTTTAAAATTCAGTTTTATGGAACTAGTGATTTGAAAATATATCTTCAAATTCATTGTTATTATAAATAATTTAAATAATAGATTTAAGAAATTTGGAGTGATTTTAGGATATTTTTGGTAGAATTTTCTAAATGAAAAAAAAAATCTCATGGTTTTGGGTGGAGTTTGATAAAATTTTGATAGCAAATCATAACAATCTCCATAATTCAACCAAATCATCTAAAAACTCATTAAATTCAAATTATTTTAAATGTTAAGTTGAATACACCCCCCTTAGAATCTAAAATATTAAATCATATGCCATTGAACAAAAAATCAACAATTATACTTATAAACAATTAACTAGATAAAAAATTAACAAAAATTAATGATATTTAATTATGGTAAAATCAACAAAAAATCTAAAACTTTACCAAATATTTGGTACATTTTTAAAAAAATATATATAAACCACATACAACATATTATCAAATAAACTTTAATCAGATTAAGTATTTATATTTTTTAATAATACAATGTGATGTTGATGAATTTAGTGTTTTATGGTTTTTTACGTGACCCACACAACAAAATATTAATCTATTATACAATACGTTAAATATATATTCAAAAAATAGTTTCATATGATTAAAATTTATATATATATATATATATATTTAATTTAATTTCATAATTGATGATATCTGTCATGTAGCTTATTACTATTTAGTAGTATTGATAGATAATCAGGTTTATTGCATGGTTTTTGTTTTCTATTTCCCTATTATCTATGATAAAATTATTTTGATTGTTTCGGTTTCAATTAACTCATTCCCATCAATGTTTTCGCTTTAATTTTCATATGGTATGTCTGCATTCACTTTCATAAGTTGATTTTTCACAACATTTGATATTTTAAATAATTATTTTGTTAATTGTAATGTAAATGACAAACACAAATAAAAGAATAGTTGTTTGTATTTAATCTTTGCGATACATTTTGTATATATCTATGTTTCTTATCTGAATTTGTTCTTTAAAGCAATTTCACATGTGAATGTAGATGAAAAAGAGGAGTAAATGTAGTTTAGCCAAAAGATTCAATACATATATGTTTTGTATATAAGTTTAAAACTTTATTAAATTTTATTTTATTCGATAAGAGAGCAATCAAGATTAACATAAACAATTAACGGAGGTGGGATATCATATAGAGGGTTTAGAGGATTTTGGGTTTGCAGCAACATGTTAATCCTTTACAGTAGCCTCCAGCATGATACCCTAAGCTACCACATAGTGTCTTGCAGTCTGGTACAATTCCAGGTGAGCATACCCCCGGACACTTGGGATCATATATCTCTGCTCTTGCTTCTGATCCTGTAAATATGATTTTATGTTATTATCATCATCAAGCATTCATATTGTTTTTGACATATTTTTTTAATGTATATTATAAACTTGCAAAAATTTAAATAAAACGCCAAATCTGAAAACTTCATTGTGAATAATCGTTGAGTATATCTAATAGTTATAAGCATTAATATTATTTTGACTGACCTATGGCGAGGAACATTACAATGACAAAAACTGCAATGAAAGTGTATGAGGATCTTTGAATATCCATTACTTGTTTTGTATGACCTGTGATGAATAAGATCTTGTGAATTCTTATTATTTGAATGTTTGTGGAGTAGTTCTAAATTTGAAGCTCAAGTTCTTTATATAGGGCAAATTCTGAAATCTTAGTCATTTATATCTCTATCAGAGATCAGATTCAAATCTGTCAAATTTGGTGAAAAAATGAATTTGTGTACAAAGTCGTTTTTATATGGTATGTCTGCATTCACTTTCATAAGTTGATTTTTTCACAACAGTTGATATTTTGTTAATTGTAATGTAAATATCAAACGCCAACAAAAGAATAGATGTTTGTATTTAATCTTTGCGATACATTTTGTATATATCTTCAAATCTTATATGAATTTATTTTTTTACAGAAATTTTGCATGTGAATGTAGATCAAAAAAAGGAAGACATATATCAATCATAATATAGAATTTAACTGATAGACTAGGGTATGTTCCGCGCTATGCGCGGATTCTGTTATTTATTTTCATTTACAAATTATTTTTAAAAATTATGTTTTGAACTTATATATTTACATTGATGACATTATATGTGATTTAAAATTACTATAAATATGAAGTAACACATAAGATTCAGTTTAAAAACTTAATTATTGAGTTATCTTCGTTATATTGTGCCGACAAAAACTATCTTAACTATTGATTAAACTGGAATTTAAAACCATTCATACCCAGGTGAATGATAGATCTAATTACACGCATTACACTTTATCATTTCGATTTGGGTAAGAAACAACTGGATATATTAAACAGAAAATTAAAGGAAACCGCCAGTTGATCTTCATCACTTAGAGCTGATGATAATGTTTTGAAAAATAGTATGTTGTCTAGCCATCTATATTTTGTAGAGTTATGCGACAAATTAATGGTGTCTAATACATTGCAAGAGTTGGCTATTTTGTTTTCAAGGAAAGTGTTATGCTGATTTCCTAGCTAGCCCATTCAATAGGTGAAAATGAGATTCTTTGTGTGTAAGAATCGCTATATATATTTATTGAAAACACTATCAACCATTGTGTAAAAAATATATAAATTTATATGTTTGGTTTAATTGAATTTGAGATATAATTTAACTAAAATATTTTAACAGAAAACCATTTATACTTCCAAATACGATCACAATGAACTCAAATACATGTTTGTGTTATTAAACTTTATTTCCTTATATTTCGATCTTAGCATTATATATGCCGAAAGGTGGTTGTTGCAATTGATAGTTATAAATTAGTAGTTTTTTCATACTTGTCATGATCTCATGCATAATCAATATGTTTAATTTATTAGTCGACTTGTCATAAAAAAGTTTATTTATAACCTAATTCGAATTACAATAGACTATAGGCTATCAATCCAGATGTAAATTAGAAACGAAAATCTAACAAATTAGCCAGCAAGAACAAACAAAGCGTAAGATTGAACAAACAAATTGATGTTGCATATGATATCAGATTTGGAACTGACGTCCTTCAAAATCGCTTGATCTCTTATTAAATCCAGCTTAAACTGTTCGAAAAGCTAGAATTCGAAAGGTTATAACGTCGATGATTTGATATATCATATATGTAATTAAATGTGTAATAAACATCCTAAGTGATATCTTTCCGAGGGAAAGAGACGAAAATATTAAATAGATTGGGGTTTAGGAGAAGAAGTGATAGATAACACAAAAAGATAATTAGAAGTGGCCATGTGGCATGATTTTAGGAGATTTTTTTGGCTGATGTGGATAGCCTAAAGAGCCCCAAATAGTCCCTTTTATTTAGTATAGATTAGTAATTAGTGATATCTTTTATATCTAAATTAAATTAGTGAGTGCACCATAAATAAATTACTTGTATTATTAACATATATCAAACATAATATATTTCATTTTGATTAAAATTATTAATAAATTTACAATTAGCTCACAATCATATTATAATAAATATAAAATAATATTATATTTATTGTATACTAAATTTTGGAAAAGGTCTAAATTAATAACTTGTTTTTAATTAACTTATAATATCCAAATTTATTACTGATCAAATTAGTTGTATAATTACCATATCAAATTTAATAAATGCATTTTAGCCTAAAGAAATTAATAGATGGATTTTGATATTAACACGATAAGATTTGTATTATTAATAAAATTACAAAAATAAATTTTTAATAAGATTTTATAATTGATTTTAATATTTTTTTATTTTATACCATATAATTGTATAATTATTTTAACCTGTAAAGAGCAGTCATAAAATATCAATTTTTTAATAAAGAAAAAATCATTATAAAATTTATTTTCAAACACTATATATACATAAGAATTAAATAAATATATATTAAATATTTGTTAAGTTTAATATTGTTAATATGTTATCTAAAATTATATATAATTGAATCTATATTTACAACTATTAATTTTCTGATCCAATCAAAATATTTTTAATATAAAACATTTTGATTAAATTATTATATAATATCCTACAATTGTTTTTAAACTTTTTATCTAAGTTATTTTGTTTGCATAAATTAAAATTTGATAATATTGCACTTTCTACACAAAACTAAAATACTTAAGCTATTTCTTATATTTTGAAAATTTTATATAATATTTTAAACTTTTTATCCAACTTATGTATTTATTTTATTTGGTTAATTTATATAGTTCTATTAAACCAAAGATTACATTACAATAAATGTCAATCAATCCAAACTTCGTACTTTTACAAACTTTTTTAGCATTTAAGTTTTTTTATAATAATTTATGAACCATTTATTGATCCACATATCTTCGTTTCTAATGTGAAAACTTTTAAAGCCTAACTTTATTTATTAATAATTTCAGTAATTTATATTCATTTTAAAATAGTTCGGATTATAATACAAGTACAAACAAATCTATATATTTTTTACTATATGAATGATCTGATAATTTATTTATTTTACAAAATAAGTTTAAATAAAAATATAAAAAAAAACTACATTTTTGGTAGAAAATATAATTAAGTAAATAATAGATATGATATATTTTTGGTAAAAAATAAAAAGAAAAGAGAATATCTTAATAAATTAAATGCTAATTTATAAATAATTGATATAAACTATTGTACCTAATTATTGTGAGTGACATAACATGTAATTAATCTAGTAACATAAATCTATTTCTATATATTTGCTGAGAATGATTTTGGTGATGACACATCAGCAAAATGACACTATTGTAAATAACTTAAAAAATTAAGGTTACTTTCAAAAAATGTTTCTCAATTAATATATAGGGAAAATTAACTAAACAACAATTATACATATAAACAAATAACTAAACAGAAAATTAACATAAATTTATGATATTTAATTATTGTAAAATCAACAAAAATCTAAAAATTTACCAAATATTTGGTAGAATTTTTTGAATATATATATACCACATACAATATATTATCAAATAAAACTTAATCAGATTAAGTATTTGTATTTTTTTTTAAAATATTGTGTGATGTAGATAAATATAGTGTTTTACAGTTTCTTGTGTGACCACACAACAAGTATTTTAAATATACTATATGGCACATTACATATATATATTTAAAAAACAGTTTCATATAATTGATTTATATTTAAATTTTATAATTAATATTATGTTTCATGTAACTTATTATTATTTATAATAAAATTATTTAGTTTTCGGCATCGATTGACCGAATTCAATCAAGGTTTTCGCTTTAATTTACTTATAGTATGTCTACATTAACTTTCATAAAATTATTTTTTCATAACATTTGATTTTTTGAAATAATTAATTTGTTAATTGTAATGCAAATGTCAAACACAAAAACAAATATATGTTTGTATTTAATCTTTGCGATACATTTTGTGTGTATATATATATATGTTTTGTATATTAATTTTTAAAACAAGATGAAAAAAAGACAACCGTAGTCCAGCCAAAAGTTTCTATGTATATATATATATATATATATATATATTGTATATAAATTTAAATCTTTATTAGATTTTATTTCATACGATAAGAAAGCAATCGAGATTCACATACACATTATTAAAGGAGGTGGGATATCATAGAGGGTTTAGAGGATTTTGGTTTACAGCAACATGTGTATCCTTTACAGTAGCTTCCAGGAAATCCTAAGCTACTGCATAGTGTGTTGCAGTCCGGTTCAATTCCAGGTGAGCATATCCCAGGACACTTGGGATCATATATCTCTGCTCTTGCTTCTGATCCTGTAAATATGATTTTTTGCTATCATCATCATCAAGCATTCACATTGTTTTTAATATATTTTATAATTGTATATTATAAACTTGCTAAAATTTATGTAAAATTCTAAATCTGAAACTTTTCATTGTGAGTAATCGTTGATCATATCATGATAATATAAGCATTAATCTTATTTTGCATAGTTAACTGACCTGTGATCAAGAACATTACAATGATAGAAACCACAATGAAAGCGCACAAACATCTCCAACTATCCATTACTTGTTTTTCAATTGTTTATATAATATGAGTGATATTTTGTGAATCGTTTTAATTTAGATGTATTTGATGTAGTTTTAGAGATTTTAAGCTCCCTTATATAATCAAACTTTGATATATGAGTTGTGTATATATTTATAAGATGTTAGAGTTGCACCTATTCAATTTGCTAAGACAATTAATTAGTGAATGATTTTTCATTTTCTAGCAATAAATGCTAATTAGTATATGATTATTGGGAAAATTGGAAAAAAATAACACTTTGACTATGAGTTTGTAACAATATACTTTCAAATCTTTTGTCCATATTTTTACTAAATTAATCTTAACCAAGTAATAAATAATATTAAATATTTTAAGAAAAAATATATTGAAAATCTAAAATATCCTAATAAAAATTATTGATCTTTTTGTTTTAAAAAAATTTAAATACTTTTTTCTAAACTTCATATATGTTCTGCAAAGTTTAGAATATCTACTCTATAATTTATACATGTTTACGAAATTAATAATATGTATTCTTTATTTTGTACAACTAACCAAATAGAACTTACAAAAAAACTTTTTACAGAAATATATCTGTTACTTATTAGTTATTACATATATGAAAGATTATATATGATCAAAATAAACATTTTTCAGAGAGTATTTGTATATCATAAATTATAGAAAATGTAAATCAGGTTATATATATATTTATGTTAAATTTGTAAGAAATGGTGAAAAGTTTTTATTGAAAAAATCAACACTAAACAGTGATTAATCGTTAACAAATCCTCAAATATTTTTTACCATAAAATATATATATATATATATGTTTTTTGTCAACAATTTTTATCATTTTATGATATCAGGTAAACAATATTTTTTAATCCTAAAAATCCCATAATTAAATCGTTTTTCACAATAAAATTAAAATAATATCAAAAATCCTCAAATATAGTGAAAATAATATCAAATTTTTGATACGAACATGGATACCATAAAAAATCCTCAAATATTTTTTACCATAAAATTATACGAACATGGATAGTTAAAATATATAAACATAACGCATTCTAGTTTTTATCTCTATATATATATGTTTATATATTTTAACCATCCATGTTCGTATATATATAAGAACTTCCTCCAGTGAAATTGAAGTTTATTCTAACGAGTTTGGAGCATCTTCTTACAACATATAATTAATGGCAACTAATATATTGTCATCTCTTCTACTTTCTTCGTTGTTGGTGTTTGCTTTCTTCCTTATGCCAATGATATCAGGTAAAATTTTGTTTATTTATATAAATCATATTAAATGCAAAATAAATACACTTTCTCTACAATATAATATGGTGAAAAACTTTTAGCTGGGAATTTTTTGAAAACTGGAATATTTCCATCGGTTACGTCAAAGAAAAAAAATACCAATGTGGTTGTATTCATATTTACATGGCAAAATATTATATTTACAATATTATCTTGTAATGTCTCTTTAATTTATCATTTTTAAGATTTGCATTTACTATTTCATGAAGAAAACAGTTCAGTCAACTCCATGAAAAAATTCACCTTTGTGTTTCTTGGAGGTGGCAATTGTTTTTTGTAAAAATAGGTCATACCTTTTAGAAGAAATGTTGATTATGGATCGGATTTTTAATTTAAGACAAACCTTCTACAGTTTGTATCGTAATGGTGAAAAGATAGTATTTTTTTGGAAAAAAAAAAATGAATCACAATCAGAAGTAGAGATGTGCACTAGTAAGAAAAATTCACTATAGTGTATTTAAAATCTTGTAAATGTGTTTTGTTTATGAACTAAACAGGACAAATGGTACCATGCCTACCTGGGGAATGTACAGACTCAGCAGCATGCGATGCAGCTTGCAAATCTAAAGGAAACGAAGGAGGCGCTTGTATACTCATCAGTGTTGACGCAAAGTCCGGTGATTGTTGCTGCAAAGCTAATAATTTTGAATCTCTTGATGATTCTTCCATATCTGATGCCACCAATGTCATTACTAATTAATTTCATCATTTTATAGATAAGTACTTTTATTATCATATGAATAAGAAAACATTTATAAAAATATGTTTGAGTATGGATTCTATATCCCATATAACGGTATTATAATGTGGTTCCCGTTTGACGATCTAGAATATTTATGCTAAACAAAATTATCACTCAAATACTAATTTGGTACTTAACTTTATAGATATGTACGAATCATGATTCGTAAGGCCTCAAACATCAGCGTGTTGTGATGATATTCATGTTGCCACACTACAAGAAAAAAAGTATATACCATCACTTATAAAGTATCATTAAAAAAACTGATTCTATTTAGAATCACTAATTAAAAATTGATACAAAATATAAAATTTTCCATCAATTTTTTAATTGATATTAATCTTAACTTGACTAGTATCAATTTAAAATAATTGATACTAATACTAACTTGATTAACATCAACTAAAAAAAAATTGATACAAATCATTATTAATTTATATCACTTTTGAAAAACTAACACAAATATATAAGTTTACATCAATTATATAATTGAAGCATTTGATCAACTGATATTAGTATCAATAATAAATGACGCTAATATTTCTTTCAGTTATAAAAGTGATGCAAATAAAATTTTCACTAAACAACTATTTGTCCCACATTGCTAAGAATGACGAAGAGTACTAGTTTTCTCCTCTATCAAAAAAACTCATCAACACTAAATTTTTTTTATGTTAAATCATATGTATAAATTTATATACATTTCTTAGAATAACAAATATAAAATTATTAGTTATCTTAACTTTTTAATATTATAAAAATTAACACAAAAAAAATTAATTAAAATGAATTTTAATATCTATGAATTTTAATAAATAATACATTTATTATAACTGATATTAATATCATTTATTTTAAGTGATGTAAATATTAATATCATTTATTTTAAGTGATTTAAATATTAATATCATTTATTGCAAATGATATATATTAATATCAATTAATATAAGTGATAAAAATAATTGCATCATTAATAATATTGATATAAATGATTAGCATCACCATTTCCAGAGTTATTTAATTAAATGATGCAACTGAATTTGCATTAATAAAAAAATGATATTAACAAATAAAATAAATGATACAACACATAATTTCTTGTAGTGCCATACCAAACTTAAGAAGATTTTCGTTTAATACCACAACCACAAATCACAAATGCCGTTACATTAGTCAGATATCCAAAACACGTAGCACCAGGTCCACATTTGTATTAATTATGACACAACATAACTAATTGTTTGTTGGACAAAACTTTTATGTGATTTGGAAATGTCGTGAATATATATATTCATCGCCCTGGCTCCTACATTCACTTTCATACAATTATATTTCCACAACATTTGACTTTTTGAAATAATTAATTTGTTAATTGTAATGCAAATGTCAAACACAAAAACAAATGTATGTTTGTATTTAATCTTTGCGATACATTTTGTGTGTATATATATATGTATAGATATATATAGATATATATTTGTTTTGTATATTATTTTTTTATTCAAAATGAAAAGAAAAAAGGACAACCGTAGTCCAGCCAAAAATTTCTATATATATTTATTTTTTATATAAATTTAAATTTTTATTAGATTTTATTTCATACGATAAGAAAGTAATCGAGATTCACATATATAATATTAAAGGAGGTTGATTATCATATAAAGGGTATGGAGGATTTGGGTTTCCAGTAACACGTGTATCCTTTACAGAAGCTTCCAGGAAACCCTAAGCTATTACAGAGTGTGTTGCAGTCTGGTGTAATTCCAGGTGAGCATATCCCCAGACATTCGAAATTATATATCTTTGCTCTTGCTTCTGATCCTATAAATATAATTTTGTGTTATCATCATCATCAAGCATTCACATTGCTTTTGATATATTTTATAATTGTATATTATAAACTTGCTAAAATTTATATAAAACTTCAAATCTAAAACTTTTCATTGTGAATAATCCTTGATCATATCATGATATTATTAGCATTAATCTTGTTTTGTGTAGTTAGTTGATCTGTGATCAAGAACATTACAACGATAGAAACCACAATAAAAGCGTACGAAGATCTCCGACTATCCATTACTTGTTTTTCAATTGTTTTATATGATATGAGTGATATCATGTGGATTGTTTTAATTTGGATGTATTTAATGTAGTTTTATAGATTTGAAGCTCTCCTTATAGTCAAACTTTAATATATGAGTTGTGTATATATTTATAAGATGTTAAATTTACACCTATTCAATTTGGTAAAACAATTAATTAGTGAATGATTTTTCTTTTTCTAGCAATAAATGCTAATTAGTGTATGATTATTGGAAAGATTGGAAAAATAACACTTTGACTATGAGTCTATGAGTTTATAACAATATACTTTCAAATCTTTTGCCCATATTTTGACTAAATTAATCTTAACCAAATAATAAATAATATTAGATAATTTAAGAAAAAAATATACAAAAGTCTAAATAATTCTAATAAAAATTATTGATCTTAAGTTTTTTTTTTAAAAGCATTGTTAACATAACTAATTCTAGTTTTTATCTCTATATATATGTTTATATATTTTAACCATCCATGTTCGTATATATAAAAACTTCCTCCAGTGAAATTGAAGTTTATTCTAACGAGTTTGCAGCATCTTCTTACAACATATAATTAATGGCAACTAATATATTTTCATCTCTTCTACTTTCTTCATTGTTGGTGTTTGCTTTCTTCCTTATGCCAATGATATCAGGTAAAATTTTGTTTATTTATAATTAAATCATTTTAAATGCAAAATAAATACACTTTCTCTACAATATCATGGTGAAAAACTTTTAGCTGGGATTTTTTGAAAACTGGAATATTTCCATCGGTTACGTCAAAGAAAAAAATACCAATGTCTTTGTATTCATATTTACATGGCAAAATATTATATCTACAGTTTTATCTTGTAATTTCTCTTTAATTTATCATTTTTAAGATTTGTATTTACTATTTCATGAAGAAAAACAGTTCAGTAAACTCGATGACGAAATGTCACTTTTGTGTTTCTTGAAGGTGGCAATTTTTTTTAATAAAAATAGGTCATACCTTTTAGAAGAAATGTTGATTATGGATCAGATTTTTAAGTTAAGACAACCCTTCTACAGTTTGTATCGTAATGGTGAAAAGATGCATTTTCTAAAAAAAAAAGTTGAATCACAATCAGAAGTAAAGATGTGCACTAGTAAGAAAAATTCACTATAGTGTATTTAAAATCTTGTAAATGTGTTTTGTTTATGAACTAAACAGGACAAATGGTAATATGCCTACCTGGGGAATGTACAGACTCAGCAGCATGCGATGCAACTTGCAAATCTAAAGGATACCAAGGAGGCGTTTGTGTATTCATCAGTGTTGACGCAAAGTCCGGTGATTGTTGCTGCAAAACTAAGAATTTTGAATCTCATGATGATTCTTCCATATCTGATGCTACCAATGTCATTACTAATTAATTTCATCATTTTATAGATAAGTACTTTTATTATCATATGAATAAGAAAACATTTATAAAAATATGTTTGAGTATGGATTCTATATCCCATATATCATAGTGTGGTTCCCGTTTGACGATCTACAATATTTATGCTAAACAAAATTATCACTCAAATATACTAATTTGGTACTTAACTTTATAGATATTTACGAATCATGATTCATAAAGCCTCAAACATCAGCGTGTTGTGATGTTATTCATGTTGCCATACCAAACTTAAGAAGGTTTTCGTTTAATAACACAAACACAAATCACATCAGCCGTTACATTAGTCAGATATCCAATCTTATGACACAACATAACTAATTGTTTGTTGGACAAAACTTTTATGTGATTTGGAAATGTAGACAGTGAATCTATATATTCATCGCCTTGGCTCTTGTAGGCTTGTTGTAGCTTGTCTGGTCCGTGAAGGCACTGTAAATGCAACATGTGACGTGTTCAATGCTCGAGCAAGGCGTTGAGAGAGAAAGACAAAGAGAATTGTTGAGATTTGAGAAGAAGATCATAAAACATGGTGCTATAAATATATGGGATTTTCGTACTAAAGGCCCAATAAGAATTTTTGTCAAGAAGCCCAATAGTTCTATGTTTCCTTTTCTGTTATTTCCTGACGTCAAACAGACCAGAAAGAATGAAACGCTTTTAAAAGCCAATAACAAATCAGAAGCCACCGAAAAAAACGAAAATTGATTTGATCGATCGCTACCTAAGAATGGACCCAAAATCGCCGGAATTTATCATGGATCCGCCGCTTCACAGCTTAGGATTCGTGTTCGAAGAGCTCTCCGCCACCAGAGTTTCCGGCCGCCTCACCGTAACTGAAAAATGCTGCCAGCCGTTCAAGGTCCTTCACGGCGGCGTATCCGCTCTGATAGCCGAGGGAGTCGCTAGTCTCGGCGCCGGAATCGCCTCTGGTTATAAACGCGTCGCCGGTATCCATCTCTCGATTCACCATATCCGACCTGCTGCCCTCGGCGATTCCGTCTTCGCCGAATCTTTTCCAGTCTCCGTCGGCAAGAATATCCAGGTACCTATCTGTATCCTTAACACACACGTATATAATAAATCCATATCTTTGTATAGATGTGAATAATATATTTCTAGTAGGCAGACCTAACTTTAATCTTATAAAAAACTTGAAAATATAAATTTGCAATTTGACAGATACATAAGATCATTTTTTCAGGTATTGGTAAAAGTGACATGTTAGTACTAGTTATTCATCAAGTTCATTACAAAAAAAAGTTGAGATACTGTATAAATTTGATGAAACAGTAGAGTGGTAAGAAAACTAAAGATGTTTTTTGGTCGAAAACTAAAGATGTTTTACAAATAAAAACTCTTGTCATATAGAATAACATTGTAATTAAGCCTTTCAAAATTTTAATTATTTCAGTTTAAATAAAAGGAATAATTATAAGAACCTCTAAATCAAAATTGAAAAGAAATTAAATCGGTTTAGGTTAATGACATGAAATGACTAAGCGAGTTGACTCGTATAAGATATCTGGGCCGTAAAAGCAGGTCTTGTTTGTCGGGCACTTTGATATACATTTGACTAAACAAACAGAAGAAAAAAAAATATAATATAAATATATATTTCTAACGAATATATGTTATCGACCTAAAAAACAAAGCCTCTGATTGAAAGTAAATGGGGATTTAGTGTTTGATTGTAATCTGTAATCGAACTATATATATATATATATATATATATATTTTTTTTTACTTGAATAAAAAGGCTGAAAAATTAGATCAATTTGTATAAAATTAGGTATGGGAGGTCCGGTTATGGAAAACCAAGAAAACCGAGGAACAAGACAAGAAGGTAATGGTATCAACATCCCGGGTCACTCTCTACTGCGGTGTACCTATACCGGACCATGTTAAAGATGCTCCGGAGCAGGTGAAGAAGTTTGTATCCAAATTGTAATTCAATTTGTATCTAATCTCTCTCTCTCACCCTTGTTTGTTGGGAATAAGAACGGTTTTAGTTTGGTGTTTGATTGTATCTACCAAACGATTACATAAATTGCCGCAAGTATAAGACTGAGAACAGTATAAATTTGTCAAGTTATTGTCGGTTTAATTTTTACATTATTTTACATGTTTAGTATAGAATAGAATATCTTGTTGAAAGGTCCAAATCGTATAGATGGGATTATAAAAACCAAAATTCGCTAATACAGTATATGGAAACTGCATACTATACAAAAATAGTAGACACGTGCGAATAGATTCTGATGCTAAATTTGGGTTGCGTCTCACAATTTTATCCGCACATGTTCCGCCTTTTACGTGATCTTTTATCTCTGAGAGAGAGAGCATCTGTCATCTTTTAGAGGTAAATAAAAACATCACGCAGTTTCTCGAATTCAGACGTCGATGGTCTGTCGTTTTTCTTTTCACACACACTGGACTGGAGTGTAGCAGCGATGCCTAATTTTTCAGTTAACGTTCCCCAACTCTCAGCCCTTTACAGTATAAAAACGCCAAAAGCGAAAATGAATCTATGCGCCGATCAGGTGTTCGACGGAATGCTGCTGTGTGGAGATATGTCAACGAAGTTGAGGTTTGCTTCTTCTTCTCCTCCCGTTTTAATGGCGGGATTACCTGACCCGAGGAAAAGCAACCAGAGGAGATCTCTCAGGATGAACAAGTGCAGAGCCGCCGGAGCTGACGGCGGACGCGTGACCGTCGGAGACGACGTCTTTTCGGTTACGACTTCTTCTAAGTACGAAGTGGACTATCTGGGTCAAAGCACCAAGGGAGATTTGAATCTCAAGCTTGACCCGCTTCAGTCATTTGGTATACATATGTCCCTTTCATTTGCTAGTTTTCAAAATTCAAATTGGGGTTTTAGGGGAATTCTAAAGTTTTGATTTTTTGGTTAGGGGAATTGATTTTGGCTGTTTTATTGAGATGAATAAGAACTAAAGGTCGAACCTTATTGTTAATGTTGTCTCACTGTTCGAGCAAAAAGCTTACATTTTTTTGCTCCATGTTTGGTCTCTTGATAAGAAAATGTTTAACTTTTGGTATATCCATGTAGAAAATGGGCAGGCTACGTTGGAGGGACCAATTGAGGAGGTAGCGAGGACAGAGGCTCAAGCGGCTGAAAATCTGATTAGAGAATTGGGTATCCAAGTTCGTTATCTAATCCTTGTAAAGTTTTGTGTTATTGTCTTCTCTGTATTTGGAGTTTGAGGATAGCTTTGGTTTTATAAGGACCTTCGTGTTTTTTTTTTTTTTTTTTTTTTTTTTTTTTCTGGCGTCTTACATTTTCAGGCCTGATATTGCAGGGTCCTTTCTCTGCGCAACACTCTCCTCGTGGTATTTTTTGTAGTCGTACATTGAATCTACGGTCCATTAGTGCAATCGGATATGATATGGATTACACTCTGATGCACTACAATGTCATGGTGAATTCTTCTTTTCTCATACATGATTAGGAAGGATGTATGCAGAAGATACATCCATGATTGACGCAAATTTTATGGCCTTGTTCAGGCTTGGGAAGGAAGAGCTTATGACTATTGCATGGAAAATCTAAAGACTATGGGCTTCCCTGTTGATGGACTTTCTTTTGATCCGGAACTGGTGATGTGTTTATTCTTGTGATAGTTGAAAGGTTCCCCACTGTAGTATATCATCTCTAGGTTTCTTAGTGCTAAGCCAAAAAAAAAATATGCTTTCTCTTATTGTAGGTTATCAGGGGTCTCATGATCGACAAAGAGAAAGGTAATTTAGTCAAGGCTGATAGATTTGGATATGTGAAGAGAGCCATGCACGGCACAAAGATGTTATCAAATAAAGCTGTAAGGTATGGTTGACTTTTCAACACCATTGTTAGCCATGGAAGAAAAAGACAGTGGCATAGTCTTTGTTCTTAATTTGAAGGAATTCTTATTCCCTTTTTGCCTTTGTATGGATGACAGTGAGATCTACGGAAGGGAGTTAGTTGATCTGCGGAACCAGAGTCGTTGGGAGTTTCTCAATACATTTTTTTCTGTGTCAGAGGCTCTGGCTTATGCGCAGGTGCATTTATTTATTAGGAGATATGGTTGTTAAATAATTGCTTTTTTACTTTGTAGCTATGTAATGTTCGCATTCATTTTCTCAACTGATGCTTCTTCACCGACATGACTTTCTTTTTGCAAAACTTTCCACACGGGTCTTTGCTGAGCATTTATTATTTAAATTGTTTCAGATGGTTGATAGATTGGATGATGGATGTATATCGGCAGATCTTGGCACTCTTGATTATAAAGGACTGTACAAGGTTTTGTGTTTCATAGCCACTAAATTTCATTGAATTGAAAGCATTGCATATTTTTTTCAGTCTCTAATAATTTTTTTCAGGCTGTTGCAAAAGCTCTCTTCAGAGCACATGTTGAAGGACAACTTAAGGTTGATAGTTTGTCCATTCTGTAACAATTTTCTTAAAAAGCTATAATCTCAGGTCCCTAGTAAATGAAAGTTTCTTTGCAGAGTGAGATAATGTCTAAGCCGGAACTATTTGTGGAGCCAGACCCAGAGTTACCTTTAGCTCTTTTAGATCAAAAGGAGGTAATGTTTCAGTCTTCACGTAAAATGTCTAGTTATGGTGGTTCCAGTTGTTAATATGGTACTGTTCAATCACAGGCTGGTAAAAAGCTCTTGCTTATCACAAACTCAGATTATCACTACACAAACAAAATGATGAAGCATTCGTTTAATAAATTCCTTCCCAATGACATGGACTGGCGAGATCTTTTTGACATGGTGAGCAGACGTAAATTTGTTTCTACATTTTAATTGTAAAGCAGTCGTTTCTCCGGAGAGTAATTTGCATAGGAATTTCGTGTCATGTTTCCACACAGGTGATAGTTTCTGCGAGAAAACCAGAGTTCTTCCAGATGTCGCACCCTTTGTACGAGGTTGTGACTGGAGAGGGTTTGATGCGTCCATGCTTTAAGGCTGAAACAGGTGATTTGATTTCTCATTGTTTCTACTGAATGTAAGCTGATAATATTGACGTGGAGAAAGCTAAAAAAAAATTCCTTTCTCTCACTGTTTGTCTCCCATAGGAGGTTTGTACTCGGGAGGAAGTGCTCAGATGGTAGAAAGTTCACTCAACGTTCATGGAGATGAGATTTTGTATGTTGGTGACCACATCTACACTGATGTCAGCGTATCCAAAGTCCATCTCAGGTGGAGAACTGCATTGATTTGCCGTGAACTTGAAGAAGAGGTTTGGATATATTATATTCTGAGCTATAATCAATAGGTGACAGAACTTGGAGGGCTTTTGTTCGTTGAAGTAACAGAACAAAACGGTTTGGTCTTGTTTCTTTGCAGTACATGGCTCTAATTGGCAGCCGTGGTCACCGAGAAGAGCTAATAGAGCTTATAAATCAGAAAGAGGTGGTTGGGGATCTTTTTAACCAGCTTCGGCTTGCTCTTCAAAGACGAAGCAAAGGCCGTCCTGCTCAGGTTTGTTTATCTCCTTACAAGATCTAGAGTTCCTTGTTCTCCCTCTGTGTTGGACACAATGGCTAGTATGATCAGTTACGAGTTCGTGATGGATGATCCCTTTCTCTTTTCCTTCTAGACCCTCGCTGCTACCAACTTGGATGATCAAGAGCTGACAGAGACCATGCAGAAGCTTCTCATTGTAATGCAAAGACTAGATGACAAGATTGGTCTAATGCTTGAAACAGACGGCGAGCTCTTCAATAAAAGGTTTTTTAGAATAAAAAGACAAACTAAACTTGGTTAGATGATTCGGGTATCGCAGAAATGGATCTGTCTGCCTGACCGTAAATCTTGGTTTGTTTATCAGGTGGGGATTCCTTTCGCGGGCGGGTTTGTGGGACAAAAGCCACTTGATGAGACAAATCGAAAAGTATGCATGCCTCTTCTCTGCATTTTTTAGCAACTTGTAAGCTCTCACATTTTAACTACACTTAATATCCTTCAAAATTGGTTTCAGGTATGCTGATATATACACATCAAGAGTCTCCAACTTCCTCAACTACACACCCTTCATGTACTTCCGCTCGCAAGAGCAGGTAAAAAAACTCAGATCAGATTGTCAGAATAAGTATATGAGGCATGTGTTAATTAAACTCATTCATGTTGTATCTCTCCTCTGCAGTCACTGGCTCACGATTCTCCTCTTCCTGATGCGGCTGCTATGGAAAACTAGCGGGTGCGCACGCCCAAACTTAGGCAAATTTGTGTGTTGTAATATTTTTGGATGAAAAAAACTGTCGATAGAAGAAGTGTAACAACAGAAATCCTGATGCTCAAAGTCTCCCTTTTTTTATGTATAAAATGTGTATTCCTGTTCTTTGAATTGAAGTTAAGGTTGGTAATATGATGCTATTGTTTTGATTTCTGCTTCACAGTCTTGACATCAGAAACAGTGGCTAGTTTGTTTGTAAACATAAGTTGAATATTGCGAATTCGTGGTTATTGTTAAAAGACGAAACTTCTGCTAACTGTTATTATCCAACAACAACTTGACACGAATCTGTTTTCCTTTTATGCCAAAACGCAGCGTTTTGCCACTTAGGTTTTTTTTTTTTTTTTTTTTTTTTTTTTAATTATTGTTTCAAACCCACCGTCTCTTCTTCTCGGTTTTTCTGGGTTGCTGGATTCGTATATCTCGAAGCAAAAACTCCGACTTTCGATTTTGTCTGAAACCGAAAACCAGTGGCGTGGTCGGTCTCTCTGTTTCTCCCTGTCTTTATCAAAGGTGCCCTTTTTTATCACACTCCGACGCTTTGGTCTGGTTCAATTTAGGGTTTTTTCACATCATCTTAATTTAATAGTTGTAAATTTTCAGTTTTGGGTTTCGTAATTTCTCCTAATTTGAAATTTCATGTTTACTCAATAACCTAATATCGGATCAGATTCTCTTTTTCTTGGTGCAGATTTTTAAGGTTATAGTAATGGCGACGAAGAAAGTCATAGCTATATGTCAGTCAGGGGGACATTTTGTGACAAATAAAGATGGAACATTAGCTTATAAAGATGGAGTGGCTTATGTCATAGACATCGACCACGACACTTCTCTAAGCGGTTTCACGTCCGAATTCGCCGAGAGGTTCGGGTTAAGTGGGGAGGCTATGACAACTATGAGCCTTAAGTACTTCCTCCCTAAAAACAAGAAAACCCTTATCACCATCTCCAAGGATAAGGACTTCAAACGTATGCTCAGCTTCTCCGCAGACGCACCCGATGTCGAGATCTTCGTCTTACCCAAGGAACCTGACACGAGAATTGTTTCCAACATGCCAGCTAGTAGGTATGTGTCTTTCTACTTCAAAATGTGACATTATGCTTGTGATGATTGTCTAGTCCAATGCCTTGATTTGTGAATGTCTTTTTCTTTTTGACAGGTCAAGTACAACAACCGCATCGGAAGCAGCAGTGGTGCCTGTGGTTTCTGCAGGCGATGTTGTTATGGGAGACGATGATGATTTCCACATCGATATGGAGATAATGCCTGACGAGAGCAGCCCTTTGCCTGAAAATTTCGTCTTGAGTGACGAGAAACAGCATGTAAGACCAGCGCAGCAGTGGGAGAACACCATCACGGGTGTTGATCAGAGGTTCAACAGCTTCACAGAGTTCCGGGATGCGCTGCACAAGTTCTCGATCGCGCACGTGTTCACTTACAAGTACAAGAAGAACGATAGCCACCGGGTCTCGGTCAAATGCAAAGCTCAGGGATGTCCATGGCGTATCACTGCGTCGAGGCTTTCGACCACGCAGCTCATATGCATCAAGAAGATGAATCCGAGGCACACGTGTGAGAGAGCGGTTGTCAAAGCTGGTTACCGTGCAACGAAAGGTTGGGTCGGGAGTCTCATAAAGGAGAAGTTGAAAGCTTTCCCTGATTACAAGCCGAAAGATATTGCAGAGGATATTAAGAGAGAGTATGGGATTCCACTGAATTACTCACAGGCATGGAGAGCTAAAGAGATTGCTAGAGAGCAGCTTCAAGGCTCTTACAAAGAAGCGTATAGTCAACTTCCCTTTCTCTGCGACAAGATCAAGGAGACGAATCCTGGAAGTGTCGCCACTCTCATGACAAAAGAAGATTCGAGCTTCCACCGTCTTTTCATATCCTTCTATGCGTCGATATCTGGATTCAGACAAGGTTGTCGCCCTCTCCTTTTCCTTGACAGCGCCGTCTTGAACTCCAAGTACCAAGGGGTTATGCTTGTTGCTACAGCTCCTGATGCAGAGGATGGAGTATTTCCAGTAGCTTTCGCTGTTGTGGACTCTGAGACGGAAGAGAACTGGGTTTGGTTTCTGGAGAATCTCAAATCGGCATTGTCCGATTCCCGGAGAATCACGTTTGTCGCAGATTTCCAAAACGGTCTGAAGAATGCATTGCCTCTGGTGTTTGGAAACGAACACCACCATGCCTATTGTCTGCGTCACCTCGCCGAGAAACTAAACACGGACTTGAAGGCTCAGTTTTCTCATGAAGCAAGACGGTTTATGCTCAACGATTTCTATGCTGCTGCTTATGCGACACGGCCCGATGGATATTACCGTTGCTTGGAGAACATAAAAAACATTTCCCCTGATGCTTACACTTGGGTTATCGAAAGCGAACCTCACCATTGGGCTAATGCTTTATTTGAAGGAGAGAGGTATAACCACATGAACTCCACTTTCGGGCTAGATTTCTACGGCTGGGTTTCCGAAGCGCACGAGTTGCCTATAACTCAAATGATAGACGAGCTCAGAGCAAAGCTGATGCAATCGATCTATACGCGTCAGGTACAGTCCCGGGAATGGGTTGCTGCAGCGCTAACACCAGCTAACGAGGAGAAGCTACAGAAAGAAGTAGAACTCGCAAGGCCACTTCAGGTTTCAGGGCCGCACAATAGCTTATTCGAGGTTCATGGTGAATCCATCAACGTAGTTGATATCAATCAGTGTGACTGTGACTGTAAGCTGTGGAGACTGACGGGTTTACCCTGCAGCCACGCGATTGCAGTGATTCAGTGCAGCGAGAAAAGCCCTTATGAATACTGCTCCAGATACTTTACCTTAGAGAGTTACCGGTTAACGTATGCTGAGTCCGTTCACCCTGTACCCAAGGATATGATGATGACGACGACGACGGAGGGGGTGGTTGTTTCAGTAACGCCTCCGCCCACGAGAAGGACACCGGGGAGGCCAAAGAGTAAGCAGGTGGAACCGATAGACATGATCAAGCGTCAGCTTCAGTGTAGCAACTGCAAGGGATTAGGACATAACAAGAAGACCTGCAAAGCTACGTCCGAAGTATAGACAGAGAGACATGGTTAGGACAAATTGTAGTTACAGTTGGCTGATTTTGCCCAACATTTTGGTTTTGGTTCTGTTTGTTGGTTTTAAGAGTGAATCTTAAAAGCGAGCACTAGCAGAGAACAAGGGCACATAATCTCTTTGTTCCTGAATTGCATCGAACTCGATAGAAATTTTTTTGCAGCTTTACAACATTTTTTACATAGATTTTTGGCATTACAGTCCAGAGTATATTTCCATATGTTGCGAAATATTTGCTGGAACATGATAAATTGGATTCACTACACAACTTTATAATCGCACTATACATCACTTGTTAGAAACTCAACAACTTGAGACAACACTTGATGTTTACTCGTATAATATTCCCAAAATAATCAATGATGATATGATATGTGCTTAACACACCCGTGAATAGGGCCGGAAGAAGAGTGAGCCTATAATAAATGCTAGCGACAGAAAGATATAAAGATGTGAAAAGAGTAAAATCTTCTACCAAGAAATTGATTCCAACCAGTCGGAGGTAAACTCATAGGCCACAAAGGTTACAGCACCAGCAGGAGCAGCTTTCACAGTGGAAGGCACAATGCCTTTGTACAGACCGTGCCACCCTTCCGACAACATAATCTGTCTAAGACCGTCTAACATGTTTCTGTATGCACGTCGCTCCACTCGGGCTCCATATCTTGGGTGTCTCTGTAAACCTTCAACCTGCAACGAAAAGAGTCTTTCAATCTCTCTGACATTTCTATCATCTCATGTTTATAAGGCAACTGCATTTTTCATCGCACTAATCTGAGTTTTCTTTCTACAGATACGATGACAGAACAAGTGTGGTACAAACCAGGACACAGCAAGTAGACTCTGCAAGCAAATATGATATTCTAGTGTGAGCATTGGATAAGATTAACTGACCTGGAATCGTTTTTTGACGACATCAAGAGGATGGCAGACAAGTTTAGCGCTAGTGCCAGCCGCAAGCCCACAAACAAAAAGCTGGAAGCTAGAAAGGTTGGTGTCCACATTGATCGGGTTTTTGGACGACAAAACGTGTCGGTTCCAGTCCTGGTGAAAAATCAAATGACCTGACTGTCACCAGAAACAACAGAGACACAATTTTTTAGAAGAAAAATATATATTTCCTATGCTCTTACCATCATCCAGCGCTTAAACATATCATATGTGCCAAATTGCAGGCCAGCGTAAGGCACAATCTCAACGAGTGTTGGTGTTAATCCATTATACAATCCTTTTACGCCTCGAGATCGCATTATATCGACAAACGCAGACCTCATTGTTGGATACACCTGTAGAGACGGTCATCAATCAGTCATCAATATAAAGCAATGTAACTTGAACATGAATAAAGCATGAATACGGAAGAAAACAAGAAAACTCTTGGGGGCAATAGATTTAAATGATATTAGAGGGCTCATTAGTCAAGCAACAAACCTTAGGCTCCCCTTGTGAGGCCAATATTGTCCTAAGAAGGTCAAAAGGATAAGATCCTAGTGTAGCAGCACATCCTGCTAACGCTCCACTGACGAAGGATAGATATGGGCTCAAATGTATATGATCCTCTGCATTGCAAAAGATTACAACCAGCTAACAAATAAGCAAGAAAACACAATAATCTGAAGAATTTACCCTAAGGGAATTATCTTTCAACAAAATGCTGGAATAAAAACAGTACCATCTACCCTAAGCTAACCACGGGACAACTAACAAAAAAAAAAGCACTGAAAATCTCCCCATTAGCAAATCTTGAGAGATCCCAAGTAGAATCGTTACCTGTTTTAGTAGAACCAGATGCAAAAGACTTCAACTTATGTAGAACGGTAAACTGAATTGAAGTGTATGGCATGACCATGAGCAAAGCTGGCACATTACCACGCCAAAAACCCTGAGAATCAGAAAACAAGTATCAAACATCAGAACAGGGAACAATACCTCATCGAACCTAATGCAAGGAATGGGTTTTAGGAAGTGTTCAAAGAAACGGACCCGAAAACCCTCTTCTCTAAATATGTCTTTAGTTGCCTGAACCATTCCAGTATACTTGGATGCTCCGGTCAAGTTTCCCCGGACAACGGACCATGAAGTTGTCGGTTCTAGTTGAACCTGCAATCACATATTAAGCCTCTTCAGCCATCTCTAAACAGCACGAAGGATGCTGACTCCAGAGATGAAGCTATAATCACTTCCTAAGCCACAAACCTAACAAGGATAATTCTCATTTACAGCCTCCGCAATACAACAAGTGTATCCAACAACAACAAACAATGATTCCAACACAAATACGGAATTCAACTAAAGAGCATTCTCAGCTAAAGCAACAAAAAAGGCAAAGCTTATCAATCGCGATGAAAGAAGAGAGAAAAAGGGAAATGAGAAATACCTGAAATCTAATCTTAATGACATCAAGCGGAGAAGTAACGGTGCGGGAAACAGCACCAGAGATGGCGCCGGCAGAAGCATCAATCAGGGCACGTTTAATCTGGCTCGGATCGTCGACGGCCGTCGTGGGACTCATTTTTCTAGGGTTTCGTCTCTCTCTACAAGCTATAATCTCGATTAAAAAGTTTCCAAACCATCTCTCATCAATATTAGACCTCAAAAATAAGGAAAGCGATATCAATTCACGCCATCAAATTGAAGGATAAAAAAGATAGCAGAGCACATTATTAAAGAGCCTGTGACAAGAGATTACAAAAAAAAACGGAAAATTTCCGGAATTTACCAGATAACGCGAGAAACGAAAAGGCGCGACATTGATGATGATCTGCCGGGAAAACGCAAGAGAGAAAAATGAAGAAGATGACCCCTTATAGGTTTGCCGCGGATTTGAGAGCTGTGTGGTGATGATAGAAAAAGCTGAGAGGAATCTATCTCCGTCAACGTTCGTGTCCTCTCCGATATTTAGCATACACCGATTAAAGCCGTCTTCTTTTACAGAAAATTGCCCTTTTTAGTGCTTTGTCGGTTTCACGAAAAATCAAAATCATGACTCACTCACTCACTCACAAAGTAAAAATCGTTTTTAAAAGGGTTTCAAGTTGCAAAGGTTGCTCTTTTAACATTCATATTGCCTCTACGTTCGCTGAATGGGTAGGACTGTTCTAATGTTAGCTTCAGGCTTCTTTTTCTGATGAGGTTTACTGAAACAGAGATGAGACCATACGAGTAGAAGGAAAACTAATATAATTCGATGATCAAAACTCTATCCGCCCAAAAACCATATCAAAACTTTCCTTTTTCGTTCCTGCTTATCAAATATCCTCGACTTCTACTATGGCCATGGAATCGTTGTTACACAAGATTAAGGAAGTGTTATTAGTTCTTGTATTTTAATGGATTCGAAAATCCAAACCAAATTTAGTGTTATTGGTTCTTATATTTTAAAATTTATATTGAAATACAGTGTTATTGGTTCTATGATTTTAAAATCCATAATGAAATACAATATTATTAGTTCTATCATTTTAGAATCTAAATATTATAAGGATTTGAGTTTTAATTGAATTTGAATGGATTTGGAAAGATTTTCATGACTAAAATACAAATACTCAAATACAAGGTCTAACTTTGATATTTGAGTGGATTTGATTTTTTTCTATTTTGTTGATTTTGAAATCAATAAATTTATCAAATCTAAAGAAGATTTATAAATTCACCAAAATACAATAACCAATAACCCCTACTAAAACTTGCGGCATGACTGTTTTGTAAAGCTGTATATTAGCATAACATGGTATAGATTCTTCGAGCACTAGATCATTATGAGTTAGTATAAATGTGAATATTTTATGAAGAACATATTCCACTTCCAAAATGATTGTGATGAGTAAGTACTTTATTCCAACATAGATTAACGATAATTTATACGTCCTATTTTTGTTTTTCCTAAAGATTAATTATTTTGTTCGTTTTTAAAAACGAATATATAAACATACAAGACCAATATATAAACGAGTATGTAAAGATTAATTTATACGTTTTTGTGTAATAGTATTAAAACTAGAGACTGAACCCACTAAACAAATGATTAGAACATAATATATAAACGAATTGTTCCCCCATGATGAATCACTTCATGCTGACCTCTTGCTATTAAAGGAAAGAATGTGGAAGGAGAAGCAGGCCCCGCTCCGCATTAAAAATATATATATATATATTGTTTTCATTATCCTCTTTCACAAATCACATGTTGGCAATGCACATTCAAATTCATAAACATAAGCGAGTTACAGGTAATATATGTTATTTTTTGTTGAACATTGCAAAATCGATGTGTGTGTGTGGAGATTGCAAACATAAAACGTTTTAGTTCAAAGCATGCGTTTCTTAGTTCAAAGCATGCTGCTACTCTATAAATATTACTTTCTATATGTGTATCGAATTACATTTAGTGTAATAATATATACATATTATATATACAGTACCTATATTCATTCTTGAGATGTCTTTTTCATGCAATCTTGATAAAATTATCTTCTTTGACCAATTAACCACAAAACTGAAGCTTATTTTCTTCACTTATCCTCGTAAGATATATTAAAAATAAAAGTAACTAGGATATGTTAATGTGTATATCATAGTTATTGTTCAAAATAAACAAAGAGGTCGGTTTCATATACAAATCAATCACAAACTTTTTATTAACATACATAACTTCCACATAGTATACATCCAACACTCAAGAACAAAGTTAGCTTCACAAGAGACACAGTACATATCAAACCACACCACGAGACATACATCAAGACAACACATATGAACACAACCCATTTTATGGTCAAGAGCCTGCAAAATGCCAAAATAGAAAACCGCCAAAATATGGCTACATGTCCCTGACTTGGAACATGTTACGGTTCTTGACGACGATGTCGTACATGTGCATCGACTTGAACCTGGAGAAATCAGTAGGAAGTGAGATGAGATGAACGGTGGATGCTTTGTGGAACTGAAGGAGATTAGGCTCATGGTAGTAACGTTCCCAGCCAAGTGCGTAGAGATGTCGCTGGAGGTGTGAGTAAGACGTTATGACTTCGTTGTTTGGAGTGTAAACCAGAACCTTTCGTTTTGTTTTCTCAATGTTCATCTCAGCTCCTGGATTCTCCACTAGCCGAACGACGCCATTCTTGAACACCCACACTCCCGACATCTTCAGATCTTGATCTTTCAAAGTATATATTGAAGCTGTTCTTGGGATATCAGGTTGGAGGAGATGTGGTAATGTATTTTGTTATCATCAATAAGAAGGAGATGTGGTTATATATAAATGCAAGCTCAGTTATTTTTTCTTCCCTTCCAATTATTGTATCTTCTGTATATTGTTTGAGAAGTCCGACAGAAAATGTTGTTACCACAGCGTTTCTTACACAAAATAAACATGAAAAGCAATATTTACTTTGTTAGAATATATATTTTATATCACATGCCATTTTAAAATAGAGAAATATTTTTAAAAATTACAATACATGGACAAAATTGGCAACTTAACTAGGATTGTTTTATATGTAACAAATACTATTGTTTTACTTCAATTATTGCTACCAGAGATATTGAGAGGATATGATTTGGTTATATGTAACAATATGTATTAAAAACCAATTGTTTACGTTTCCATAACAAATATATCATCAATTCGATTCGTCATATTTTATAATTGAACAAATATTATTGTGTCACATGAGTTGCTTTAGTGTATTCATTTGAACCATAATCAATATTACATTAAACGTTTATTATTTTTATACATAGTTTAATTAGTAATTTACCAAATACTGTATCCTGAACAGTTGACCCTTGCGAATAATTATGTGAAGCCATTCCTGAATCGTGATCATCAACATGGGCATTCCTTCACTTTCTTGGACTGACAAGTCATTTCGAAGTGCTTTGTGGTATATTGTTATATAAATTTCTAGAAGATGTAATATCAAAAACAAAGAAAAGTAATGGGGAAACTTTAAAAGTGTACACAGTTTTTTTTTTTTTTATAAATTCAATATTTATTTCACAGGGATGGGCAAATGAGATAGAGATACTTCGTCTTGAAATTGGTCCATACAAGTACACTAGAATATGGGCTGATCCGAACTTCATACTTAGTTGTAAAAAAAATGCTCATGAACAGTATATATTAATTAGAAAGGGTTATCCACAAGAAAATATATAAAGCAATTTAAATCTATAGAAAAATTCTTCATATTCTCCCATGGCAAATTTTCTTATAATCATTTTTAAAGAAACAAGGTCGTTCATAATGACAAAGAAGTGATATGCTTATGAACAAAGATTATATGGTTTTGATAAATGATTTTCAGTTGTCCTCTCATAATTCGCATTGTCATGCATGGGATGGGATAGATAAGGATTTTAGTTTTGACGGTTATAAGAAACGTCAAATCAAATGTTTTTTTTGTCAACATCAAATCAAATGTTTATAAGAAAAATTTGCTTAAAAATTAAAAAATATTTACAAAACGATCCAAATCAAATGATTTTTATTGGTAAACTTTGTGAAATAGTAGAAAAACTCAATTCTGCAAGAATTTTGCCAATCAGAAAAATTTGCGGAAAAACGTCAAAATTCGAGTTCTACGGAATAGCAAAAATATTTACAAAAAATACAAAAAAAAATTGATTAAGTAGAAAAGTGTGTTTCAGATAGCTTATTTGCAGAATCAATATTTTATATCATTCAATCATATAACTAATTATATTTTATTATTTAAATAAATATAAATAAATATATTTATACTACATATATTTATATAATGATCAGATTATACCTGTAGATTAAATATTGCAATATAATTACATATTTTATAGTAAATAAAAAATAAAAATAAAAATAAATAATTACAATAAAAGTTTTAATTTTTTCTAATTATATTAAAATTACGTTATTATAATAATTAATATTTTAATTTTTATTATTTTAATTTTTTATTATTATAAAAAATTAATTTTATAAATTTTTTATTATTCCATTATTCTGCATAATTTATTCAATTATATTAAAATTAATTATTCTACTATTCTGTATTTCGCCTGCAACTTAATTTTTTTTCCAGCAGTTTTTATTGTGTTGCCGATCACAGTTAAGTCAGCACAGTATCCGACACTAGATACTGTATGGGCTAAAGCCCATTCGTTTAAGGCTCAATACGGGCCCTTAAATTTGGCGCCGAAATTCCAGCCGTATGTTTCCTAGTTGCCGCGCTCAATGAACTTGACGGCATCTGAAACTTTCCGGGATCTCTCTCACTTAGAGAAACCAGTAGAGATAGAGAGAACAGTGTAGAGAAGGTAATCTGACCAAATGACGTCGAATTCGGATCTGGGATCGGCGGATTTCGAAACATTGGCCTCGACATCGGACGTCGAGCTCTTGAAGAGGGCGTGGCGTAACGAGAAGGCGGCGCCGGAGATTCTTCAGTACGAAGGTGCTCTTGTCGAAAGAGCTAAAGGACAGATTGAATTGGTGGTAATTTTTCTAAAACCCTAATTTTTTTTCTGTTCGGGAGTCCCAGAAATGTTCGTCCACCATTCTAATTACAAATTAAGCGCCGTAAAAATGTTAGAATCGAAAGCCGCTTACTTTACAATTCATTTAAAATCATTCTTTCGTCTCTTCCAAATTCGAGTGGTAAGAGTAATATCTACTGGTTGCATTACAGCTTTTGGTAATTTTAAGGTTTTTGAAAATTTTGTAATTACAGGAAGAAAATATTGAAGATTATGTGAACAATGGCGTCGACCCTCTGGTGGTGTCACTATATCAGATGGATTTGGACAGAACTCAGTTTCTACTGAGATCATATCTTAGGGTTAGGCTTCTCAAGGTGTGTTGTTTATGCTTCTTCCATTTCATTGAGTGTCAGATTAAAGCTCTGAGGAGCTATCGAAAGTTTTTCTGAAGTGTTCAATGGAATAAACTTTGTTTACATGTCATCTCTCAAACGGTGACTGTTGAATTGCAGATAGAGAAGTTCATGTTTCACAACCTGAAGTCGGAAGAAGCTGAGAGTCGCCTTTCTGAGCAAGAGAAGGTTTTTGCTAAAAGGTTTGATTTTGTTACATTAATTGTCTGGTTTCATGTTAATTAGCTGAAGTCAGTGAGACATATCTATATATATGGATGATTGCAGCTGTGCTGATGATTTGGCAAAGCATTTCGAAAAGTGTGTACTCTCTAAGTTGCCGGAGAATTATCAGTCGGTTCTCAAGCAATCCCTTATAAGTGAAGCCGATGACATGGGTACCTACCTAAAACCTAATCACTCTGAGCCATAAGTTTATCTGCAAGATTCATGTTCCATCTCTGTAACGTGCTTATAGTTGGAACATTTATGTGTCACAGCAAAGACTAAGAATTGTTGATTTTGGTGACTTACAGTGCCGCAGCCGCATTTGGATACCTTTGTTGTTTGTAGAAGCAACAACTTTGTGTCCCTCAATCTATATGAAGAGTGAGAACTCCTTTTTAACATTACTCCTCCATGTAAACAACCTTTCTGTAATCTAAACTAAGTGGGCTTGCTTTTACTTTGGCAGAGGAGAGAGCCCCGAGACTGTGGAGATGGAGCGTGGTGATCTCTACTTCATACGTTACAAGATTGTAAAAGGAGCGATCGAATCTGGGAAAATCGACTTGATCTGAGCTCAAAAATGCTAGAGAGATTACAATGGATTCTCACTCGGATCTATTTCCATAGCATAAGGTTTGGATGGTGCTTACCGTTGTTCCATTCTCTATGATCTTGAGTTGCTTGAGTTGTATATATAGTGAATTCTTATATTGTTTTGAGTTTTTTTATAATGTCATGATAGAAACTTAAGCATCCTTGTGGCTTGTGCAATATGTATCGAGTTACACTAAACCCTCTAGACTAGAGAGAGTCCTTGTCACCGAACAACGGCGAATTAGCAAATTTATCCTTCTACTTAAGCGTGGAACCGACTGATAATTCTCCGGCAAAATTAGGAAAATCAATTTATAAGGGTTTGCTTGAGAATATGAAAATATTTCCTTTCAAATTAGGAAAATCATTTTATGAATTTTGGTTAATATTTTCATTTGATATCACGTAACTGAAAATATTAACCAAAATTTTAAAATGATTTTCCTAATTGGAAAGGTAATGTGAATTAGATATATGGAAATTCGCCGGCAGTTATAGGAAAGAAGGATCAAAATCACGTTATTAGATATTTAAAACAAAAATAATGATTTCCAAATTTTAAAAGGTATTAGCCTACTGTATTAGGATTTAGATATTTGGAATTTGTTGGCTAAAAAGGAAAAATTAATCAAAGTATGGAAATTTGTTGCCGACAACAAAATCTGATTTCCAACCTCATTCGTGATTGCATATCGCTATAAATAGACAAATACCTCGTAGCAAATCGAGCATTCATAAATCTCTTTTCTCCCAAAGCAAAACTCTCTGAACTTTAGGGAAGATTTACCCTTCGTGTTCTGTTTTCTCGGAAGATTTAGCCTTCGTGTGTCTTCTCCGTCTAAAAACGAAATATTATCATCATGTCTTTGTCTTCAAGAGCCGTTTTTGTGGTTTTGTGTTTTCTGTTGGTGCTGGCTCCATGCTTTAATAGCGCAACAACCGATGAAGTTCGTTCTAGATGTGACTCTCACAGCTTTAACAACGGCAAACACTTTCGTTCTTGCATCGACCTTCCGGTGTTAGACTCGTTTCTACACTTCAGCTACGTCCGTGAAACCGGACTGCTTGAAGTCGCGTACCGTCACGCCAACATCGAGTCGTCTAGTTGGATCGCTTGGGGCATAAACCCGACGGGCAAAGGCATGTTAGGAGCTCAAACCCTCTTGGCTTACCGTAACTCCACTTCCGGTGCTATGCGAGCATATACTTCCTCAATCAAGGGCTACTCAACTAAGCTTCAAGAAGGTCCTCTCAGCTTCCGTGTAACGCAGCTATCCGCTGAGTATCTCAATAAGGAGATGACTATATTCGCCACTATAGCGTTGCCTTCTAACACAACCGTCGTGAATCATCTGTGGCAAGACGGTCCGTTGAAGGAAGGAGATAGACTTGGGATGCACGCCATGGGTGGAGACCATCTCAAGTCCATGGCTACTCTGGATTTGCTCTCCGGACAAGTCACGGCAACGAAACCAGCGAACGGCAACATGTTACTAGTCAAGCGGATCCATGGAGTAGTGAACGCAGTGAGCTGGGGGATATTCATGCCGACAGGAGCCTTGGCTGCAAGGTACATGAGGACCTACCAAGGATTGGATCCCATGTGGTTCTACGTACATGTCTTTTTTCAAACCACCGGTTATGCCGCCGGTTTAATCGGAGGACTAGCAACCGCAGTCTATATGGCGGTACAGACGGGGATGAGAGCAACGCCGCATACGGTGATAGGGATGTTACTGTTCTGTCTAGGGTCACTGCAGATAGTTGGGGTCTTTGTAAGACCGGGCAAGGAGCATAAGTATAGAAAATATTGGAACTGGTACCATCACACTATGGGATACGTTGTGATTGTACTGAGCATCTACAACATCTACAAAGGGTTAGCCATCTTGAAACCCGGAAGCTCGTGGAAGATTGCTTACACTAGCATCATCGGTTTCATTGGATTGTTCGCGGTCGTGATGGAGATTGTGCAATTTGACAAGAGATGGGGTGCCTTGTACTTCAAGAGATCTAATAAAGACCTAAAAGCTGATCAAACTGCTTCCACTGGTGTCTAAGTTATTCGTAGTTAGATAAGCCATTCGTGTCTCTATATTGCTAAGACTAGTTTGTCATTCTTTGTTTTCACTTGTACATGATTTCCTTTTGAATGAAAATTCTTTTATTGAATGGATTTACATTGCTAAGACTAGTTTGTCATTATTCTCTGCGTTTTAGACGAAATACTTTTGAACAAATTCTTGAGCCGAGAAAATTATAATAGAATATAAGAACCTAAGATGTATAGTATATTAACTCAAGTCATATGTAATATCTCAAATAGATCCCCTAACCATAGGAACTACTTTGTAAACGCTTTTGTTACATGCTATCAGAAATTTGTAAAAGTGCTTAAACGATTTTATTTGTAACTGTTCTATGGATAAATCGAATAAGAGATCGAATAACCCCCAAAACCCGTTAATTTTAAAACATGAAAAAATCTTATTTTTGTACTTGTTATCAAAAATATCTATAAGCCTACGTGTGCCGGCCAAGAAAAGCAAGGGTCATCTGCTGACTGCAGAGTCGTGGATTAGAGAGAGAGAGAGAGAGAGAGAGAGAGAGAGAGAGAGAGAGAGAGAGACAGAGAGACAGAGAGAGAGACAGAGAGACAGAGAGAGAGACAGAGAGAGAGAGAGAGAGAGACAGAGAGAGAGAGCAGAGAGAGAGAGAGAGAGAGAGAGAGCATAGAGGTTAGATCTCCCAAGTCTTGGCCTTTCAAACCGCGTCGACTGTGAGTTTTCGCTTTTTCAGTCTCTGTGAATTCGCATCTTGATTCCTTGTGTCTGCTTCTTGAGCTTGCGTCGATTAACTTCTATAAATACATGTATTCTGTATAAGACTTTTGGGATCTCTCTGGCCAGTGTGTCTGTGGTTTGAATTATCCTTTTGGATCTTTGTTTTCTCCAGATAACATACGAATTGGGTATAATTTTTAGTCAAATTGGGTTTAATTCGTCATTTCTTGGGTCTGTGAATTCAGTTGGGATTGTAGCAGTTCAAGTATAAACAGTGACCCGCATGAGATTCGAGATGAATATCTTTTTTTCCGTTAAATTCACAGAGATGGATATCTCGATTAATATTAGAATGCTTCTTGCTTATTTCTGAGAATTGCAAAGTTATTGTCCTTTTGAGTTGGTGTCGTGTAGTAAATTTGAAGTTAGCAAATTGGTGACTATCTCTATTGAGTTTACATGAGTTTGTTTCTTGCTTGATTTGCTCTGCTTTTTATTTCTCTTGTGGTCTTGAAATGTCAAAGGTGTTTCTTTGTTCTTCTGTTGAGCTGATTTCCTTGCCAGCCTTTGAAAAGAGAGCGACATCTGTTGAGAACTAGTGACATAAAAGCTCAAGATCGTTGTTATCCCCTTGCTAAGTAAACCCAACAACTGCTCTTAGCAACGTCTTCAACGTTTGAGGAAGAGATGCATCTGTGGCCCTCATTGAAACTTCGAAATTCCTTCAAGAGCTCTAGCCAGAAGAGATTTCAGAGGACGGACAGTGGGAAACAAGGTCAAAGCAACCAGCAGAAACTACTCGGCAGCGACAAAGAATCTGTCCCGGAGGTTTCGTCTGGTGGGTTTTCTGTTGTATGCAGAGATCTTGCCATGGTTCTGTCTTGCTTCTTCTGCTGTTTCTGCTGCGGAGGTAAACCTTTTCATCACTTTTCCCTCCAAATCTGAACCAAACTTGTGACTTAATTTTCACAGGCTTATATGAATTTGAATGTTGATAAAATTCCCAAAACTCTTGTTTTCGGATGACCTTTGAGGATTATATGCCATCAACTAGTGTGTGGATTCGTATAACTTAAATGGGAATAATCTACAAATTTTCTTCATATTTAGTGAAATTGTATCAGTGTATAATCCACGCTCAAATATGATCTTCTCTTGTAGCAGAATAACATTGGTTTCTCTATTGATCATTCTTCCTCTTCTTCTTCAATTTATCTGCTTCTGATTTCTCTGATTCTAGATCGTATGCTCTTTCTTTGTTCTCATCTTTTCAGCTTGCATTGATGAGGAAGATAATTGATGATGCTGGAGGAGTAAGTGAAAAGATAAGCCTTAGAAAAACAGTCTCTACTTGACCCACAAAAAAAGAAAAAAACAGTCTCAAAAGTGTATATTAGATATATTGTTCTTTCCGAATTTCTATGTATACCTTTCCCCAATCAATTTTATAAAGCATCTGATTAGCTAGTGACTACAGTAAAGCAAAATTCTTGTCATGATGTCATATGATATTGTGATTCAAATTTAGGCCCTATAACATATTAACATGTGGAATTCAAAGTTATTTAGGCCCAACACAAATGGAACGGACTCACTAACAGCCCAAAAGTCAAAAGGCCGAGTAATGATATCAGCGGACTAATGAACATCTGCCACGTCATATCGAAGAATCTAAAAAACGCATTGAAGTGGTTTTGGATACGAAAGCAGACTCCACTATCCAACTAATTTACAGAAATACCACCGTGTTTCGTTTCCTCTTCCCTTCACTTCCTTTGGCGGCTCTTTTTTTCTCTCTTCCTTCCTCCTCCTCTTGTCGGCTGTGTCGCTTCCCCACTCATATTCCCTCGGAGCTCGTGAAGCTCTCTCTCCTCTTATATATAAAATAATAACCCTCCTTTGTCTCAGAGATAATGGAGCCTCCTTCTACGAATAAGCCTAAGCAGCAGGAGTTTACTCTGGCCTCCGTCACTGATCTCACCTCCTCTTCCTCACCTCCTTCTTCCTCGCCTGTTGTAGCTACGTTTTCATGCGTTAACGAAGTCACTGAGCTCAGATTTCAGGAATCCGATTCCGCCGATGGTTTCAATTTTGATCTTAGCTCCGCTCAGGTGACTGTCGTCGATTCGCTTACAATTGCTTTTCCTTTTGTTACTTTTTTTTTCCTTATCTCAATTTTGAATTTCTATGCTTAGTTAAGTAGTGTAAAAAAGCTTCCTTCTCGTTATGATGTTTACTTAATGATTGTGTTCTTGGAACCAGTTACTGATGAAATGCATTGTATGTAATCTGTGTTTTGCACAGTTGTTCAAGTTGGGGCCGCTTCAGTTCATCTGTGTATCTGATAGTTCGGATTCCGCAAAAGAGGTACGTGAAGTCTCTCTCTTTCGTTCATTAGTTTCCTTTTCTTCTGAATGTTTTTTACCCTGCATCGTGTTGGTCACTACCCGAGTGTGTAATTGATAAAAGTGTTACCTCGTTTCTGATGAATTTTCTTCCTTTTTTTTTTTTTGACCAGGATTCATTCTCTCGAGGAGTTGTAATAAAATTTAGAGATGAGAAGGAAAGCAAGGACTTTTGTGATACATTTGAGGAATGGAGCAAGGATGCCGTTAAAAAAGGTGCCTTCTTGGATCTGTTTATGTTTACCTCTAGGTTCTTAGAAAGAAAGAGACTTTCAGGTGCATTTGACCTTTTACAAGTGATGTGTGTGTATTCATTATTTGACGCCTTCTTATTCTTTTCATTTAATTAGGATCATCTTTGCCAAACGGAACAGTTTCAGATAGTAAAAGCAAGTTCGACAATAAGATAGAGGCTGCTTCAGCAAAAATGTATTTCCATTATTATGGACAACTTCTACATCAGCAAAATATGCTACAGGATTATGTGAGGACAGGTAAGACGTCTGACCTTTTGGGCATATGTTACCTTAGATTTGTTTCAGACTAGTTTTGTGGTTTTGGAATGATGTGCATCCATCAGAGGAGATATATCTTTACTTCTCTTCACATGGCTATTTGACTTACCTCTTTTTAATTTCAAATTACTGTCTTCAGGTACATATCATGCTGCTGTCATGGAGAACCGTTCAGATTTTTCTGGGCGTATTGTGGTCGATGTCGGCGCTGGAAGTGGCATTTTGTCAATGTTTGCTGCTCTGGTAGGCTAATATTTAAGAAATTCTAGGTCCCAAAGGTTTTAGAGTTAGTTTAGATCTGCATTGTGCTTCTGCTTTTCTTATAAATGGCTATTATTTCCCTCCTAATTTAGGCCGGTGCCAAGCATGTGTATGCTGTGGAAGCGTCAGAAATGGCTGATTACGCCCGTAAGCTGATTGCTGGAAACCCATTGCTTGCTGAACGGATTACAGTAAGACCTGTAGTCCACTTTTGTTTGTACATTTTTTTTTCATGTGTATCCATTTTTCTGATGTTCTTCAAGTTGACACATGTGTAGGTCATTAAGGGAAAAATTGAGGATATTGAGTTGCCTGAGAAGGCCGATGTTTTGATCTCTGAACCAATGGGTATGTATTTCAAAGATGGATTCTTTTTCACGTGCTCTTCATGAATATTAGAATCTTTTAGAAGGCAAACTTGAAAAAATAAGTGGACAAACATCCTTGCTGATTCAAAGTCTTAGTGATTTATTCGAATTATATGTCTCATAATTAACTTATTTGGGCCTGTAGGCACCCTATTGGTCAATGAAAGGATGTTGGAAACGTATGTTATTGCTAGGGACCGTTTTCTGTCTCCAAACGGGAAAATGTTTCCGACAGTCGGAAGGTAAAGCTGATTTCGATAGTTCTACTTTTCTTATTCATAAAAGTCTTCTTTCTCATGTTAAGTGTCTCACTGTAGGATCCATATGGCCCCCTTCTCCGATGAATTCTTATTTGTTGAAATGGCAAATAAGGTACATTATGTGCATCTTACAAGGAAGATATGTCTGAAATTGCTTATAACATAGATAAGAGAAATTGCTGTGTTAAGTATGTGATGTTAAGCTTTCAGTAATTAGGTTATCCACCTCTATGCAGGCTATGTTCTGGCAGCAACAGAACTATTATGGAGTTGATTTGACACCTTTATATGGATCAGCACACCAAGGTTATTTTTCCCAGGTATATCCATTTACAACTAATGGATCACTGATTATTGTTTTTTTTCCATTTTACAATGAGTCAAATCTACTGATTTTGTAGCCCGTGGTTGATGCATTTGATCCGAGATTATTGGTGGCTCCCTCGATGTTTCATGTGATAGATTTCACTCAGATGAAGGTATATCTACTCTCTGTACATGACATTTGGTTCATGGTGTTTCCTTAAAACCAAAGACATTTTTCAGTCATACAACTTCATATATATGGAATAGCTATGTGCAGCTTCCCTGTTTGGTGAATGACATGATTCAAACTCATTTCGCTGTAAATTCATTTTCACAGGAAGAACAATTTTACGAGTTTGATGTCCCGTTGAAGTTCACAGCGTCTGTGTGTACCAGAGTGCATGGACTTGCGTGCTGGTTCGACGTTCTCTTTGACGGAAGGTATCAAGTCACAACAATTTATATGAATTATATTCCTTTGCAGTCATATAAAGGAGTACAAATAAAACCTGATCTGCTCTGTATATCCAACAGCACTGTGCAAAGATGGTTCACGACTGCTCCTGGTGCACCAACAACCCATTGGTACCAAATAAGATGTGTTCTCTCGCAGCCTATTCATGTCATGGCAGGGCAAGAGCTCACTGGTAGACTTCATTTGGTTGCCCACAGTGCTCAGAGTTACACTATAAATCTAACTCTCTCAGGTCAATTTTTCTCTCTTACATCTCTCCTTACAAATTACATCATCTACTTTCGACTCTGTTTCTGATTTGCTTTTTAAACAGCTAAAATGTGGGGGGTTGGTGCCAATCAAGGCGGAATCCTCCAGACATCATCGTGCAAACTCGATCTAAAAGAGCCTTATTATAGAATGTCTCAGCCACAAGCATACCCTGTTTCACAAGAACCACTAGCTCAACCGCAAGTAAGCATTTGTCATTGTCTTAATTAGTCAGTTAGGATATGATCACTATTGTGATTAATCATCGGGCGTTTTTATCATCTCTAGAAGTGTGATATACCATCAGTAATAACTATATCACCACTTTTGAAGCCATCAGTTTCTTTAACTTTTGCATCTATGGAGAAATATGTATTTATACTTTCTCGGTGCAGGACATACAGATACAGAGCGATGACTTGGAAGAAGTAGAGTTACTACAACAGAACGCAAACGCTCAGCTCTAGAATGCAAGATCCTTGCCATTGCTTCCATCCATGTCTCTGTATTTTGTGTTTGGTTCCCATGGTTTAGCTCCAATCCTAACTTTCAGACTTTAAACTTTGAGTCCGAGTCCATTTAAACTTTGTATCACCACATGGTTTTTGATCCTCTCTTAGGAGACACCAGGTTAATTAAGTGTTTGGTGCGTAATTCTATTTTGCTATGTTGAGCTTTACAATCAAATAGAGGCGTGGCCAATGAGTCATGTGAAAATAAGTATTGGCAGAAAACTCCAAAACTTTTAGTATAGAAAATATTTTAATTTTGTGAATTGAAGAATGTGCAAATAATGCATTGGACAAAGGAAATGTTACAGTATAGAGCAAATTTCAGGCTCAGCTGATTACGGCTGCAACCACGGGCTCAGGCGGATTAGCAACAATGACATTGAAGCAGCGTCCACATAGAGTAGGATGGTCAGAAAACGACCCGACCTGGACCGAGTAGTTCCAGCACCTCTCGCACTTGGATCCCTCGGCTCGTGACACACCAATCCATACCTTGTTCTCTCCCTCCACATACTCTCCTGTGTGTTGTACACTGCTTACCATCTCCTTCTCCATTGACGACACTACCTCAACCTGTACACATATCCACAAACAGTTTCATGGCTAAACTCTAAAAGAAATGACTCATCTGCTGATGATCTATGATAATCTGTATCCTATCTTCATCGGTAACGTGAATGTGAACCTTGAACACAAGTTTCTTACCTGTGATGTTATGAATATGCGTTGCAGCGTGTCAGCTTCATTCTGAGCTTCACACATTTTTAATAATTTTGAAGCCATGCCTGCATCTGCGGTATGCAGATACACCTTTGCTTCTAAACTGGAACCGATTAATTTCTCATTACGTGCGAGCTCCAACACTTTGTTCACCTCAGTCCTCAACTGTCACACAAAACACCATAAGCCTATTTTAAGATCCCCAATACATAAAAGGCATCAAGAAAATGTTGTCTTGAGGAAGAAGAAGGAAACGAAAAGATTAAAACATATAGTTCTTACGGAGGACTTTTGATAATCCTATCCTAATTAAGTCGAATATTGCGATATTGTGTAACATCAACTTCATCTCCACTAAGAAGCTAAGGAACTCTAATACTTAGCTATAAAAAGCGTAGATGGAGGAAGTTGCTGAGAGTTCATCAGTTCTGATTAGGAGATTTTTGATACCTCGAGAAGCCTTTCCCAGAAGAGAATATCTCCAGCAGGAAATGAAAGCCACTGTTCGTTCGACTTAGGCCATTTAAGTTCAAAGACGAATTTTGCTGAAGAGCCATCTTCATTTCTGTACTCAAATGGGAGATTCTGCCAGACATCTTCTGCTAGGTGAGGTACTATCGGTGCGATCACTCTCAATATGGATAAAAGATGTGTTGAAAGAACTGTTTGACAGCTTCTTCTGGTAAAACTCGAAGTTCCCCTGAGAATACGTCGAATAGCACACTTCAGAGATTGGTAAGCCAAGATCTTACATAGGTTGCCGCAAATATAAACCTAAAAATGATGAAAAACTTACCCAGTGTACAGTCTATCTTTAGCAATATCGAAGTAGAAATTTGACAGATCAACAATTGTGAATCGTTGTATGATCTGAAATAAAGAACACTCACTTAATAACACGGATCATCTAAACATGAAATCACTCTCCTCAGGTGGCGCAGCATACTAATATGAAACCAAATAGCAAAACCCAATAGACAAAACCGGTAATTTAATGACCATCCGTGGGTGAGGTATATAGTACCTGGAATATTTTGAAAAACTGGTAGTTCTCGTAACATTCTTTTATGCTTTTTACGACATTCTCAAGCTGAAAGAGAGCATGCTGATCAATGATGGGTAAATCCTGGTATGGAACAGCATTATCAACCTGCAAACAGCCAAGATTAAAGTATTAACAAGATTGTCGCCGACGCCAGAATATAAATGTTAGCAAGAAATTTTGAAAACTGGACCAAGAGGATAAAAACACTACTCTATATAAAGCTTAGAGTTAAAGACATACTCTCCAATCATGAAGATTGCCCAAGAGATATCTTAGCGTTCCTCTCAACTTCCTATATATATCAGACATTTGCCGAAGAATCTGTGGGCCTATCAGTACATCCCCTGTGTAATCTACACTGGAAACCCAGAGACGCATAACATCAGCTCCATAAGCAGGTGCGTCCTGGCATAAGAAGACAAACCCTTGTCAAGAAACAGATTGGATGGATAACAAAGATGCTTTTACACAATGGGCTTGGTTGTTATACCAGTGACGAACCTTTGAGTTTTTCCCTCCTTCAATGACCATCCGTGGGTCAACCACATTGCCTAACGACTTGCTCATTTTCATACCCTTCTCATCCAGTACAAAACCATGTGTTATAACAGCAGAATAGGGAGCCTTTCCTATATACAAGAATACAAAATGTGAAGACAAAAAAATGAAAAGCCAACTTACACCAAGAAAGCTAAAATCTGTATAGTAATTTTGCTTTGTAAAGGCAGTTATCACTGCGTGCATTTATCACCTTTTGTTGCGATGCTTGTTAACAATGAACTCTGGAACCATCCACGATGCTGATCTGTACCTTCTAGATACACATCTGCAGGCAAACTAAGACCCTCGCGTTTCCCCAAAACACCAGCCCAAGAGGAACCTGCCAATACAAATTTGAAATAAAAAAAGTGATAATAAAATAATTGATTGCCATTTGAGATAAATTGGTTCTAATTGGCATTCTTTTATTAGCGTACCTGAGTCAAACCAGACATCCATTGTATCAGTTCCCTTTTCATAAACAGCTGCTTTCTCACGATATTTCTCAGGAAGTAGCTCTTCCACTGACATATACCACCATGCATCACTACCCTTTTGGGAGATTATAGCTGTCGAACAAGGTATTCAAAAAAGGGTCAGGAAACCCATAGCAACTACATTGACTATGAATAATACAAAACACAGCCTCTAGAAAACAACCAAGACAGAGACCATTATAGCTTATTAACCCTTACACTTAACATGTTCAATTGTCTCTTCATTCATTAGGGGTTCTTTTGTCTCAACATGATAAAATACAGGAATAGGGACACCCCATGTCCTTTGTCTTGAGATGCACCAATCAGATCGACTGGAGGTCATGGCAGATATTCTGTTAACTGCCTGAATGACAATCGCCAAAACATATCAGGTACCAAATTAAACTCAAAACAATATAACATGCAGCTCTTAGAAATAATATATAAGACAGGAAGCTAAGTGAGAAAATCCATCCCAAAACAATGAGAAAATCTTGCAGCAAGGTGGATCAGGTTCTGTGGTTTAATACGCTGTTACCTGATGTGGTATCCATTTTACATCGTTGATTGCATCCATAGTGGCCTTGCGAAACCCTTCAACCGATGCAAACCACTGCTCCGTCGCTCTAAATATCGTCGGTTTCTTAGTTCGCCAATCATATGGGTATTTATGAGCTGCACACAAAAGGAGGAATTCAAATCATAAGACTCTTTTAATTTGAAATAAAGTGGATGACAAATGTTTACTCTGGCCAGAAATCATCTGAAGCAAACTCACCATATGATTCTTCCATGACCAGAGACATATTTTCATCCAGGTAACTGACAACAGCACTATTCCCTTCTCCAAGGACAGAGAGTCCACTAAACTGTCCAGCTTCTTCAGTGAACTTTCCTCCGTCATCCACAGGAGAGACAATAGGCAGCCCATACTTCAGGCCGGTTGCATAATCCTCCTGACCATGACCAGGGGCAGTGTGGACCAACCCTGTTCCTGATTCCGTTGTTATGTAATCACCACCTATAACAACTGGACAGTCCCTGTTGTCAATTGGATGTGTGTACCTACAACCATGAAAACACCATAAACCAAGGAGTTGAATTTATAGCATCACATGCAAAACTGAGGTTCTTTTATTCTCTAGTTTTAAATGTAACCTGCAGTTTTCAAGATCTGCACCAAGGAATGTTTTACTTATGATAAGCTTCACACCCCATTTCGCTTCTAATGCTGGCACAAGGTCGGTAGCTACAATCACGAAAAGCTTTTGTTGATTCTTCAGAACCTTCCCAGGCATTTTCTTTTTATTGCCTGTCAACGCAGATTCATCTTCTGACGATGACTTCACTTCAACAACAGAGTACTGAAGCTTTCCATTCACCGCGACAGCTGAAAGTTAGACAAGAAGGAAAGGAAGAAGAGTCACTAAATGTGCTTATATAGCTCCTACATACAGAAAACCAGACAAAAAAAAGGAGTAATGATCCTTGCATCTAAGTGGACAAGAGTGGTGGGAAAGAACAGAAAAAAGTAAGGTGGGATGCATTTTGGCAGCTGAGAGCAACATATACTAATATGATACTTACCGGCATTGGCTGGAATAGTCCAAGGTGTAGTTGTCCATACTGCCAAGCATATATTAGGAATAAACTCATCTAAAAGGCTTGTTTTTCCACCGTCAACCAAATTGAATATAGCATATATGCTTCTTGAAATATGACCCTCCGGATACTACATATAAAGGCAGATACAGGTGCGACTGGTATAAGATAACCAAGGTAAAGTGTGGAATCGTATGAACATTCATTCATGTAAGCGGTATGCATTAAGAAGGGGAATAGATAATTTTATTAAATCAGGGTTCATCGAGGATATATAAAGCAATACTCTGGGTCTAATGGACTAGATCACAATATTGTCAAATATCAAAGGAAGTAATAAAAAGAGTAGTAAGACTGGTATACTTTTAGCTGACTTAAGTTTTGCTCTGAGCTATGCATAATTTTATTATTCTTCTTAGAGTATCTGAGATGAAAACGGAAATTTTACCTCTAGTTCAGCTTCTGCAAGAGCAGTACGAGATGAAGGACTCCAGTGAACTGGTTTCCTACCTCTATAGATGTATCCTTGCAAAGCCATTTGGCCAAATACTTCAATCTACAAAATGTGATAAACGATACAATGATATGCAGACTTTGTCAGGCTTTTGAAAACTTACAGAATTCTTCTAATAGTCCAGTACATAATGTGGGAGGTGAGGATTATTACCTGGGCTGCTTCATATTCTGGATCAAGAGTTAGATAAGGATTGTTCCAGTCTGCCCAGACTCCAAACCGCTGCAAACACCAAGTATTATGTCATATGTGATAAATGTCAAATTGAATGACCGAATAAAATCTCTCTCATAAGTAAAATATCCTGAGGGACATAACGACTGATGCATATAAAACAAGAACTCAGGTATTGAAACAAAGCCTGATAGCCACCTTAAATGACTCCATTTGTGTCTTGACTGTTGCTTTTGCAAATTTCGCCGCTTTTGCCCTTAATTTTAGTGGTGTAAGTTCCTTTCTCACTTCCTGATCCAGGGACTGCAGAACTGAAATGTTTGACAGTTACAGCCAAATTACTCAGGCAAGTAACAAAATGGAAAATTATAAAAGCAGAGCTACTTTCTCATAGTGATGACTCAAAGGTTCATAACCGACAATGTACTTGCCTTTCAACTCAATTGGAAGGCCATGGCAATCCCACCCAGGAACGTACTGAACTTTATAGTTTTGGAGCAGCTAGATGAAGAAGCAGACAGTTGATGATAAGAAACAACTTCATTGGATGTAAGGAAAAATAGAGAATCCAAATAGAACGTAAATGCATGTCCAAGTAATGAAATGTTCATACCTTATAACGATTAATGATATCCTTCAGTATCTTGTTAAGAGCATGACCCATATGCAGGTCACCATTGGCATAAGGAGGACCATCATGAAGAATAAAACTCCCCTGAAAATCCAACAAACTATCAGAAACCAGTTTCTCGAAGCAAAGTTGATGTGAGAGGATCTAGAGAAACTCACTCCATTGTTATTATCAGAAACTCTCTTGAAGACCTGGTGCTCGTCCCACAACTTCTGGAGTTCAGGTTCCCTCGTCAGAGAATTCGCTCTCATACCAAAACCTGTCTTCGGCAAATCAACCGTGTGCTTGTACTTTCCTTCTTCTTGCTTTTCTCCTAACCAAACACAATAGTAAATAAGTCGCGACACTGCATGACAATATCAGGAAAGAAGTACAAGCAGTGAGATGCAAACCTTCAGATGCTTTCTTTGCTGCCATAACAGGCCCACGAGACCTTCGCTTTGATGAATGACCAAACTCATTGATTGGTTGAGTTGAATAGCGCGAGACGTATAGGAAAGAAAATGCATTGACGGAAGACCTTCCCTTGCCAAGAAAGGAATCCAACGGAGTGTTTCTCCTTAAATTTGAACAGTTTCTACCCAACAATACCTGAACAGGCACAAACCACATCTCAAAACTATTTTTCACGCAAATTATCAGCAAGATACAATAATTTAAGTCTCAAATTATCAGCAAGATACATTAAATTGTTCAAAACTTGGGTAATGAGTGCTCCAAGCCATACAGAGGACGTATGAGTACGTTATGTGATGCTCAGAAACTCAGAACTCAAGTAAACTACTTGCAATTTCTGTTTGTTTAAATAATACAATTATATTATCAGAAGATATATGCAATGGACAAAAGTCACCCCAACAGCCTCTGAAATTTGATCGAACAACTGGTGTGCAATAGTATAACCTTAAGAACACAACCTGCCCGTGCAGTTATTTACCTACCTTTTGAGTTATAACAAAAGGGAACTACTTTTAACGAATCCACACAAACCGAAAACTGCATTGCATTGATACTATGGACCAATTCGGAGACAAAAAAAAAAAAAAAAAAATTTGTGTTTTAGAAACTGAAGTCAAAAGAAAGGCTTTCACTTTCCCAGTATTCAAAACAAATGATGTAAACGGAGCATGCGGGTTCAAAGTAATCATTATAGGTTCAACGTACTCTGTAAGATGAGGATTGCACCATCGCCATGGCAGCCGCCTCCCTGGGATTTCCCGCAAAAGATTTGAAGAAAGACGACATCTTCTTTCACTTCTCTATCTGTCGCTTAAATCTCTCAGCTCATTTTTCATAATACGGAATTCACTATCCGGTAAGACAAGTGTGAGAAGGAAGGAAGAGAAACGTCGACGAGCTCAAAAGGCCTATGTGTGTGTGTGTGGATGGATAACTGAGCGCTGAAACTAAACCAAACCTCAGAACTCGTTTCACTATCGGGTTTTATCCGTTGATCCCTGTTTTTTAAAATATTTTCCATAACATCCCTTTTTGGAATAACTGTTATATATGGACCTTATGTTGCATTTAGAATGGAATTGGTCCAATGTCACGATTTCAATAATCGGTTGAATTGGTGATTTGTTCATTCATATTAATTAAACCAAATTAAAAACACTTCAATTTGGTCAAACTCTTTATAAACCAAAAAAGACCTTTATTCAAGTTATCGTTGCAACTTACAAACAAAATAAAACAAAGAACTATTTAAGTTTTTTAAACAGACCCATTTTAGTTGGAACAAAGAGGCATCGCGTGAGAATCTGTCCCGGCAACAACGCTCGACCACATCATCGCCGCCCACTTATCATTCAAATAGCACTTTCTCTCACTTTTTCATGTACAAAAAATTAAGAGTTTAATTACAGTTTTTTTTTTTTCTCTAGAAGATTTGAGTTTAATTACAGTTACAAAGCGAAATCGTAAACCAAAAGAGATTCGAAAGATGGCAAGTACTGTAAGTGAACGTGTGGTGGTCGTAGGAGTAGATGATTCAGCTCATAGCTACCACGCACTCGAGACGGCTCTCGACCTCTTCTTCATACCTTTCAAATCAAACCCACAATTCAAACTCGTCGTCATTCACGCCCGACCCACCGCGACCTCAGTCATCGCCGTTGCCGGTCCCGGAGCCGTCGATATAATACCGATTGTGGAACAAGATTTGAACAACACTGCGGAATTGGTCAAGAAGAAGTGTGCCGAAGTGTGCTCCGCTAAATCTGTTGAGATCGCGTCTTCGGAGGTTATAGAAGGAGATCCGAGGAATATAATGCTGGAAGCAGCGGAGAGACATCATGCGTCTGTTCTTGTTCTTGGAAGCCATGGTTATGGAGCTGTCAAGAGGGTGTTTTTGGGGAGCGTGAGTGACTACTTAGCTCATCATGCTCATTGCTCCGTTATGATCGTTAAGAAGCCTAAAAGTACTTCCACCGATAAACACTGATGAGAGAAACGAAGACGTCTCTTCCCTTTTTATATGTTACGTACCATTTGTTTTCTTGTTAAATAAGACCATTATATCGTAACTTTGTATTATACAAATTGTATACTCTAATTGTCCCCCAGCAACTTCAATTTCAACGTTTTTTTTTGTTTTTTACTAAAGGGTTTATACGTTAATAGCTTCAATGTATATGTTCATTGTATTGAGTAAATTAATTGGTTCTTGTTTGTTCCATTCTCGTTGGTTTCTTTTTTTTTATATATATATGCATGCATGATTACCCTTCTAAATAATAAGAATTCTAAATTTTACTAAGCTGTCGTTTTTTACTCAAAATATATTTTTGATAATGACAACGAACTGCACTGACCAATAACTTTTCTTTATCGTCCACATTTCCATAAGAAAAACAAATCATTTCAAGAAAGACACATTAGTTGTAATCTCGATATCTGCAAAAAAAAAAAAAAAAAAAAAAAAAAAAAAAAAAATCAGTAAGTTATTAGATTAAATGTAAAAATTCATTTTGTGTGGTTCTTAAAACGTTTTTTAAGAAATTTTTGTGGTTCGAAATTTGGTGGGCTGTGTAGGTCAATCGTTAAAAAATTTCATGTAAAATGTTAATTTTGTTTTTCATTGTATTTAGGTAATAAATATCTTAGTTGAACCTTCCTGGTTCATCATCCCCCCCCCCCCCCTACCCTACTTGACGAACCTCTCCATTCCCGACGACAAGCAAGCAATGTATAAAACCTTTAACCCTCTTTCTGATCAGCTTTTCCTTCCTTCTTCCATGGCAACTCTCGTTGTCTGAGTTAGATACTTCTCCAGTTTTTACGAATTTTTTATTTATTTATTTGAGTACGCGGAACCGGCTCGTTGCTTGGTAAGTGTTAATTTGTGTCTCCGACGATCTCTCGGATCCTTGTTTTGATCGTCTTGAGCTAGGTGTTCGAAATCCGAAGCTCGATTTTGGATTTGATTCGATGTGTTTAGTGTTGATATCACGGTTCTGAATCTTCTGATTTAGCATCCCTATTTTCTTTTGAATTCGCGTAGGGTGTGTGCAGTGAAGATTTTTTTCTGGGAATTTTTGAATTAGGGATTTTGAATAGTTATGGATGGTAACAAAGATGATGCGTCGAGGTGTCTGAGGATCGCCGAAGCCGCCATTGCTTCCGGTGATAAGGAACGGGCACTGAGATTTATCAGGATGGCTAAACGGCTTAACCCAAGCCTCTCTGCTGATGAACTTACTGCTGCTTGTGAAAATCTGGGTTCAGTTTCAGGGAATCCATCTCTCAGTGAAAAGCTCAAATCCGTGGATGGTGATAACCTCGAGCCAGGGAAGAGTAACGAGAAGATGAAATATACTGAGGAGAACGTGGAGCTGGTTAGGAATATAAAAAGGAACAACGACTACTACACGATTCTGGGTTTAGAGAAGAATTGTTCTGTTGAAGAGATTAGAAAAGCTTATAGGAAGCTGTCCTTGAAAGTTCACCCGGACAAGAACAAGGCACCAGGCTCAGAGGAAGCGTTTAAGAAAGTCTCGAAAGCGTTTACGTGTTTGAGCGATGGGAACTCGAGAAGCCAGTACGATCAGGTGGGATTTGTTGACGAGGTCGATCATATCCAGAGGCATAGTAATCGTGGTAGGCCAAGGAGGAGGTATCATACACGGCATGAGTTTTTCGATGATGAGTTTGATCCCGACGAGATATTCAGGGCGTTTTTTGGTCAGCAACGAGATATGTTCCGTGGTTCTCATGCTTATAGGACTAGGCAAGCGCGAGACCAACACCGAGAAGAGGAGCCTAATGTGGCTGTACCAAGCTGTTTGACGATTATTCAGATCATACCGTTCTTGCTTCTTTTGGTGCTGGCTTATCTACCTTTTTATGAGCCGGACTATTCTCTGCACAAGAACCAGTCTTATCAGATACCAAAGACGACGGAGAATATGAAGATTAGCTTTTATGTTAGATCATCATCAGCGTTTGATGAGAAGTTTCCGCTCGGTAGCTCTGCTCGAGGTAACCTTGAGGGCAACGTGATCAAAGACTACAGAAACTTTCTTTTCCAGTCCTGTCGCATTGAGCTCCAGAAACGGCGGTGGAACAAGAAGTTGCCTACCCCTCACTGCAATGAACTTCACGATCGTGGATTTGTCGATAGGTAAACAGCTTTCTTTGTTCCTACATATACTGGTTACTTGTGATTCCCTCGTACCATGTTTACTTAGCTCCTCCACAATTACAAGGCGAATTTTCAAATGTATTAGATCTTGACGAGTAAAACCGTTTTTTTTTACACATCTTAAAGATGGCCATACGTATGGAACCTATACATTTTTTTGGACTACTGTTAAGTGTTAGCTTCTTTATGGTCATGCAACAATCATTGATGTTTAATCCTTTGTTTCTTTGACACAAAGCAGGCAAATACCGATATGATATCAGCTCAAAACTGTTCAGCATTTCATGAAGACTGCTAGATGTTTCAGAGGTTCTTGGGGCTGAACGTGTAAACTGTAATGTGTAGGGAAGATAATTGTAGTCTCTTTTGATTTTTGCATATGGATTTGGAGATCATAATGTCTTAGGAGAATATTGAGAACAAAGAAGATAGTCCTGACAACAGAGGTACCACTTTGCTATACTCATATTATATTGAAAAGAAAAAGAAATTGACTCCAACACCACTCTCTAGAAGTTACAGCAAATAATATTACTTTCCAACAAGGCCTTGATTTGTTTCAATCAGATTTAGCTCTATTGCTAGATCATAAAAACTCATGAAGAAATGAAATTCCAGGGAGTAACAACATATGAAATTTCAGTGTCTTAGAAAGTGAAAATGAGACCAAACAACATCTCAAAACCTGTGAAAAGTGGTGTTTGTGGTCGTTGAGAATGAATTGAACAAATAACTCAAGAGCCCTACTGACTTCTATTCTTCAAGGTTATGTTAACTTGCACGTGCTACCGTGTGGTCTGATGCTTATAGAGTCAGGTACGTCTACAGGATACGAGTCGATAAAGTCGAGCCATTTGTTCACTGTATCGGGCTCTACTTCTCGGATGCATCTCCACACCGCGCTGTTACACTTGAACCCACTTCCGAAGGCAATCTGCAAGACCCTGTCGCCTTTTCTCATTCTCCGTTTTGCTTCCAAGTAAGAGAGCGCGTACCAAACGGACGACGAAGATGTATTCCCGAACCTGTGAAGAGTCATCTTTGATGGCTCAATGTCTTCTTTTGTCAAGTTCAGGTTCATCTGCATTGCTTGAATCACCGCTCTTCCTCCTGTATGAATGCAGAAATGCTCAAATGCTGTCTTGAAGTTTGGTGTATAAGAAGAACTCGGCTTATGGATCTTTAGTTTCTTGCAAAGTACGTGTTGTATCACGTATTGCAATTGCTCTATGTAAGGTAATACCAAAGGCCCCAGTGAAGTTAGATTCATCTTCAACATCTCTCCCGCCACGCTGATTACGTCTTTGGTTATCGACACCCCTTGCTTTTCCTCAGAGTCTACGTCTTGATAGATGCATCGGTAAGCTCGATCGTCATCCGCTTTATTTTTCCTAACAACATGCAAGAGCTCATACTTTGCATTACCTCTGTGTCGATCATTGCTAGACATCAATACTGCAGCTGCTCCCATTCGAAAGAGACAGTTTGTAAGAAGCATAGATCTGTCTTTGCCGATATACCAGTGCGTGTTCAGGGCTTCGGTGCTGACGATAAGAGCCAAGGAGCCTCGGTGAACCTTTAGCAAGTCCTTAGCCAAACCGACTGACAGAATCCCAGCCGCACAACCCATACCGGACAGGTTAAAGCTCTTGATATTGCTTCTCATGTGGAACTTGTTGATCAACATTGCACTAAGAGACGGTGTAGGCGCATGCAAACTGCAGTTTGTTATCAGTATGTCGATGCTTCTTGGGCTTAGTTTGTTTTTCTTCAGGAGATCCTCGACAGAGGCGAAGAGAGTGGTCATGGCTTCGATTTGGACTGCGGAGAGAGATTTCTTGAGGGGTATTTCGGTCAGTGAAGGAGGAATGCTGGTTTGGTTGCTTAACCAGGACCTCTCAAGAACCCGGGCTTGGAAATCGATACTCTCTTGATCAAGCTGGTTATCTAGGTAGATGGTCTCGAGAAGAGTAGACATTGGGAAGCGGTTTGAGTCAGGAGCTCGGTAACAAGTGAAATCAAGTAAGTAGACTTTGACTCTACTCCTAATTCTTTGGTAGATCAAATGCAATAATAGCAAACTAGCAAAGATCTCAAAGATAGAGCCACCTGAGCTGAGAAGCGTCATCAGCTCTGACATGGTCAAGGAGATTGGTGAAACTATGTATATAGTTTGGTTCATTTCACTTTTTTAAGTTGGAGTTTCTCATGGATTATTTAATTCCGCTCACTGTGGTGGGTTTACATGAAGATATAAGAGAAAAATGAAATTATCATGTGGAAGTTGTTGCAGAGGATTTTACTGCGTTAGGTAATGCTGATGTTTTCAGCATTCTTTGTGTGCTTTTGTGTTTCTATAGTCTAGTTCGTTGTAATCCGGTTTTCTCCGGTTTTTGTTTTGCATCAATCCAAACTGTCTAATCAACAATTGTCGTGTTAATTAAGTCCTAGATTAGATCATTTACAATTTGGTACTATCAAATCATTTATTTGTTTGTCTTCTATGTAAACCAACAAAAGGAAATATAATAGGGCCAGATGGTTTGTAATGTTCTTATCGTGCTTTACAAAAAATGCAAAAAAAAAATCATGAAGATAATTATTTAAAACCTGACAATCTGAGGGGTCTGAAATCAGAAAAATAACGTACATTTTTATTTTTACGAATCATTAGTCATTACGGTCCAAAATATGAAATTATATGGGTGACTTTGAGACACGATGGGGAAACTTGATGAGCAAAAGAAACACACTGGGTTTGTCGGAACGACAGTGTTTTTAGGAAAAGGGGATAAATTGCTTGCCGTTCTAATAATATACGTACGTAGCAGAACGTCATGCATTTTTTCAGGCTCTTGGCCTTCATTAAATGACAAGTAGGTTTCGGCAATTACAGACAAATTAGATTCTGTGGTTAGCTTTGGCAATAACTTATGAAAATGAAAGACGAAACTCACAACGCAAACACATGAGCACGAAGTCATACAGAGGTATTAAATGGATGGGTTTGACCCATCATGAACAGTATTTATAGACCCAACATGTTCTTGTCACAACATGATTGAATTAGATGGGTCGGCAAAACCATTAAATTCTATGGGGTTAGAATGATCAAATACTTGTAACATTAATATGATTTTTATTAATTACATTCATCTTCCGACTATTAAATTATTAATCATTCTAGAGAGTATGTCGATTAGTGGACCGTGATTTGTTCAGATTGTGACATCTACTGTTTGGTTACTTTGTTTTTGCGTTTACAACAAATGCTTTTTTGCGTTTACTTTGTTGTTTGTACATGCAAAAGCCAAACGCCAAACGACGTAAGTGCATTTTACAAAAATATTTTATGAAAATCTGAAAAAATGTAATAAGTTTTGAAAAAAATACACCATCTGCAATGATTTTGAGATCTTGATCTCTTTCTTGAACGATCATACTAAATTGATCTAGTGACACATGATCAGCTTCTAAATAATCTATTGTACATAGTTTTAGTCTTTGGAACATGTATGAGTCCACATGGAAAAAATACAAATAAATAAAATCAAAATGCAAATGAATATCACCCAAAAATAAAAATAAAAAGAGTAAATGAGAAGGAGGCCCTTTTTTTCCCTGACTCTTTGGCTTTGCAGAATCCTTCATATGTAGTTTCATCTCATGGACCCCCTTTTATGTCCTTTTCTACACGTTACATAATAACAAATCTTGTGCGTTTTTTATGTCGTTGATCCACTTAACAATATCAATGTGAAAACCAAATTTGCACTGTATTGATTTTTAAAGATTAGGTGATCACTATCAGTGCTGTATGTAGCGGTACAACCGTTGTTAATGCCTTAATTTTGTGGGTCACAAGAGATAAAAACAAAATAAATATAGAGTTTTTGGGGACCATGGAATCATAATGCATGTGCAAAGGCATGTGCCTTTTGATTCACTCATTTAACACAAAACTCACACTTAAAAGCCAGTCAAACCCCCACAAAACCTCCCCTTTGACTAGCTTTTCCAGTGAGTTTTTTTGGTTACTACTTTAATTAATACTCCTACGAAACACAACATAATAAAGCAATACAGATGATCTTTAACTCTTTACGTAGAGATTAGAGAAACAAAAACAAAGGATTAAAATAAGCAAAAGAAAAAGACAAACAAACAGAAGAAAGTATCCTAAGTTCCTCTCTCCTTGTTTTTGACAAAAAGATGATATAATTAACATATAGAAGAGTAGTGTGACATTACAGTACTAATAGGATTAAAAAAGCAAGATGAAACTAGTTTTAGTTTTACTGTATTTTTCTTGTCTAAGATTAAACAAACACTTATTGGAATGAACGCAAGACTAAAAACTTTATTATAATTCAGCTTCTGACGGCCAACAATGAAGGAATTGCATCCAAGTTTGGGGTAGTGTTCTTGCTTCTAGAATCTGAAATTGTACGGCCTCTTTTACCAGAGGAAGAAGAAGTGAAAGCTCTCATTGGACTTGCAAATGCCCATCCCCAGCTTCTGTTCCTTCCACCATGACCCATGTTGTTTTGATGATGATGATGATGCTCAGCTGATGAGGATGATACCCATGACGATGATGATGAGGAAGATGACGATGACGTCATGATCATAAACCCACCAAAGATCCCACCACATCTCACCATCTCCCTAACACCATTGCTACTAGGGTTACTGCTACTACTACTGACTTTACCTTTGTTGTTACCTTCTCTCTGTGACTCCACTCTTCTTAAAGTACAATCTCCAAACCCATTTGTGATCCTCTCGAAGAAATCTCCAGAGAAGCTTCTGCTTCCACACCCAACAGATCTGGATCTCGATACTTTCCTCTCGCTTGGTGTGACTGTTGTTGCTGCTGCTGCTGTAACCACAACGTTAGGGCTTCCATCTTCCTCTACAATCACATCAATGCCGTTTCTGTTACTACTTCCAGCTCCGGTTACTCTCTTTGACATCGAGGAAGATGATGACGAAGAAGAAGAAGATCCCACAGTCGTCGCCTCTGTTCTCAAATCGCTCTTCTCTGTTTTCGACAGAGTGTTTTCCGTCTGATTTGTGGGTTGTGGTCTCGTCGCCGTCGTCGTCTTCGAGGACTCGTGAAAGCTTCCGACTTTCTTGCTGCTGCTATGGTGTTTGTAAGAGTGGAGATGCAGAAAAGACCAAAACCCATTCCGTTTTCTCGGGCTGAAGTCAGAACCACCGTACGCCGCCGTCGTCGTCGACTGGCTTCTCTTGTAGACGATATTCGCCGCCGAGGAGGAGGAAGTCGAAGCTGTAAGCATCTCCTTCTTCTTCTTGGCCAGCAAAAACGGAAGCTTGTTGCCGTTATTGCTGCCGTGGTTGTTCGTGACATTTCTGGCTCCGGCGACGGAAAGGGAGAGAGAAGCTGAGAGATTTGCGGCGGAGGCGGTGGTGCTGCCTACAGAGTCAGATCTGAAGGAAGGAGAGGAGGAAGAAGAAGAGGAAGAGAGGTGTTTGGGGAGTGGGAAAGAGGAAGTGACGAGCTTTCCGAGTTTCTCTTGGAGACAGAAAGCACAGATCCCACCTGGGTTCTTCGTGAATGGATGGTTCACGCATTGCATCCCATCACCCATATCTTGATCCTTTGCTTCCACCATTGATACACCAAACCTTTTTGTTCTTCTTCAATTTTGTTTTTGTTGAGTTTCTATGTTTCTGTGTGAGTGTGAGTGTGAAGGTTCACGGCATCTAAAACCAGATTTCAGTTTTATTATTTGTGTTCTCTTCTTTTGAGAGAGAGAGAGAGATTGCTTGAGAATGAAAATGGAGGAAATGAAGGAGTGGGTTTGTGCAGAGTCCTGGAGAGAGTTGGGATCGAGTTCCCAGGTGCACGTGGGATACTGACTTCTTTGTGGCTTCTCTCTCTCTTTCTCTTTCTCTTTCTCTCTTTACTTTTGGGTTTGGTTATATAATTAAATATAATCAGCTCTTCAAATCTTCCAAAAGGTCACACAACTAATCTTATGTTCTCTCTATAATCAAATTTAGGATGGACTAAAAAGGCTTCTGGTTCCATTATGCATCCCCACATCCACGTGGCTTTTTTTCGCTATTTTCCATTACCATTTCTAAAGCCATCTCTTTGTTGCTTTATGCATCCATATTAGTGATTACGTGTTCGATAACACAGTCTAGTTTAAAAGGTACACACCGATAAAACAATGTGACAAGACATGTATATGGAAGCATAAGTTCTGAAAATTACCGAAATGTTTTGGCACTTAAAATAGTCTAAGCAGACCTTTTTGTTTGAGAATTGTTTGGTACACGCCTAAAAGAAAGTAAAATGTCTTTAAAATTACGATTATCTAGCTATTTTAAAACGAGTTCGAATAGATCTAGATAATTCCAATCGAATTACAGCGAACATCGAAACAAATAGTTTAAAAGAGGACATTGTATTGGACTAGTAGATAACTTTTTTATTGAATCTTGGACATTTTATTGGACTTGCAGATTACCTAAAAGGTAACGAGAGATATAGAGAAGAAGAAAGAGTGGTCCATAACAACATTGAATTTTCATGTCTTTTTGAGCTTATTACACCATTGACTGGTGTCTCGTCTCTCTCATAGACATTATATTTTTCTTTCGTCCCCATCATTTTTTTTTTATATTCATTTTAAATTGTAGTAATATTTTGTTCTATCTGATATAAGGTCATATTCTTTGACAGGAAAAAAAAAACATGTGGACAATTATGAAAATAGTTTAAATTTTATATCAAAATTAAGAAGATATTATTCTATAGTTATTTAAATTAACACAATAGTCTGAAATCTACTCCTTTAAGTAAAAACTCAGAATCCTAAATTTAGTCCTTTTTAATAAACTAAAAAACACTGTATTATTTCCTTAAGTTACTCATTTGTTACTGTACAGTATTTAATTTATAACTGAGATAACAAGCCAATTAAACGATACTCATTCTGTCATTCATAAATGCGATAATCACACATCATGGGGAAAACGGAGAATCGAACGGTGGCTGTTACGCTAAGCGTGAGTTTACAATTAGAGCCGTTGGATGGGTAATTAGTAGGCTCACATGTGCACGTCCTTGAACTTGTTTGTTTTGTCTTATTCTATAAAACGGAGAGAGAGATTGAGAAAGAAGTCTCACGCCACCTTGGGAGCACACTACCTACGAACCATTTCCTAATTTTATTTTATTTTGGACTTTGCTCTTTCCTTATCTCATTGATGACTAATATATACAGTTATATACTATAGTATTTAGGTCATAAATTATTAGGAGTGTCACTTGATATATATAGAGAGAGAGACCGAGATGGATTAAAGTAATTAGCTACGTACATTAAAGGCTAATTTGCATAAACAGGCTCGCAAAAGCATGAAGCCCCTCCATACATCACCCGTACACTATCCGGATTTCATATGCTTTAGGCCCATATAAGTTAAGGCCCAACAAAATTCTCCCGCGTAAAGGAAAATGAAAAACCTATCTGTCTTCTCTGAGAAGTTTAGGAGTTAATGACAGCGGGGAAAATGTCCGTCGCCGGCGAAGAATCGACTCACCGTGCTCAGAGACCTCTCACTGATAACGATATCGTTCGTTTAGCTCAGTACCACCACTGCCACACCGGTTTCTCTCTCCCTCCCTACCTTCTCTCCACGGCTTCCCACGATCCTCTTCTCTCATACCTCCAATCCCGCTCCTCGTCACCCTCGCCGTCGAAACCTGTCTCTGAGTATGTGGTTGCTCTTTTGTCTTTAATTTCTCTATCCCCGACTACTCCGCATCTTTCGTCTCTCCTCGCCTCTCTTCTCATCTCCTACACCCAAATCTTCAATGCCGGCAAAATTCCGAGCGACTCGGATTCCCTCAAGACGATTCAGCTCTTCGGTACTCTCTTACGACATTTACACATCAAGGAGCTGAAATCTGTAGTCGATTCCATCTTATCGGGTGTCTCTAGAGTTATCACTGTCGATGACGCCCAGCTGTTTGATTTATTGCCTGTGTGCTTTGATTTATTGCGGAATCCGAGAGAAGCGAAAGCTAGTGAACTCGATTACGTTAATTCAGCGATTGATCTCGTTCTTAGCTGTGAATGGCAGAAAGGGCTGTTGACGAAAGTGGTTTCTCTTGCAAAGGAGTTCACATTTCTGGATAAGGGGAGAAAGAGTGAATTGCTGGAGAAGGTGTTTTCTGGTATAAAGAGTATAGACTTGCAAGATCTGCCGTCACTTGTGTATCAATTGTTGGTTCTTGCTTCGAAAGGCTTTTGCAAGAGGGAGGTGATCGGAGGAGTTGTTGGTTTTTTTGGGTCGAAAGCTGAGACCAAAGTAGCCTCCGTCCTTAGACAGATCGAAGGAACCGTTCTTCTTCATGTGAATTTCGCAGTGAAGCAGGATCCTTCACTGGGGCAAGAGGTCGTGGCGTTAGTCAAATCCGATTTCAGAGCTTTCAATCATTTTACAGTTGCCGTTCTGCTTTCGGTTGCTAGGGTCAGAAAGTTTGGTGAGAACTCCTTGGGGATTCTGAGAACGGCTTTGCTTACTGCATACAACGATTACAGACTCTCCAAGTAAGTAGTAGCAAACTTCTTTGTACTTGTTTTGGATTTTGACGTTTCATGAGGTGAACTCTCCTGTGCTTTATATACATGTGACTAGAAGAACCAATTTCATCGACCTTTACTGAAAAACAAGTACACTATACTGTAGGGAAAACTTGTGTGACCTTTCTCCATGTAATATACGTTTTACCAATGTTTTCATCAATGATATACAGAGATTGCAAGTGGTTACCTGATGAACTGAAGGAAGAGAGTTTCCTGCATGCCAAATTGGTTGAAAAATCTTTGCTAAGAGCGGTATATTCCCCTGCATTTTTACTTTTGGGATTTTTGTCCTGTCTATCATACCGGGACATTCTTGCAAGAAGATTTAAGCAATATATTTTCTTATATTTTATTAGGTTAGTGAGTGTAGATATGCGAGGGAGCATGTGGTTCCAAGTGTTATTCAGTTTGGCTTTATGTTGCTAGAATCTGTTGAAGATAGCAGATCCAATGATTTTGGTGATTCTAGTGGCGTACTGGGTATTGAGAAGCTTAGCGTTCAGATTCTGGGTATCTTATTTGAAGTCCATGATATGACAAGAAACGAGGTGCATAACTATTTGATTACTGATGCCTTAAGTTCCTTAATGGTTTTTAGACTAACAGTCAAACTTTTATGGCAGTTATTTGCGTCCGTAACACAACACTTAGCTGAGTGAAATATTTTGCAGATAATTGAGCAATGCAAGTTTCGGATTCTTTCTTTGAAATGTGCAAAGAGCAAGCCAATAATAAGGTCAGTAACGCTTAATAGATATGGTTGTTAACTATTTTTCCAAGAGCTGAGAAAGTTGAGCTTGTAGGTTATTAGGGTGTCTTGTCCAGAGATACTCACTTATCATGTTGGAATTTGTCCACCATCTCAAAGAGTTATTGGATTATTTCACTTTCATGGAGGGCAATATCAGCTGTTTTCTTGTTTCTGCTGTTATCCCGCTCATCAAATTCAGCCGTGATCTTCAGGTAAAATACATTTGTAGTACATTCTCTTTTGTTCCACTCTCATCTGCACATCTATTTCTGCTTGGAGTGTTTTAGGTTGTAGAATTGATAATTTGATGCATTTTTTCAACCTACGCAATTGGGAAGAAGAAACAAGCCTCCACGCCAAGAGCTCAGATTAATTCTAACTTGAATGCAGGATTATACCATCTTGGTGATCCGGAAGGCTATGTTTAGACGGGAAGATACAGTTCGTGTTGCAGCGACAAAAGTAATAATTGATCTAATACTTGCAGAGAAACAAGCTAAGAGAGACAGCTCATTTACTTTCCAAGACTCATCAAGCCAAGCCAGTTCCAGTCAGCACACTGAGATGAGCTGTATTGTGAAGGGAAACCTCTTTACTGAACTGAATGGGTTGCTTCAAAGATGTCTTTACCAACAGGTGTCTTTTTCGTCCATGATCATTGAAAATTTATTTCAAGAATTTGTTAGAGCTCTTTGTTACCTAAATGTAGGCAAAAGTAAAGGAAGTAGTTTATGATGGGCTTGTGAAGTTAGTCCTGATTGATCCATCAAGTGGAGGACATGTGTTGGACTTTCTTATGCCTCACTTTCTTCGTTTCTTCAGACAGGTAACTATCAGATGCTTCATCCTCTCTCCACACTGAGAATGAATTCTCCATCTGGTTTGTTAAAACAGAAAAAAAGATGCTATATCTTTTGAAATTCTCGGGACCCTTTAATTTTGTTTACATGGAAGAGCTGTTGCGAGATTTTTTAGAACTTGTATTATTGATAGACACATTTTCATGCATACTTTGACAACTGGCAGGACGCAGATTTTCAGCTTGGAATCACTTCATGCATTAAAGTAGAAGGTGGTAAATGTACAATTGAAGAGCCCTTGGATAAGCTTCTCTTTTGTATCTCTTGGATTTTACTCCTCCAGCCGCAAAACAGTTCTGATCGGCCTTCCGATGCCGCGTGGCCATGCTTTGGTTTCTCACTTACTCAAGAAAATGAGGTATTGCTACAGTAGAACTGGTCTTTGTGTTACCTAATAGACCGTAATTGTTAGTAAAAAAATGTGTGGATGCATTCAAATTTCATATGGCAGCAGCAGGTAGGAAGAAATGTATCTCAAGAAGTGTACTCCAGTGCTTTGGTGAAGGTCCGAAGCTTCCTACTTGGCAAGAAATTAGAAGGTACGTGACAGATAATCGTTGTTGAAAAATCATTGACTATTTTTTTCTGCTGTTATATTTGTTTTCTTTCATGTCTGCTTCGTATAGGTTGTGTTAGGCTTGGTTAGTTTCACAAACTATATAAAAGCTGAAGATAGTAAGTGTTAAAACCGATAGGAGTCTTTAAATTGCTCTGTTTACTTAAGCACTTAACTGCGGATCATCTTGTTTACATTTTACAGATATTGTTGGGCAGTCTCAGGACACAGTTTCCGCATCTCTAGAAGAAGATAAAAGAAAATCATATTGTTTGATTATATTGGGCATCATTCAAGTGCTGCTAAACTATATTATAATGGATCTAGAGAAACAGCCAGAAGAGAAAAAGGGTGATATAGAAAAGGAGATTGCCGATTTGATCGATCTTTATGAATCACTGGAAAAGGACGTGGGGAAATTGAAACAGGGCAATATTGGCAAGAGAGTACGATTTAGCTCCCGTAATAAATCTGATGATGCTGATGTGGGAAACGCAAGTATTAATGAAGAGCGAGAAAAAGTTCTCTTTTTGGCTACTTCAAGTATCTACCAGCTATTTCTAGTCAATTTCAAACTCTATGGCAGCAAAACCGGTGGTAATCATTCAGGTTTGCAAGATCACAGCCAGTCATCATCAACTAAGACAGAAAAATCAATTTCTGGAGTTTTCTCTTTCACTTTGCATGTTTGTGTTGCACACATAAGATCATCTCTTTGCATAAAAGATGAAAACCCACTTAAACCATTGGTCTACGGTGACATGAAAGTTCTGGGTCCTCCACTGCTAAAAGTAGTTTACCTGCTAAAGCCAGGGCTACCTCTAGCAACCGGACAGACAAATAAGGAGAATAAAGGAAGAAAGGATGCTGAAGGAAGAAAACAGTGTCTACATCTTGCCTTACTTGGCTTGAAAGAGCTACTCAGTATATATTCAACTGGCTCTGATTTGACTGGCTTGCTTGAAGTTTTGTTGGCTGTGCCTACTTCTGAGGATGCTACTTTAGAAGATTGCAGCGAAGCTTCGAAAATTGAAGATCTACTTGTAAAGAATGTCGAAATTTTCATGGAGAAAATCATGAAGCCCATGATCACGGACCTTATCACGCAAAACTCTAATGATGTAGAGGTAAATTCCTTTTAACTTCAAAATAAAATGTCTGCAGTTTCTCTTGAGGGCTTCTTTAACGTACAGGAAGCTAATACTATTATATTCACTTGCACTGTTTAGATTCTTTGTGACATAATGTTGATGCTTGGGAACACTCTACCTGACAAATTCAAACAACGGCATGGATCATGGGCTCATCAAATCTGCAGAAGCTGTGAAACATCTAACACCACTGTGGCTAAGAGTATTGTGAAACTTGCCATCTCGTTTACTGCATCCCCTGGCGATCTATGCATAGCTGTGGAAGTGGCTAAGGAGCTGCAAAATGTCATCGGTTTAGACAAATCTGATACTTTACAAGTGTCTGAATCATACATGGTCATAAACCAGTCAACAAGTGCTTCAGTAACATCTTGCATATTGCAACTAGTTGATTCAGCAATAGTTGACATGGATTGGGGCACAAAGAAGCTGAAGAATTTCTATGTGGTCTCTGAGAAGAACATCCATCTCAACCATGATGCTGAGAGTACATTTGGATTGGCTCTCGAGGAAGCCCTTTACTCAATGGCTGAGTCAACAGTCAGAATACTTTCTTCCTTTGTTTTGATGAACCTCAAAGGTGAGAGTTTTCACTTCTCAAAAATTTCGCCTGATATGCTCCTCACTAACTCTTACCTGAGCTTGTTAATCTGTACTTTCATGATCTGCAGACTCGCAAGCAGCGCAGTTTCTGAGACTAGCAGTGAGGTTTTACAAACAGTTAGCACAGATCGTGAAACAGAGGATTGCTCCCAAAGGTTCCAAGCAAAATCTTCCCAGCCTTAATTTTCAAAAACTCGTGGAACTAACTTGCAAGAGTCTCACGGTTCCTTTATATCCCTTTCTAGCTGAAATGCAAAAGGTAAAGCTGTGAAACGCAGTCATATAGATTGATGTTTCTTCGTTATTAATGATTTCACAAGTGGGGTTTCTTCCAAGTGCAGGAACAACAAGAGAGTGTGAGTTCTAGTTCCAAGGGCATAATCAACAAGATCAAACAGGAGAACAAATGCATCCCTGATTTGATATTTCAGATAGAAGACTATGAAAGATACCTAATTCAGCTAAGCAAAGTTACTAAATTCAACTTGTTGAGGCATGCAAAGCGCAGCACTGCCAGAGACTTCAAAATCATTGAAGATGCAGAAACTCCTGCAGGAGGCGAAGATGGAGGAAACCAGGCAGAGGCAGAGACACAGGACAACAACATTGGCGTTAACGAGGATGACATAGTAGAAGAATCAGAAGACGATTCAGAGAAAATATTGCCCTCCCGAAATGTTAATTCCGGATCATCACGGGACGTGGATTCTGATCAACCAAAAGCGGCTGAAGAAGACGGTAAAGAAGAAGAAGGAGAAGAAGAAGAAGGAGAAGAAGAAGAAGGAGAAGAAGGAGAAGGAGAAGGAGAAGAAGAAGAAGAAGAAGGAAGTGGCTTTAGTCGTCCTAAAAAGATAGGAAAGAAGAGTTGGGTTGTGGAAGATTCCGATGAAGATTCTGAAACATTTTAGGTTAATGTTTGTAAATAAAATTTGAAATCTAAGAGAAGGAACGTTAAGGCACTATACTAGTAGCTCTCACATTTCCTTGAACAACAAGTCTCTATGGCAGGTCAGCTCACTCGTCATCTCTACAAAGTATTAGGGTATCTAATGCTTATGGAACAAAATAAATAAATGAGGATTTGTAGACATTCGTTGTCTGTTCAACATTCTCGATAAATCATGTCAATAATACTAATCTAAGCCCGTTTTGAGTATAGATAATCTCACCATCCTTTGGAGCTCTTTAATACTAGTGATTTGTTTTCCACTGTGGAATATATGCCACAATCTTGAGTATTTTTTTATATTCTATTAGCCCGATCTTGAGTATTTAAGTTTGAAAAAGGTTGAAATTTTTGCATAAAGAATGATACTACTTTATAAAGAACACGTGACGTGATCACCAGTTTTAAAGTAATCAAATCCACTTTCACTAAACTAAAACAGCCTTATCCTATTTTGCGATCTTGAGAAGTTTTATGTTTCGAAATGCATAGTTGGGATTTATAATGAATAACTAAGCCAAGTAGGTGTTAAAACGGTTATCAAATTCACACAGTTTCCTAAAATAAACATTTTTAAAAAATAACTATATTATATTTGACGTATGCATGTATGGGTTCATCAGCTTTTTACAGGCTGTATAAATTAGTTTGAATTTCGCAGTATTTTTTTTTAAAAAAGTCAGGCATGCAATAAGAGCCATTGTTAATGAATGAGCCAGGTGTTATGGGAAACGGATTGCATTAATTTAAGAGCATTGGTGTGTTCAACTAAACAGGAGATTCTTCTCTAGTCCTTTTGCATTAAATTAAAAGGCTGATCACAAAACTGGAGTATTAAACCCCACCAATACAGTAAACCCACTTTGAAAGTGAGAGAGACAGGTAAGGGACCTCACTGTCTCTTTGCAGTCGGATCCTATGAATATGGAGTATTAATCAATAACATTTCATGGGACACACATTTTTCACACAAGGACAAACCAAAGCAAAATGTCGAAATAATTTTGGCCCACATTATTCCAAAAACGAGGAAAACTATAAGAATCTAGTGTCTTCAGTCTCTTGACCAAGTGATAATCCTCTTGACGATCGCCTTCGTGTTAATCTAACACTTAAAAAGTGATTTCTTCTGCTGGGTTTTTTTTTTCTCTGCAGAATTTATATGGCAAAGATTTTAAAACGTGACATAATATATCTCCAACTGTAAAATGAAAAACTCTTGACAAAACAAAAAAGTCAAAATATAAGAATTTGACTAAATACAAATATTTGAAACTCACATAAACCAAGTTTGTGCATTTTTCTTTTCTCTTCTGACAAATCGCGAAACCACTATATAGATATACAAAGTTATGTTTTATTTTTTTACTAACGCATTTAATTTGAAGTTCAACATTTTGGATGAATTTCACACAACTAAAACTCTTGAATATTTTTGCCAACATTTGTTATGGTTTTCTTTTGTTAATACTTAATACTCCATCGTGTATTAATACTCCATCGTGCAAAAAACAATCCATATACCAAATGATATTTGAATTTCAATGAAAGCAGTAATTATACCAAATTAATAATTATTTTGTTAATTGTAATGTAAATGTCAAACGACAACAGAAAAATAGATGTTTGTATTTAATCTTTGCGGTATATTTTGTATATATCTACGTTTCTTAAGTGAATTTATTTTTTAAAGCAATTTCACATGTGAATGTAGATAAAAAAAAGAGAAGACAAATGTAGTTTAGCCAAAAGTTTTAATATATATATATATATATATATATTTGTGTATAAATTTTAAACTTTATTAGATTTTTTATGATAAGAGAGCAATCAAGATTCACGTAAACAATTAAAAAAGGTGGGATATCATATAGAGGGTTTAGAGGATTTTGGTTTTGCAGCAACACGTTAATCTTTTACAATAGCTTCCAGCATGAAACCCTAAGCTACCGCAGAGTGTTTTGCAGTCTGGTGCAATTCCAGGTGAACATACTCCCGGACACTTGGGATCATATATCTCTGGTCTTGCTTCTGATCCTGTAAATATAATTTTATATTATCATCATTATCAAACATTCATATTGCTTTTGACATATTATTTTAATTATATATTATAATTCTGCTAAAATTTATATTAAACGCCAAATCTAAAATTTAAATGTGAATAATCATTGATCATATCTATAATTATAAGCATTAATATTATTTTCCGTTACTTGACTGACCTGTGAAGAGGAACATTACAATGATAAAAACTGCAATGAAAGTGTATGAAGATCTCTGAATATCCATTACTTGTTTTTTATAACCTGTGACGAGTAAGATTTTTTGAATTCTTATTATTAGAATATTTTTGGAGTAGTTCTAAATTTGAAGCTCAAGTCCTTTATATAGGGCAAATTCCGAAATCTTAGTCATTTATATCTCTATCAGAGGTCAGATTCAAATCTGTCAAATTTAGTGGAAAAATGAATTTGTATACATAATCTTTGACTTTTTGTATTATTAATATGTATATCTGATTATATTAAGAATTTTAAAATTATCATTTAGGGGGTGTATTCAAAGCAGATTTTATAGTGATTTGTATTCAAATTATAAACTTTCTGTTATTGAAACATAAAATTTAAAAAATTGTTTAAAATTTAGTGTTATTGAACTAGTGATTTTAAAATATATCTTCTAATTCACTATTATTAGAAATAATTTAAATAATAAATTTTCAGAAATTTGAAGTGATTTTAAGATGTTTTGGTGAAATTTTTTAGTTAAAAATATAAAAATCAAAATGGCATAGTATTGATGTTTGATAGAATTTTGATATCAAATCATTATAATTTCCATAATTCAATTAAATCATCTAAAAATTCATTAAAATTTAAATCTTTTCAAATCATTTCAAATGTTCAGTTTTATACACCTCCCCCCCTTAGAATCTAAAACATTAAATTATATGCCATTGAACTTCAAATCAACAACTAAACTTATAAACAATTAACCAAATAAAAAATTAACATAAATTTATGATATTTAATTATGGTAAAATTAACAAAAAATCTAAAACTTTACCAAATATTTGGTAGATTTTTTTAAAAGACTAGGAAAACTATAAGAATCTAGTGTCTTCAGTCTCTTGACCAAGTAATAATCCTCTTGACAATCGCCTTCGTGTTTATCAACACTTAAAAAAGTGATTTCTGCTGGGGTTTTTTTTTCCCTGCAGAATTAATATGGCAAAGATTTAAAAACGTGACATAATATCTCCAACTGTAAAATGAAAAACTCTTAAGTTTGACCACCTCAATCAATTATCTCTAGACTCTTGCATGCTTTGTAACATTAAAGCTTTGAGTAGTTTAAAGTTTAACTTTAAACACACCAAATAGGCGAATATAAGTGTGGAAATTTGTGAAAGTCGGATGTTGCAGGCTTGCAGCTATGGTAAACATAAAATTCCTAGTAAAACATCTATATCTATAAAGTAACTTTTTCTCTCTTCTCATACAGCTACCTCAGCATCTCAATCAGATGCCACTTCACCATTTAAATTTATAGATATATATTGTGATATATATGTAGCCAAAATCCATGGTTTCTCTCAAATCCACCTTACATCTTTTTACTATATGGGCTTATTTAATTTATATCTATATCTATATGGAATGTTATAGATATAGATTAAAATCTATAACAATCATCAACTTCTGCATCATTAAATTAGAGTAAAGAAACATAAACACCCGACAGAAAGATATATCACCTTCCGAGCAGAGAGCGCAAAGGACAAAAGCAATCGAAAGGGCCACGGATTAACTTTTGAGCCGACGGAAACAGTTGAGGTGTTCACAACTCTCTTCTGAATCTGTAGTTGGTAGCATGAGCGACTGAATGATTATAAATCAACTTCACATAAATAATTACAAAATGGGAGAGATGAAATAAATCAAACACAATCCACAGATGCTGTAACAAGTGAGAAAGGTCTGCCACTTGATAAAAACATAATAAATATATAATTAACAGAGGAGAGAGTAGGACAGAGAGAAACAAATTGAGTAGAGAAAATCGATGAATAATTTCTCAGAAAATAGATTAATGTTTCACGATCTGGGAACGACCATCAGAGAAAAACCCATTGTACAGGACAGCCAGTTAGCCGCCACCAAAAAACATGGTTCACTAATTGGGCTTCTGAGTTACCAAATATGGGCCTTATAGACCTTCACCGTTTTCACATATAGAAAACACATGTATTAAACTTAGAAGATTCAAATTTAAACCAATTAAAAAAATGTAAAATGGAAGAATACTAAAGTTAATAAATTAGAGTTTAAAAAATATTAAGAACCCATATAAAACCGAATATTGTCCGCTAAACAAAAACACTACAAAAACTTAAAAAACAATACTATTTAATTAAAAATAATTACTAAAAATGAATTTAAAAATAACCATATATATCTTTATGGAGAATTAACATAACAATCATAATGAAGAACAAAATGAAAAATGGAAAAAAAATTGAAACCACGAAAGCAACTTAGACATACATGGAAAGATGTACGATTACAATATTAGAAGGACTATACATATTATGAAATTAAACCATAACAATTAATATCTTATAAATATATAAAAAAAATAATGTATAAATCTGTGCGTAGCGCGGATCAACCCTAGTACACAATAAAAAATTTAAAAATATAAAAACGATACGACTTTAACAAAACAAAAAGTCAAAATATAAGAATTTGACTAAATACAAATATCTGAAACTCACATTAACCAAGTTTGTGCATTAAGTAGGATTTCTTTTCTCTTTTGACAAATCGCGAAACCACTATATAGATATACAAAGTTCTGTTTTTTTTTTACTAACGCATTTAATTTGAAGTTCAACATTTTGGATGAATTTCGCACAACCAAAACTTTTGAATATTTTTGCCAACATTTATTACGGTTTTCTTTTGTTAATACTTAATACTCCATCGCGCAAAAAAAAATCATATACCAAATGATATTTGAATTCCAGTGAAATCAGTAATTATCCTCTCCATCTGATACAATTAGAAAAATACATAAACTTTCGGTGATAGTCATTTACCAAACGTACATTCTGAACACGAGAACCAGAAAAATATGTTCATCATTATGGAAAAAGATTTGTGTTGACTGAAAGGTTGTTAATACATGATAATGTTGTGTATCGTATTTACGAGATGATGCTTTTTCTTTATGAATATAACAAGTAAATCATGCATGCTTCTATATAGTCCATTTCTTCTTGTCATATGATGCATAACTTTGATTCACAATAAACTATAAATCAATAAAAGTATATGTAAGTTGATAAATGTTTTATATTGTAAAGAATGAGAATATTACAGAATAGTTTCGTCGAAATCCACTTATACGTCTAATTGTGAATATACAGAAACGTATGTCGGGTAAAGGCAAGATTCTCCCACACGTTGAAGCTAATTCGCATGAAACCAAGAGAATATTATTATTTATATATAATTAAAAAAAAGCATATAGTTTTTCTTATTACGTGTCCTTTTGTTTGTCGTTCTGTGGATCAGATCAACATCTATCACTAACCAGTAACCCCACTAGTAATCCATTTTCTCCCGAAATTCATGAGAAGCTCATTTTCTTTAAACTTAATTACTTTCTAAAAATTAAAGTTGCATGTTGGTGTGGCGGGAATTTTCTAATTTAATAATCAAACTCTCCCTACTCTAAGTTAGTTCCATCAAACATTAACTATATAGTGACGATACATTGGATAATATAGGCAAAAAGGTAAGCTTCATCAGAAAAATAAAGAGAATACCAACTTTGATTTAAATATCTTCGGAACCTACTAAATAATAAAAACTAGGGGCTTCCCATAGATATGCAAGCTCTCAAAATACCCAAAACACCCTTTTAGCTTTACATCTTATATGACAAAACGACAAAAAATTAGCATAAGGGTGAAAAAGTCAAATCACGACTTCAGTTTGCGATGCGCTCTCTCTCTCTCTTCTGCTTCAGTACGCGAAACCGCCTGCTCGGTTTCTCGGATCCCGGCGGTGACGGTGATGGCCGCCAGAAGGCGCCGGCGAGTCAGTCTCCGTCGTTTTAACAGCCATGAACGAAAAGTTCTCTCTCCTTAAGCTTTCTTCTTCGTCCATAACCATCTGCTTCGATCTACACTCCACGCTACAAAACGCTCTATCACCTCTGACAGATTCAAAAACAAAAAAGGATAATATATCAAAGAAATTAAAACAAATCGAGGAAGAAAGAATCTCATCAGAAAAATGATGTCTCTATGATGTTGTTGGTTGATCGAGTACTTACTTATACATGTAGATATCTTTCGCCGGAAGAAGTTTCCTTCTGCAGAGAAAACAATGTTCGAGGAATCCAGAATCCGGATAACAACTTCCACGGCGGAGATCGGAGGCGGCGGAGGCGATGGCGGTGACCATGACGGCGGATTTGTTGACGACTTGATGCGGTTTGGGACTAATGAAGCCGTCACTGAGAGCGTTGTTACTCGACTCCAAAACAATACTAAGTCCCACCATTTTTTTCTCTTATATCATTATCTACTTCTTCTTCTTCTTCTGTCTTCTTTTTCTTTTTATGCTTTTGAGATTTCAGGTGTTAATGGCGAGAAAGCAAAGAAGAAGGAGAAGTTTTTGGTTTCCGCAGGGGAAAATCAAAAATATAAAAATGAATAGAGGATAGGTGGGACCTACGAGTGTACTACACAAGGACGATTGATTTGATTTCTTTTGCTTGATACTCGCCACGTGTTTCCTCCTCTTCATTACTTGTGTAACCTTTTTTTTCTATCCGATTTTTGTTTTTGATAAATATCATCGAGTTTCATTTTTGTCGTTTTGTGTGTTTTCCTGTGCTACATTGGTCCATATGAGAATTTGTTTCGAGGCCTGTGATCTTGTTGTATTAAGTTTTTTGTCCAACTCTCTTGGATTTGTGGAATCAGTGTTGGATGATATATAAACATCATAGAATGATAGAAATCATAATACTTGTAATTTTTAAAAACACAAACTATGAGTTTTAACAAGTTCATAAGTTATATCTCAATAGATATGTACTTTTATTTTTTGAACATCATACTAATATCAATATATATATATATAGATTGAAAAAGTTTTTTTTTTTTAAATTAGACACATCCATATAAGTTTGAATTTTTTTTAACTTTCTACTCGCGTCACGTTTCGAAATAAGCAAGTGGACTCTTGCTGTTGAATTCAAAAGAATAAAGCAAATCTTTCTCAGTCAATGCAAAAAAAAACAAAGCAACGGTTTTGAAGGCTGTTTCCGTCTAATTCTATTACTACTAAAAATCAAGGAGAGCAACATGATGATCTCTCAAAGGCTGATTATAAAAATAACGTGGGCCAGATTTTTTTCTATGGCCCATATAGTTAAAGGCTACAAGCACATCATTCATTTATAAAGGCCCAAACCTTGATTTACTTCAATACAATTGCAACCTTCAATAATGTGCTTGTAGCTCATTAATTCGTTCTCTCGCAACCTTTTCGAAACTCTATTTTGTGGATGGTTACGGTTGCATTATTAATCATATATATAGTTCGTCGAAAATTACTCTTTGTACTAAAAATATCATATGATATGATAGCTTTACCAATAATAACAAACTAATAAAACTATTAACATGTATTATTATATTAATTATATCAAGGGGTTTAACCAAAAAATAAATAATAATTAAAGGGTTAAGTTGTAGGTCATTTTCTTGATCTTTTCAATTTTCATTATGTACGTTAACAACTCAACAAGATTTTCCGTTTTGAATAATGGTGTCTTCTCATATTATGTTTTTTTAGGAAGAGATGTGGTTGTTGGTTTAGGATACAAGCAAAGGATTGTGAAAAGCATCACTCTTATTGTTGCTGATTAGACTACTAAACATCATGACTCTACTTAAAATTTCACGTGGATATTCTTGCAAACATGATTCCGTGAATCTACTATTTTAATTTGGAATCTGCATATTAATATGTGAACTTTCAATTTCTTATTTCGATTATTATATCAGTGAGATTATTAAACACACACACCATAACGAAATTTGAGTACCATAAATTTCAAGATTCATTGCGTGGTCGGTCGTATCATAGGTATATATACGCTATTTCGTCTGCTGCATCTGATCAATCTGCATTTCATACACTCTATTTGCTCCATCTATTCTAGCCTAATCATCTGCCGTTATAAAGTCAATTTATCAATTCAAATAATTTGACTCTAAAAAAAGTTTCAAATCCGAATCTTAACATTTGACTTTCTCTTATGTTTTTCAATATATTCCATTGATTACTGCTTAATTAGTTATGCTGAATGGATTCAACCCAAGATTGGTCAAATTATAGGAATTAGTTGGCCACAATGTGGACAACAACATATAGAATTCCATTTTAGAAATTTGTTCAATGTATAATAATGAAAGCATTATGTTAGAGACTAAAAAGCACATTTTTTAATGTCGGAGATGTGAATAACAATGGAGAGGACTTAGGTGCTATATCTAGTGAGAAATGTCTAACTATGCACGGTTCCATTTAAAGGATATTATTATCCATAGATATTCACTAAATCTAAAACTTTTTAAAAAAAACCAAATCTAAAACTTTGACAATTATATTGTTTCGTCAAATTAAGGACCGATGGATCACAGTTGGAGTATGGTTTTATTTATAATTTTATCTTACTATATTTGGACATCAAATGGTTATCTTACATATATACCCAATTGCAAATTATTTATTTGGTGTAAACAGACCGATCACAAACTATTCTAATGATTTACAGATGAATGTGAATTATGCACGAAAGTCTTTTGCCTTGATTCCAATTAAATCAAGTGGGACTATGGGTGCAAGAAAGCATATATCAAACTTAAATGTCGGGAAAAAGAAAATGGTCGTGATTTTCTGATTCATCAAACTAATTCTAATAGTAACAAACTTTAGCGGGAGTGTTCTTGATGGGAATTCTTATTGGTGGAAAAACTAGTTCACATAATATATCAGCGAAACAAAAAGTATCAATGATAAACAAAATATAAGAGATTAATTTTTGTTTTGAAATATAAGATATTTTAAAATTTATTGAATATTTTGAGACCAATTGTTTTTTTTTGCAGTGATTAACATGATTTTTTTGTTAACTTTTAAACATACTCTAATTCATTCAGATACTATACTAGTTTAGTTGTTTTCACTTACTCATTAAAATAATTTTCTAAAGAAAAAAAAGCTTAATCTCTTCATATTTTAGTTAAGTAAAACATTTTATATTTTGAAACAAAGGAATACTCCATTATCTAGTAATAAATGCATCTAGCTCTTTGGATAAACCATTCCAAATTAATAATATTAGTGAAAGGAAAATTAATTAGCAGCATCATCATACTATAGAAAACAGAATACAATGAATAGTTAACAGCTAAGTCATCCAATAATTAAAGTGGATTTGTGGAAAGCGATTGATAATATATGAGTGAGGAAGCAAAAATGAAAAAAAACCGATGGCTTGCAGCTTGCTATAGGAGATTATGAAGTAGACAAAGCTTATATCACATACTTAACGATGTATAGAGACACAGATAGGTTAGGCAAATGTCTATGCATGTGGTACATGTAGATTGAGTGACATCGATCGGAATCAACGGTGGAGATGGAAGTAAGAGAAAATAGGCACGTGTGAGAAAAGCAAAAGAAGAGAAGAAGTGGATATTAGCAAGGCAAAGGGAAAAGATATGTTTCCTTTGGATTGGGAACATCACGACTCTGTCTCTATATGTACTTCTCCTTCACTACTTGTGTTTGGTTTTTTTTCAGTTAGTTTTCTTTTAAACATTATTATTTTCAGTTAGTTTCGCCACGATATACACACTTTATTCTGCTCGTGATACGATTCAGTTATTATTCTTTCTGGTTCCAATATTGTTTACAGACACATGCACACACATATTATAGGTATACAATATACATTGATACTTTAACACACATGCACTATATATTATCGTATACCGCATGCAAAATGCGCATGCGTGTAAAAATTGACGGAATTAAAATGTACTCATTACATCAGAAATGAATCATAATGACCAAATGGCGTCTTACTGGAAATACTTTTTACAAATTTATGGAAATGATTTTAACAGAAAAAATTTATGGAAACGATATTCAAATCTGACTAATTAATAATTTTTCACTAATATGTTGACAACATATATATTTTCAGTACAATAGTAGCTGAGTTGTTATGCGTTGTTACTTGTTAGTAACCTATTAGCACATTGTTTATAGTACATACACAGTCGTCACAAGAGAAGATAAAATTGTATATTTGTATTATCTCTTCATATTTTCATAATTTTAGCGGCCTAACCCGATATATATATATAGTATTAAATAGATCTAAGAACTTGAGAAAGAATTTTAAGTAATAATATATATTTAACATTAACAAAAAATTGTTTAAAAAATCATAATATGCTAATTTTACTCAAACTGACTGATAATATCCTAGCTCATATAAAAGAATCCCAATTTCATATTTTCAGTATATATGTTTTAATTATTGTTTGAAAATGATGTCATCAAAACTTCTCATATTTTATTAAACCCACACATGGGCTTCATAAATATTTCAATTGTCATGATGATCATTTTTCCACGTAAGCAGAAACAGGATGTAAAATGCCATTGGTTATAAGGAGTGGAGTGGGAATAAGAAGGAAAAGGGGGAAAAAGAGAGGAACGAAAGGTATACATAATTTTCAAGTCGATTTTAGGTTGATAATTACAGTGAGAGGGAGACAAGACATTGCGCTATACCTAATTCTAACTAGTTTTATTTCTAGACTGATGGACCAATCATATCACTTTCTACTAATATCTTTTTTTAGCTCCATAAATATGTTTATTAACATTTTATTCTAGTAAAATAAAAGGCCACTGTTAGTTTAATTATATGCATATATATTTTTTAAAAATCTATAAAGGTTATATTTTCCAGACTCTAGTTTAGACCCATGTTCAAATTTCAGAGAAAAAAAAAATCCATAATATAATTTCTTTCTTCAATTTTATTTTATTTTATCATCAACCAAATACAAAATTACTCTACTTTTTTCCGAATGTGAACTTGGTTAGTAAAATCAAGTTGATAGTTTGCTTTCGTGTCTATATCTAAACCAAAGGGCTATTGTTATTTGACACATCATTTCTTTACTACTGCATATATAATTGTTGAAGGTTTTCAAGTTTAGTAAAGACTTCAATATGAGACTTTCTAGTTATAATCGATTCCTCGACAAATGACTTCTAGAAGATTTGATGATTAGATAAATAGACTTTGTACTATAATTTTGATCACTGATCAGCATGATATGAAGAATTTTGATTTGAGTTTTTGGTGTTTTAAATTGCCACATACCTACACTTTCGTTTATTTATGTGACGCTTTTGTACGACAAAAATCTGATTTCGGATTCGTACTTTTGTGGTCAAGAAATTCTCTTATTTAATAAAAAAACATAGGATGGAGTCGTCCAGATCAAACCTTAGTAAAAAATCGGATTGGTTTTAATTAATTCCTTTTGAATAATTTGTCCTCAAACAATACTTGAGTTTGTATTATACTTGTATAGATTAGAATTCCACAAGGTCCACACAAAGAAAATTCATAACAAATAATGAGATAATTTTTTTTGAAATCCCTACCATGCCAAACTTGGAATTCTCCATGTTACTACCCCAAAAAAAAAAACTTTATAAAACGCCATCCTCCCTTCATATTGTAAAATCTCTCATCTCAATCAAAACACTAACAATGGTGGTCGAAGAAGATTCACGTCTCATAAATCTCCAACACAAGTACAACCCGACAATGCCCGAGGTATTTAATTTGATCATAAATATATATAATCTGCAGTATACGTCTGTCTCAACCGGAGTCTTTTCAAATATCTTTAGTTATATATTATATAATTATATTCTTTTAATTTATATTTAAAAAGGTGGTGGAGGAGATGAAGAAAATTTGGGACATAAGTTTCCCGGTGGCCGCCATGAGCATACTAAATTACCTAAAGAACATGACCTCCGTCATGTGTATGGGTCGGCTCGGTAGCCTCGAGCTCGCCGGAGGAGCCTTAGCCGTAGGTTTCACCAACATTACCGGTTATTCCGTCCTATCCGGTTTAGCCACCGGTATGGAGCCACTTTGCGGTCAAGCCATCGGCTCCAAAAACCCTTCACTCGCTTCCTTAACCCTCAAGCGAACCATCTTTCTCCTTCTCTTAGCTTGTCTTCCGATCTCACTCCTATGGCTAAACCTTCAACCTCTAATGCTTATCCTCCGCCAACAACAAGACATTACTCGTGTCGCATCTCTCTATTGCTCTTTCTCTTTGCCTGACCTTCTCGCTAATAGCTTCCTTCATCCTTTACGTATTTACTTGCGTTGTAAAGGCACCACGTGGCCATTGATGTGGTGCACGTTAGTCTCCGTCATTCTTCATCTCCCCATTACCGCTTTCTTCACGTTTTACGTCTCTCTCGGCGTCGCTGGAGTCGCTATTTCCTCTTTTCTGGCCAACTTCATCTCCTTGTCGCTTCTCCTATGCTACATCTACTTCGAAGAAAACAACAACGACCACGACAAAAAAAGTTCCTCTCTTTGTCTTAAAACGCCGTTGATGCTGTCTGGTTCGAGAGATTATTGTGACGATGAAGTTTGGTCAACGCTGGTCAAATTCGCGATCCCGAGTTGTATAGCGGTTTGTTTGGAGTGGTGGTGGTACGAATTCATGACGGTCCTCGCCGGATATCTCCCGGAGCCAACGGTCGCGTTAGCGGCGGCCGCCATCGTGATCCAGACCACGTCATTACTGTATACAATCCCCACGGCGCTCTCCGCTGCCGTTTCGACGAGGGTGAGCAACGAGCTGGGAGCAGGACGGCCGGAGAAGGCAAGGACAGCGGCGGCAGTTTCAGTCGGAATCGCCGTGGCCATGTCGGTGTTCGGGCTTGTGGGAACCACCATGGGGAGAAAGGTTTGGGGGAGAGCTTTCACGGCGGATGGAGTTGTCCTGGAGCTGACGGCAGCGGTTCTTCCGGTGATCGGAGCTTGTGAGCTTGCCAACTGTCCCCAAACCACAAGCTGTGGGATCCTACGTGGCAGTGCGAGGCCACGTGTAGCGGCCAAGATTAACTTCTACGCCTTTTATGTAGTTGGAGCACCAGTGGCTGTTGTTTTAGCGTTTGTGTGGGACATAGGTTTCATGGGCCTATGCTATGGCTTGCTTGGGGCCCAGCTAGCTTGTGCAATCTCCATTTTGACCGTTGTCTATAAGACAGATTGGAACAAAGAGTCATTAAAGGCTCATGACTTGGTGGGCAGAAACGTCATTTTACCTGATGTCGATGAAAATATTGTGAAATGCGAAGAAGGTCTACTACTACTACTTCACTAACAGAATTTTCTTTTTTGTTGTACGTCATACTATGTCTACTTTTTTTCTATTTCATCAATTTTTCCTTTTTGTTTCTAAAATTTTCCATATATATTATTAATTCAAATATACATTTATGTAAGTGTCTTCACTGGACAAGGAGAGAATGTAGAACTTTATGGAAACCAAAAATGTTAAAGAAATGCATTATTGAAGCGAGTGGATCATGGATTGGATGATGACGACTTCAATGGATGCGATAGGCTATGACCATGACGTGAATATATAAGAGGTGCATGAGTGTATATAGAGATACCGAACCACATGGAAAACAAGAGCTAATTGGCCGAAACACATGTGCAAGCATGTGCATGTGTTACCCATACCAAAATAGGCATCATACAGTGTCCTTGTGGCTTCTCGCTTCTTTTCCTCACCTTAATTATCTTTCACAACGACTAAAGCTTTAAGCTCATATATACTACTCTTCACTTTCATTCATTTCAATACAAACTTGGTAGTGGAATAAGCAGCCAAATATTTGTATTTAGTATGTTTAGTGGTTAAAAAAATACCCATGTTTGAGATTTAGGAAGATTAATCAATGAGGATGCAATGGTAAGTGTAAGCAAAGATCTATTTGGGTGTGTGTGTAGTGGAAGAAAACCAGAAGGAGGTGGGTGGGGAGGGGGTTAAGGAGAGAGACACATCATGTTTTGTTTCCTTTCTTGTTAACAAATACTTACGACTTTTGAGGTTTGACGTTTTTTACCTCAAACTTTTTTTTATTACCTTCCCGTTCGTACCATGCCGTGCCCTGCTTAACACGTGTCCCTCTTAATCTTTTTGGTTAAACACAATTTTTATTTGTTGTGTACATCAACAGCACCTTTTTTTTGGTTTTCATGTTAAGTAGAACATCAAAAATTCCAAATGAACAATTTCAACTTAATCAATTTCGAATATCAAAGGAAACATAACATGGTTCAGTTATTACCTACGTTATAACAGATTAATTAGGAGATGGAGACCCCCCAAAAAAAAAGAGAACTGTATTTACAATGACACAGAACCGGCAATGAAACCGGAAATCGGCCAACAACAAAATACGAGACCTTTAGAGATTCAACCGGACTAGACCGGAGATGAAAGTCGGAGCACTATAAGCGAAGAAGAAACCCGAAATAACCGGGAGCTTCTTTTACTTAAAATCAAACGGTTAATATTGCAGAGCAGTGACATGTGTGGTCTTCTCCATCCATCGATCAAATAGTTAAAACTGTTTTTTTTTTTTTTATGAAAAAAACCAACAGCAGTTGGCGCTTTCTTCCCCCACACTTCAACCAACTCCTCTCGCTCTCTTTCTCTCACTCATGGCGATCAAGTTCGCTTCAATTTTGGCTCTCTTCTTATTCGACGCAGTCTCAAATTCTCACTCCACAGGTTTGTTTCTCCACTTATCATTTATTCGACGTGAATCTCTATGCTTGATTATTGAATCTCTCTCTTATCGTAGATGTATCTGGCCCTCCGATATTTACATTCAGTTGGTTAAACGAAAAAAACAAGTTTAAAACAGGGGAAGTCGCGGGAATTATGATCAAAGTTGTGGGAAATTTTGAAAATCAAGGGAACGCTTCATTAGGGCAGACAGCATTTAACCCTACTCTTACCGTGAACGGGAAGATTGGGAACAGTTCGTACGTTTCTGGGGTTTCGTTGGATCTTGGTGCAGATATCAGCACTTGGAAGATTTCTTTTACTCCCATTATGGTTGGAGTTTTCAACATCGTTATCGACGATGAGAACTTCAAAGTCCTTGATTCGTCGCTCCATTTTGAAGTCGAACCAGGTTCGGTTTTTCGAATTCCTTCAAGCTCTTCTGCTTCACTGGTTAGTTAAGTTTATTATCAGATTTTTTTTTTTTTTTTTTTTTAATAAAAAGTGAGTGTTTCTACTTGGTGTGAAGGGTTAATGTACCCATCTGTGTGTGTTGTTTCTTGGATGGGTCTTGCAAACTTGTTTGAAGCCGGGATGAATGCATCCATATTGATTCTTCCCAAGGACGCGTTTGGGAACAACATTTCTTATTCCGGGAAGGACATGGAGATGGAGATGCAGGGGGTTTCGCTGTCTCTTCTCAACGAAAATGGTTCCATCGCTAGCATTCTCAATATCACACACACCAGGTGGATTGAATCTGGTTACATTTCCATCGAGTTTGTTCTTTTGACCGCGGGAAAATTCTTACTGCTTGTGGAGAAGGAGAGCCAAACTCTGAATGGTGTTGTTACACTACCTCTCGAGGTGAATCCAGGTGATTGGAGTTTATTATTGTTCATATCATGTGGATTTTAATCAATTTTTCTTTCGCTAAATTTGTTGGGTTTTGTGAGCAGGGCCTTTAGATGTTTCAAGCTGCGTGAGCACATGGAAGTCCGAGCTAAACACGTGGCAGATATTTTCCAAGATGGAGATCATGCTACACCAGAAAGATCGGTTCGGGAACCTTGTTTCCGGATTCTATGAGTTTGATGCTGATGTGGTTGAGAAAGAGACTGGTTTGTCTATTCCGGTAGCAGATTTTCAGTTTAAGTATGTAGAAACATGGATCCAGTTGATGTCTTTCAGCTTATCTGAGCCAGGAAAGTTCTTGCTCACTCTTTCTGATGTGGAGCACAATAAGAGCATCTCTGGTATGCCATATGAGTATACAGTGTATATAGGTCAGTGTTTTGCTAAAAACTGTCGTATGATGCTACTTTTTGAATTTTGGTGAATGTTTTCTGTAGCACTCCTCTCATTTTGTTCTTCTTGACAGGTTATTGTGATGGATCAAGAAGTATAGTGAATGGTTCAGGGATCAATGCTTCTATTGCTGGGGAGTCTCTTGGCTTCTCTATATTCTTGAAAGATGCTTATGGTTATCCTTCACCAATTCAAGTGAACAGACTTCAAGTCCGAATCATACAAGAGACTGATTCCTCGTATGTTTTGCCAACCATACAGCCGAGAGAGACCCTCAATGGTAGTGCACAAGTATTTTCTTACTTGCAAATTAGGTTGATGCCTTCACTTGTGGCTTATATTAGCGAATGGTTTTACAGGGACTGGACCAAATTACAAAGCTTTTACCCCCTTGTATGAGAAACTCGGCGGTGAAGTAAGAAGGTTTATCTGCATATGTGCTTATGCATAAGCCATTACACCTAGAGACTTAAGGGGTTTTTGCTTCTTGCAGGCTTCAGGCGGCCAAGTGGTGCAAGCAAGTGCCTTTGACGTAACGTATACTCCAAAAAGGAGTGGAATTTACAAAATCTTTATATCCTCTGGAAACATAGTCCTCAATGGAGGCCAACCTTTCATTAAGGAAGTAAATGCTGGTAACATGCTCTTATACCGTTATTTAGACAAGTAGATACTTCCATGTGAAGATAGTGTCAGTTATGCACACTCTTGCTTCTCTCAGGTGAAGTGAATGTGACAGCGTGTAGTGTGACGCAATTCAGTGCAAAAGTGCTAAAGGAAATCAAGAATGAATTTGTGGTCTTGCTCGTGGACGGATTCTACAATCCTGTGCCTTCACAGCCATCTCGGTTAAAGCTGGACATCACCTCGGCGAACACATCAAGTTTCACTACGTGGAACTTTGTCGATAATAACGATGGGACATATACGGGAAGCTATCTGGCCATGGAGGTTGGTACTTACCGAATGTGTGTAACCTTTGACAATAAAACTATCCAACCTTGCCCCTTTGACGTAAATGTGTATAGCAGTAAGTCCATTCCTTCATCTTTTTTCACCATGATATTGATCTCTCCTTGATTTGTTATTCTTGATTTGCATGTCTTTTGTTTAACCAAATTGATTTAGGTGGATACTTTCCAAAAGCTTATGATGATCCAGTCAATGTGTGGGAAGATGAGTCAATCTCTTTTAAACCATTGGAAAACGACTATTTTGCAGGAGACAATACGAGCATCCTCGGTTTCTCACAAGTGAGGAATCAATGTGTCATTTCTTCTATATGTTTTGACATTTTTAGAATATTTTTCTCTAAACTGTTGTTTTTTTTCCGGATGTTAGCCAGGTCATGGTTCTCTTCTAAGAGATGGAAACCTCTTTAGATACACACCGTTCAAGGATTTTTCTGGAAACGACTCCTTTCTTTACACAATATCTGATATCAATGGAAACTTAGCCGCAGCTACAGTTTGCATCGTTGTTCTCACTGCTCCTCCTCAGTTTGTCTCGTTTTCCGGAGGTTTGCAAGCAACTGAAGATCTCATCAGCCCTAGATCAGGGTAAGTATTCTTCATTTTTGTTTTTTTTTTCCCATTTAGATAATTTTATCTTAAATTTTTCACTTCAGGTGATCTGTAATCTTGTTTCTTGAATGGTTCTTGAATGTTATTACAGTGGCTTCTCGGGTCTGGAGATAAGCTACTCAGACCTGCTTGAGAACATTTCAGTAACGGTGCAAGCACTTTCTGGTTTCGTCATTCTCTCTCCAATGCTGATGCAGTTTAGGCCGCCTGCAAGTGGAAGGCTCTCAGTTAGCAACGGAGGCGAAGATGGAAGGCTCTTAACCTTAGAAGGACAAATAGGAGTTATCAATCCCGCGCTTCAGTCCATTCAATATCTCGGGTATATATATATATATAATATATGCAATCATATATATTGTTTTCTTGCATCACAAGAGAGTTTCTCATTTCAACTTTTTGTTTTCCCCTTTTGGCACTTTCTGCCTCAGAAACGAGAATTTTGCTGGTGTTGATTCTCTTCGGTTGTCCACAAGGAACAAGAACGGGATCAATCAACTAGATGTTCCTGTTTTCGTTGAGCCTGTCAACGATCCACCGTTTATTAATGTTCCTCGCTATATAATGCTCGATAGTAATGGAAATGAATCGCTCATATTTCACAAAGAAACAGACAAATTCAACTTCTCAGTTGGAGATCCGGATCTTGCTAATTTTCCCGGTAATGTTAACAACACTCTTGAGATAACTTTAAAGCTACAACAATTTTTTATTTTGCTAATAACTGATGAAAGCAAAATGTCAGGTGGTGAATCTCATTTCTTAGTAACGTTTTCCGTGGAAGTTACTGACGGGTTTCTGCTGACAAACTTACCGTCTGAGGTTATAAACTCAACAGAGCTAAAGTTCAAAAAAGTATTCCGGTGGCAGCCGATTCAGACTTACGCTGCCATTTCTAAACACGTGAATGTCAAAGCCAGTGGGATTAGGTTTCGTGGAACAATAAAGCAATGCAACGACCTCATGCAACAGCTGTTCCATCACGTAAAGTCAATCATCGATCTATCTTTAAAATTTAATGCTTTTTGGTTCTTGATATCATCATTGATGTCACAAATACCGTGTAGGGAGGAGAGAACGGGGCTCTCTTGACCCTGAAACTGAGTGACATGGGGAACTACGGTTGCTACCTTGATTGCACTGAGAGAATTTCACTGCCTCTACACGCGAAGGCTCACGTAAACCTCATCAGAAAGAGACCCTTGAGTTCCCTTGCAGCTCACGGTACGTTTTATGAACCACTTGGAGTTGGTTTCGATTCGGTATTATGAAATGCATATTTGAACGTATCAAACTTAATATTGGTTTCTCAAAGCTAAACGAGTTTTTCAATACTATTAGATTAGGTTTAGTTTAGTTTTTCTTTGAGTGCCCACCTCTATTTTCTCTGGTTCCGAAGTAATAATATTTTTGTCACTTGGCCACAGTTCTAGGATCTGTGATTGTGGTGGAGTCTCTCGTGGTGTTCTCTCTCGCCACTTTGCTTCTGCTCTTCACTTGCAAATGCGCATTTCTTCTCGTACACGAGCGCAGAAGCGAACGCTATGTTAACAAGTGTTTGCAGAAACCAACGGTAATTAAAGATTCGTCTCTTGTGTTTTCTTACATCCATCTGTGTCCAAACATTAAAAAAAAAAAAAAAATTCTTCTGGACCAGGACAATGCCGAATCCTTAAATAGCATTGTTTCATCAAGAAAACCCACTGGTTGTTTCCCGGAGAGTATCTGGAATCGCCATACACAGCAGAGGTATGTATATCTTATGTATATTTTATATTTGGGTGGAAATGGTTTAATTGTTTAAATAAACTCTTCTCAGAACTATAGTTTATATTTATGTGTTTTTTGGTGGTATAGACAAGTCGGTGAAACTTCTGGCAAGCAGAACAAGGAGTTGCCTGAGGTTAACATTTTCCCGTTCAAGGAGGTAGACAAGGCTACAAGTTGATGAATCTGTTAACATTTTCTCTTCTTATCATATTAGGCTATTTAAAAAATCTCATTGTTTTGTAACCATTCCTCATCATAAAACCATTCCTCTGTAAAGTTAATTGTTGATGCAATATATATAAATCCGATTAGTTCAAATCCTCTTTAGTACGGAGAGTAATTATTTAAACTGAAAATTTTAAACACTGTATGCAGATGCTATGAGAGAGTTCTGTGCTGGCCCGAATCACACATACTCCTCATCTAATAAAGGATTCAACAACCCATCTAAAACTAATATTGCTAAATGGGCCAAAAATATCAATTGTCTAGCTTTTTCTTGCAAATTAACTAAAAATACCACACAAATATCTAATTAAATTTTCTTTCTTTTTCTTCCTTTATATACTAGATTTTTATCCGCGCGTTGCGCGGACTTATTTATATCAATTTTCAAAAAATCTAACTCATTTTCAAGCATAATTATTCTTTTATTTGTTTTTCCTTTCTTATAGCTCTTAGTCTCGCTATTTTTATTGCAATTTATTGGTTTTTTCTCTTATTTCATGCAAGCTTCCATTTCATTCAGTTTTGTGATCTGTTATAACTCAAAATGAGAAGAATTTTAGTTAGAATTAGCTAGACAAAGCAAAAGATCTGTTTAAATATTACATATGTTTGATGGGTTTTCATATCAAAAAATTATGCATAGTTGATAAATTATTGATTTTACTTTATTTGAGGTGTTTTCTTTTTTTAATGATGAACTATGTTTTCCTTTTTTAATGATGAACTATCTTACTATATTTGTAAATGTATGTGAGAACATTTTTGTCTATTTTTATATTATGTGAATGTAAACAATATGACTATGTTAAAAAGTATAATCAGTAATCTTGTTTTAGTTTAATTATATATTTTAGAATAAAACTCATATATTATCTGACTGATGAGTAAAGTGATCGCATATCAATTTTATATTACCATTATTGAAAACAAATGGTTGATAACTATTTACCATATTTTTCCTCATTCGTATAAATCAAATTCATTTCTATGCTATATAATTAAACACTTTATTTATGAAAAATTTCATTCATTTTACACAGTAAAGTGGATATGAATGATGTTACTCTAGTTTTAAGCATTAATATTTTTGAGCATTTTTAAATAAGTTTGATAACTATTCTTAGCTAGTTCTTCTATCATCTTTCGTTCACTTTTCAACTCTTTTTTCAAATTCTGTTTGTCTATATTCGAAATAAATTTTTTAATTTTTTATTTCAAAGAGAATTTGTAGTTTTTATAGTTTGTAAAATAAATATTTGTTTTATATATATGTGATTTTACTTTAGCTTTATATATAATTTTTTTTAAGATTTTTTTAAAAAGTTTGACAATTAATTTCTATAATATTTTCCATAATCTTTTGTATTTGATTGTCTTCCAAACCCTTTTTCACAAATGAAAAATTTGTAATTTTATGATTTGTAAAATAAATATTTGTTTTTAATTTCAAATTAACATATTGAAAGCCCAAAAACAAATATCTAAATATAAAAACTTAAAAACAAAATCTAAAATATTTAAAAGCCTATTTTAAAATTAAAAATATACTGATGTAGACATGGAGAAATAACTTGTTCATTATATATATGATTTTCCTAACGATAATATTTTAGTCTCTATAAATTGATTGATGTTTATCACGTGACCAGGTAAACGGGACCCGACATAGAAGAGGTAGCGATCCTCTGTTGCCGCTCCATGTTAAGCTCCCTTAAACTCAGATACGGAATCGCTGGCGTCAACGTCATCGAAGGTCTTATCGTCCGGTACGGCGTGCTCGAACCGCTCCGGCTCTCCGTCACGTAAACCGGTCCCGATATCGAACCGACTGATGCTCGAAAATTTCTAGCCCTCGCCATGTGAACGTCGCGATCGTCGAATCCAATGTCTCCGTCGACGGCGTAATGGCTGCCTCGTCTTCCGACGGCGGAGATTGGCCACTTCCGCCAGTTGAAGAAGAGCAAAGCGTTTCTCCAGAACCAACCCTTCTTCTTCTTGCGTAGAGTGGTTCGAATCAGGTCGTCCTTCGATACAGGTTTCTGGAGCTTGAACTGAAGACTGTCAATGGAGGATTTCGACGAGTTTTCATTCTTGTGCTTCCTCGCTTCTTCCAAAACCTTGGAATAGACATATGAGAACAGAGATGACGGAGAAAACAAACCCATATAAGAACTGAAACCAGAGAATCTTGGAGGAAGAAGAATACCTGAAAGTAGTCGATTTGGGGATCGAAGCCATAATCGCTGAAATGTTGAGACTCGGGCATGGGGAAAATTGGGGAGTTGTTCATCGACATTTCTTCTAGTAGTACTTGTTACTGGGAGAGGAGCGTGTGAAGAGTTTTAATGGCGGAACTGGATTGGTTTTAGGGGTTCGAGAGAGAAAAAGGTGGGAGAAAGCTTTTTTTCTGCTTGATTCAATGGTCTTTCACTATCTTGTCCCTTTCCACCTTCTTTTTCGGTTATTACATACCAGAATACTTTCGAACTATATATATTTTAAAAAGGACATTTGTAATGAAAATAAATTAAAATTTTGTATTCTCTAGCGATCACACTGTAAATGATTTCTTATTATCCGGTCATTATGATCATTAGAATCTTTACGAAGTTTAAATTTTAAATGATTTACTATACTTTCGAAATCATTTACAATAATAATAGTAGTACTTTTTTTGGGGGGTTTTGAGTATCTCAAGATCCATTGAACATTTAACAGTACCAAGGAATTCTCCTGGGCCCTTCCTGCCATTATTCTCTCGCTTTTACTAGTCACAGAAAGCATATGACCCTTTTTTTATTTATTTATCAAAATGTGCTTATTGAATGTGCCAATAGACATTATGTACCAATAGACATTATGTAGAATTTCACCACTGAAAACAATTTAATAAAATAAAGATCACATGGACATTGAAAGAACAAAAAAAAAGTTACGAATTGGAATCTACTGCAAATTCGCCGTATAAGGCACACGAGTTTGTGGAATCCACAAGTTACCACGTAAAAATCTAGCAGGGCTGAATCGAAGAGCCTGCTTAGGCGAGAGTTTCTTGATTCCAGCCCACTTAACACGTTGGGCTTGGTTTGACCCAGGCCCACTACTCTCATACTCAGCGTAATAAAGCGTCTTGAGCGCAAAATCACCGTTCCATGGAAGCCATCCCGCTGGGTCAATAACGTTATCAATGGTCGTCCTTATCATGATGGTCCTTGAAAACTCCTTCCATGGCCTTCCAAGATACGCTTTGTTTACAGATTTCACCGGAATATACGCCGGCTCTCCGGTGATGCGGCAGTTGTGGAACACGATCCCGGTGGATTCACGCTCGTCGGTACGGCCCTGAGCAGTGACCATGCAAGATTGGCCTCTCATGGGCTTTCTCACAACGATGTTGCAGTTTTGGAAGACGGTTTTTGCGTCGCCGAAGATGAAGTCTACGGTGCCGGAGATTGTGCAGTCACGGTAAAACTGACGGTGGGAATGGACGTAGAGTGTGTCTTGGTAACCATCGATTTGGCAGTTGTAGTAAACGGCATAGTCCGCAGAGACTCTCAGTGCCACGGCTTGGTGTCCTTCGGGACCGGCGGTGTTCTCGAAACCGATGTTCTTGGCCGTGAAGTTATCACCATTGATTGCTGCAAGAAATGGTATGCATGTTAACAACTCTGACTCTTTTTACTTTCCGTCAAAAAACCACTAGGTTACATTTTTTTATTATTATGTATGTTGGTTAATACAGTAGTTGAAATATGTGGGAAACTAGGGTTAGAATAGGACTCACCGACGGTGGCAGTCTGGTAGGTTTTGACCTTGCCGATGGCAAAGTTGAGACTACCGGTGATCTTGGTTTTGGTGGGTCCATCGCCGATGAAAGTGACGTGGGTCATCTTCTTGGTGACGTCGACTTTCTCCTTGTAGACACCTTGCTTGATGTAAATGACGAATGGCATTTTGTTGTTTTTAGGCACAGCGTTCAAGGCCTCGTTGATGCTCTTGTAATTGCCACTTCCGTCCTTCGCCACCACCACATTAGCTTTCGCACCTCCTTTCGTCGTTGCCATGAGATGTCGAGTGTCTGGTCCCACCCAGCTTGGGATACTGTCTTCCGTCGACAAAAGCTTCCTGGCGTAGTTTCCGAGATCACCGGTTACTCCTGTCACCCAAAACGTTATAAGTATCTTTCATTCATGCTATTTGAGTAGGACCTAGACAAGTATTTCAAGTGTTACTAGTGATAATCTGAAGAAACGTACCTGTGATGTTTAACTGTCCGAGAAGGTTGGAGATGTTAGTAACCATGGCAAGACCATTACTGGTGAGTTCTTTGGATGTTTTAAAGATTTTTTGCATGTCTTTTGCAAGGCTAGACTTAACTTCCTCAAAACTATCCATACATGTCTGCTGATACGCAATGGAGCCACTGAGCCAGACACGAAGATCCTCCACGAAGTCTTCCATCTGAATAATTGAGAACCCATCAAAGTTATCAAAACACTTCTTCAGATCGTCTGTAGCGTCATTCATAAGCTTCTCACATAAATCTAGAGCCCCTTTGGTCTCATGGTCTTTGGCTGCCTTAGCTTTCAGCTCCTTGGAGGCTTTCTTGATGCCATCTTTGATGGATCGAATGGTGATGTCGAAGCCGAGCTTGATGAGGTCGAGAGGTTCAGTGGAGTTAGGAGAAGCCTTCATGAAGCTCTTGACACATGTGTCTTTGAAGTCGGTGGGTGCACAGACCGCTTGGACTGCCTTGTTGGTCGTTTGAATCTTCACGTGAGCGATATTACCTGAAGCATAGTAATGTTTGGTCGTTATGATGGCGATAGAGACAACCAACACAACGATCAAAGCCGAGATAACCCCACCAATGATGCATTTCTTCTTTTTCTTTTCACTACCAAACCCCATTTTTTTTTGTTTACTTTTAGGGTCTGTGGATATGATTGTTGGTTGGATGGAATTATTATAATGGAGATACAAAGTGCTATTATTGGAAATTTAGGAAGAACATGAGGCTATGAATCAAAGACATCATGTCAGATTTTCTGTCTTTGAAGGTTTGTTTTACCGTTATATCAAGGTTGATCATCTTTGTGTCTTCGACTCTAAAAATAGTAACTATTGTTATATGTTAGATTACCAACCAGAGAAGCATATTGTTATTGATTTGATATCAAGAAAACAACCGAAAACAAGTCCAAAGCCAAACCACTCATGGAAACAAAAGCAGACAAACAGCTTTATTCAAGATAACAGCAAACAGAAACGCAACAGATAGACTCCAACCACGGCTTGCTCAATGCTCATCCGTAGCCAACGGGATTGAATTGGCCTGCAAACCCCCAATATATGGTCATGTAAGTTAAGTAGGGAAAGAAATCGAAAGAAAATGAGTGAGTTACACTGACCAAGTGACGAAACTTCAGAGAGTAAAACATCTCTAGGTAACGTCGTGTTTCTCTCCTTTCGAGCTTAGACACGTGTTTCCAGAATGCATAGACTCCAGACAGCGTAAGTAGCCTCTCTGAGTACTTCTTCCATGTGTACCTATACATGCACAAACCCCCTCAATAAAGCAACCATCTTGGTAAAGAGATTAAGATTCTTTTGTTGAGACTTGAGACTGCCAAGAGAAAAGGGTCAACCTTTCATAGATTCGCTTGAGCCCTCCTTCAGAGATTTTCTCCCAGTGATTTGGATCTGTCTTGCAGGTCTCGAAGAAGCTGACCAAAGTAGTCGCAACCTGGTCTGGATGATATGGGTCGATGTGGAACCCTGAAACACCATTCTCGATTATCTCTGCAGGTCCACCATGACAGGTAGCAAACGTTGGGAGCCCACAAGTCATTGATTCCACAACTGTGAGCCCAAAGGCTTCATAGAAAGCAGGCTGTGGTGGAAAAGGAGAGAAAGATGAGTGTGTAAACCTTACAAATATTCCAAACGCTGAGTCTTTATCAGGAGAAACTTATCTTCATGTTACCTGAACAAACACACCCTTTGTGTCTGCGATATAACGGTAAAGCTCACCGTTCCGAGCACGGTTCATTTGGGCAGCTATCCACCTGAACTGACCGTGTAAATCATACTGCTTGATCAGGCTGTGCATCTTTTGTATCTCAGCCATTTCCTCTCTGTCCCTGGACTGATTCACGTCGACGTATCCACCGACTACAACAAGATTCGCAACCTCTCTCAGCTCGCTATTCTTAGCATAGCACTCAACTAGCCCAGTCAAGTTTTTCACTCTGTCAAGTCTTGCCATGGAGAAGATGATCGGCTTCGACCGGTCGTTCAGTAAACCACTGTATCAACACAAGCAGATTATTATGCGTCTGTCTGAGATTTTTGTTTTATATTGCTAAATCAGAATTGTTGTAAGAGGACTTACACATGCTCATCACTCTGTTCGGCGCTAAAGAGGAGTTCTTCAATTGACTCGTGAAGGGCAGTGAGTCTTCTTTCCTTGTCAGAATATGGAAAGTATATGGTCATATCAGCTCCTGGAGAGACTATATTAAACTTGGGATCAAAGACATCGATTCCATGAACAACTCGGTAAAGACCAGGAAGAGTGAAAGCTGTGTGGCTCTCGTATTGCCCAACGTTGTTCTTGCTGTGACAAAAGCAAAACAGTTTCTGTTGGCATCAAACCATAATTCCAGAGGACAACAGCATGCAGCTAAAAATATCGGATGACAGTTTTTACCTTCCCGCGATCTCTTGGTATGTGCTAGTGACGATGAAATCGGCATTGTTCATGGCAATTAGATCTGCAGTGAACTGGCTTGCAAAATGATACTTATCTTCATGGTTTCTCCAGTAAATGTCAGACTCGGGGTACTTGGTTTTCTCTAAAGCATGAGCAATATTACACTGCATCTCAGACGGTAAAGAAGAGATCAGAACAAAAGTTTACAAGTCTTTTATGAAAAAAGGCTGATTTTGATATTATAAAGAAGTGTTAGCATAAAAAAAACCCATCAACCTGTATGACTCCTAGCTTATAAGCTAACAAAGAAGCCACGAGATTTCCATCACTGTAGTTTCCAATGATGAGATTTGGTACACCCTGCAATTCCGCAGAAATTTCGTTTGATGCATCCTAGTCACATAGAAGTAGACTGTAAGTCAATACGTAAAAGGGGCATGCATACACATCATACATACAAGTATATTCTTTAATTAACCCCAACTTTAAGAAACTGCACAAGTTACATAGAAAATCTGGCTACTAGTAATTGCTAACCTCTGCGAAAGTCTCCAGGTATGGCCAGACGTCAAACCTCGAGATCCACTTGCGAAGAATGCCTTTTTCAGTCCTAAATGGTATTCGCAGAATATGTGCATGTTCTGTACCACTGACTTTTTCTAACCTCTGGTTGCACGTTGTTCCTTGTGCTTCAGGTATCAACCTTGTTACCTACATAAGCCACCATGAAAATATAAAATATTAACTTAAACTGAAACTCGAATGCCAATTTTTTTTCAATGGAGAGGAACAAAGTAGATAGTCGGCAAACAAATATACAATGAGAATCTTTGGAACAATATCCAGTCCTTGCTTCTGTATCCTAAGAAGCATCTCGTTTTCCAAAGCACGTACTTGATCAAGAATGTAGACAACCTGCAAATCTCAACGGTAGAATATAAGTTGAATCAACAGAGAACCACCAAGTTCACACACATATGGAAGATTCCAACCAAATCTACCTGTCCACCAGTATCAGGAAGACCCAAGACATTGGCTTGGCCAAAGTAACCATGCGGAGACAAAATCACAACATTGAACACCATAGGAATCCTTCCTAGAAACGTCTCCAAGACAGAAGGATCAGGTGCCTGGAGTATGTCCAGAAGGAGATGCACCATCTCTGAAACCTTCTGTGCTGTGTCACCCCATCCCCTTTCAAATCCCATCCCTTGTAGTCTTCACCAAAGTACAACGTCCAAAGAAGCAAAAAGGGAAACATAATTTGTTAGCTAATGAATACAAAAAAAAAAAAAAACGGATATGCAGCAAATGGCGAAAGATCTTACTCAAATTCGAATTCAGAGTATGGTGTAGCCAAAGGAAGTTTAGAGAGGAACTCCTCTGCTCTTGCCAAAGCTTCCTGAAGTGTGTATATGTTCTGTATACGATCATTCAGCATCATGGCCTGCATTATACATAGAGAGTACACAGTCATTGTTCTATACTAATTACACATTGTTTATGAGATAAACTACGTTCAACTGTAGAGAAAAACTAACACGCCCATCATGTTTGTGAGTGCGGAGAAACTCAAGCAAAGGCTCCATGCTATCTTTGTTACGGAACATAATTGACGAGAGGTGACGATTGAGGAACTGAACCCCATTCCCAATGGATGATGACCGAGTTGGGCGAGGAAATGTCGCGTTGAACGGTTCAAAATCAAGCTCAAGCAGATAATCCCCATTGGCACTGATGGAAAAAAAGGTCGAGACTTTAAGCATCCAAGCAGAGAAGTATATACAGATACAAACAAACAAAAAATTTGCACACAAGATTTACTTACTGCCCATTAACGAGCTCTTCCTTAAACCGAAGATACTCAGAAACAGTTAAATGATCTACGCTTAGCTCGTACACATTCACACGGACATATTCCCTAACACCAGGTCTGGGACGAATGGCCATGGCAACAAATGGAGGTAAAACAATGGCTTCCTGAATGCAAAAACTTCAATGTATGACACATCAAGATATACATATATATAGTCATGACATTCCAATGCTATATATTCACCTCAGCAGACTGCAGAACTTTCATGAATGGACGATTGTTAAGATCTTCTGTTGTTCCATCTACTTTCACAGTCTTAAGGAACTCATCAATCAGCTGGTGAGACTGCAATATCCCCTTTCCCTGAGCTACGTATCTAAGAGATAACAACCAAACCATTACTCTTGACACCAATCACAACAGTGCATGCAAAGGAAAACAGATTGATCAGTGTGAGAGAGAGACCTGGAGAAAAGAGAGAGGAGCTCATTGCGTTGAGCAGAGATGGCGTCGTGAACCCATTCACGCATCGTCTCGAACCTACCGGTCGGCATGATTTGTTCTCAGAGGCAAAAACGCAAACACTTACAAGGCAAAACCCACAAGGAGATGATGGAATTGCAGGAGAATCCACTCCACCATATGTATACGCGGGAGTGAAGAAAGACGCCATTTTCAAGGGCCCCTGTAACTTGGTGAGAGGTGGCGAAGAGAGACGACACTTGGCACCAGAGATGATAAACCCGTGGGCGAGCTTCTTCTACTCCACCACCAGTATCGCTTAATCCGCCATAGAGCGTATCGCCCGCTGTGGTGGGCCTCCGGTACGTGAAAGACACGCCCCAATCGGAGTCCCCATGCTCTGATTTCACGCTATACGACGAGCCTTGGTTCGTTAAACCCAATCCGACTCACATGAAGACCCGCCAAAAATATTTATCATTTCCTTTGCTTGCAATTGCAACATAATATTTTTTTCTTATATAATAAGTTATTTATTGACATTGCTCTCTTCTATATAGAAAGGTGACAGAATTTGGTCGTATCACATGATAAACCGGCTACCGTAGACCTATCCTATATTGTGTAAAATTGTAATTCCCAAAAAGGTTAACGAGTATATGTAAAAACAAATTAGAGACCTAATATATATATATAATAGAATAAATTATTTTGACATTAATATATATATTATGATTTCATTTGATATTTTTAATGCAAATGAATTCATCTAATATAATATATACATATATATATAATCATTATATATTATTATGATTTCATTTAAATATATATTTGCTATTAGAACTATATATATTACCCTTTTTAATGCAGTTTGATACTTTTTGAAACAAAAATCATTTCTTGCAGAAAAATATATAGTTTTTTTTAACATTAAAATATAGTTTCTTAAAATTAAAAATATATAGTTCTTTTAAAAAAAAAATCTAATCTTACTTATTTTGGCAAAACAATGTCCACCATTGCATTGATTTAATACTCGAATTGTAGTCACATTTTTGGGGGGGAAAAGTTGTAAGTTGATCATTTCCTATTTTTATATAGAAATAGTAAGACGCGCATTTTGGATTAGAAATGAGCATATTTTCGTATATTCGGTCTTCTTTTCTTTATTCTATTCCACATCATTATTCCCCTTTTTTTTTGGGCCAATCCACGTCATTCCGTTTATATTATTTATTTCTTTCATGCACCATTTTACACCCACTATAAAACTTAGCCCATCAATCAAAAGAAAAGCTCACATAAATCTAACAAGATTTTATCACAATGAAGAATACTTGTGTCATCGTCGTTAAGTTCTTAGTCCTTTTTTCAATCTTTCTATATTCAGAGACAATATTAGCTTCTTATCATGATGAAGAACAACGGGATGCATTATTTCGTTATGAAACGATCTCACCAACTGAATCTCCTTCGGGAGGTTTAGACACTGGTATCTTTGATGTCTCCGAGTTCGGTGCCAGCCCCGAGGCCGACTCAGACAGCACTAATGTCAGTTTACTTACACTTACTTTAATAATTCTATAATTTGTAAGCATAAGCATGATGTCCATTACAACATATTTACACGATCGATATTAGTGCTAGATCTTAGCTCCAGTTCTGTTTTTAATTGCACTACACATAGGTTACATATGCATTGTTTTGGGATGAATACATAAACGTGGAACTTAATTGAACAGGCATTTCAGAAGACATGGGAGGCAGCTTGCAAGCACCAGGGGACAACAAAGTTTTACGTCCCAGAAGGTGTATTCTTAGTGGGTGAGATCGAGTTCAAGGGCCCTTGTAGCACTGAATCAACCCTGGAGGTAGAGATTATAGGAGATCTAGTGGCTCCACCGAGCCTTAAGGCGTTTCCATCAAATCATTGGATTGTTTTTAAACGACTAAGCAACATCCTCTTCCACGGGCGTACCAACTTAGACGGTCTAGGCGAAGTTGAAGCCTGGAAACAACCAAGTTGCCACAACTCCCACAAATGTGTCAAAGGCATAACGGTTAGTAAATCAATTTATGCGCGTTTGAATATGGATATATATCTTCTCTTCTTCTTTTTTTTATCATCAAAGATGGATATATCTAATACTTAGTTATATGAATGTGTTTTGATGCCAAACGTATACAGTCTTTGATACTGCGCAACGTATCAAATGCAGTAATCAGAGACATTACGTTTTCAAATGGGAAAGGGTTTCATTTGGGGTTACACTTGGTTCGAAACGTAAAAGTCCATAACGTCAATATCAGTTCCCCATGGGACAGTCCCAACACGGATGGGATCCACGTACACAGCTCCTCTAACATCAGAATCACCAACTCAACCATTGCAGTCGGAGACGACTGCGTCTCCATCTCAACTGGGAGCATCAACGTGCTCGTTTCCGGCACACGTTGTGGTCCAGGCCATGGAATCAGGTTTTTGAAAAGATGATAATTCCCTCCTCTTTTCTTTTTACATTCTTTAATTAACTAGGGCGAGAGCAATATGATTCACGAGATTTGGTTGTTTCGGTTTTATTACATTTGTTGAAACTGAAATTAATTAAACAAAAACTATTAATCATTCGGTTTGGTTTTAATGCGATCTCAGTTTGATTCCGCTTGATTCTTGGTTTGGAGATTCAAGTATAAGATATAAATTATGAGTTAATGCGGTTACGTTTTAAATCGCTTAAAATGCAATTTTCAGCTTGCTTTTGAGATTGGAGTTAAACGGGTCTTGACTATAAGAATATACCTTAAAGTATAAATAAGTTGTGAATATCATATACTCGTCAGTTTCTAGATGTTTTTTTTTTGGTTGGTTCTAAAATGTTAACTATTTTCAGTTTTCTATATGTTTATTGCTATTTTTCATAATTGATCCCTAAAATATTCACTATTTTACAGAAAAAAGGTTGAATGATCATACATAAAAAAAAGATTTTAAATGTATGAAAAGTTTAAAAGATATAATTACAACCTGAAACAGAATGATAATTCTAACTTACTTCTGGTTCGGTTTGGTTATATTAGAAATTGTTTTTTATTCCAGAGGTTAAAAAATGATGATAAAATTTAGCGGTGATTGATTTGGTGCATGCAGCATAGGGAGCTTGGGGAGGGCTAAGAACGAGGAGGAAGTGAAAGGGATTGTTGTTCAAAACTGCACCATTAGCGGAAGTCATTACGGAGTTCGGATCAAGACATGGCCTACATCACCGCCGAGCCAAGCTAATAATATGAGATTCGAGGACATTAAGATGATTAACGTCTCCCACCCCATTATCATTGATCAAGAGTATTGTCCTTCTAATAGCTGCAACACCACCTTTGTAAGTATCTAAATGGTATATACAGTATATGCGTAAAGATTCTTTTTAGAAATTTAATTAATTATTGACAAACATATGGAAAAATGAAAATGCAGCCATCGATGGTGAAACTGAGCAACATAGAGTACAAAAACATAAGAGGAACTTATAACACTAAGGTCGGGGTGACTCTGAGATGCAGCTCCCTCGTGGCATGTGAGAATATAACGCTTATCGACGTCAATCTTAAGCGTATCCATTACAATTCGACATGGAAGAAACACCAAGAGAGGTTTAGTATTAAGGGTGGTCTTCAAGGCTTAGTGGTTTTTAACTCAACCTTTAATTAATTAGATTAAGTTCACAAAAAAATAGAAGGTTATTTTTACAGAAATGTAGGGAGTGGAAAAAGAAAAAGAAAAAAACGTGGAATTCTCCTCTTAACCTTGCTTGTATTATGCCTATTGGCGTCCACTCCATACTTTTATCAATAAATAATTCAGTTTTTTTTTTAAAAAAAAAATCACGATTAGTAATACAAATATAGAACATATATAAGACTAAAAGCTTTGTGAAATTCACAAGTGAGAAAATATATAAGCTATACTGATCAAATCTCCATTTTCGTGGATGAGTTTGAGACAGCGTTTTGTTTTCTTGTTTTCTATGAGATCAGAGAAATATTGTTTCCAAATAAATGAACCAGCCAATAAGATTAATGGAAAGTACATGCATGCATGAGTTATTTCAAACTTTGCCTTTGGTAAAAAGTATTATAATCTTAATTGTATTTCTATACTCACAAATATATACGATTACTTTACGTAATAAGTACTATACACAAACAAACGCTGCTAGAAACTTACTGGTGTGGATATATATTTGGTTTATATTTAATATATATTCTGACCGTGTTTGCTTAACTTGCTGGATTTGTTTAACATCAGTAACTTCTTTTTGTCCTTAGAGCTAAACTAATTCGTTTGCAAGAATATGATATATCAAGACTCTATTCAATGATACATGAATAATCATAAGGACACTAAAATTTAAAGTAAAGCAGAAACTGCATACAAATGTTGTTAAGACATGAAGTGGATTCCAAACGCATTTCAAGGGTTGCTAAAATCTTGTTTCAGAAGAAACGAGTTCACAAACATTAAGTAGAAAACGAAGATAACTCGAAAGACACAAACACAACAAAAGCACAAGGCACAAGGCAGAAATCAAGCATCTCTTGTGTCTCCTTCATCCCTCCAATGTCACTTCCTCCCACCATTTTCCTTCCTATAAAAACAATAAATCAGGTTAACTTGTGTTACACGAAATAAGAGTTGCCGTCTCCTTCTTTAAATTTAGTCACGTTTTTGCCAACTTGTGTAGAATATATGTACACCATTATATTGCATTGTTTAATACTCAATTTTAGTCGCATTTTTTGGGGGCAAAAATGGTAAGTTGATAATGTTTTATTTTTATACAGAAGTATATATGCTTAAGATTTGGTGGTCTTATTTTCTTTATTCCACTCATTTCTATTACACATCATTATTCCTTCTTCTTTTTGGGTCAATCCACACCACTATTCCGTTTATTTTATTTGTTTCTTTCATTCACCACACCATTTACACCCACTATAAAACTTAGCCCATCAATCAAAAGAAAAGCTCACATAAACCTGACAAGATTTTATCACAATGAAGAATACTTGTGTCATTGTCGTTAAGTTCGTAGTCCTTTTTTCAATCTTTCTTTATTCAGAGACAATATTAGCTTCTTATCATGATGAAGAACAACTGGATGCATTATTTCGATATGAAACGATCTCACCATCTGAACCTCCTTCGGGAGGTTTAGACACTGTTATTTTTGATGTCTCCGAGTTCGGTGCCAGCCCCGATGCCAACTCAAACAGCACTGATGTCAGTTTATTTACACTTACTTTAATAATTCTGTATTTTGTAAACATACTTTTCATAAGCATGATGTCCATTACAACATATTAATCGGTTGTTGACACGATCGATATAGTGCTAGATCTTAGCTCCAGTTCTGTTTTTAATTGCACTGCACATAGGTTACATATGCATTAATATTTTGGGATGAATACATAAACGTGGAATTTAATTGAACAGGCATTTCAGAAGACATGGGAGGCAGCTTGCGAGCACCAGGGGACAACAACGTTTTACGTTCCAGAAGGTGTATTCTTAGTGGGTGCGATCGAGTTCAAGGGCCCTTGTCGCACTAAATCAACCCTGGAGGTAGAGATTATAGGAGATCTAGTGGCTCCACCGAGCATTAAGGAGTTTCCATCAGATCATTGGATTATTTTTAAACAACTAAGCGACATCCTCTTGCACGGGCGTACCAACTTAGACGGTCTAGGCGAAGTTGAAGCATGGAAACAACCAAGTTGCCACAACTCCTTCAAATGTGCCAAAGGCATAACGGTTAGTAAATCAACTTATGCGCGTTTGAGTATGGATATATCTTCTTTTTTTTTTTTTATCAACAAAGATGGATATATCTAATACTTAATGTGTTTTGATGCCAAACGTATACAGTCTTTGAAACTGCGCAACGTATCAAATGCAATAATCAGAGACATTACGTTATCAAATGGGAAAGGGTTTCATTTGGGGTTACACTTGGCTCGAAACGTAAAAGTCCAAAACGTCAGTATCAGTTCCCCAGGAGACAGTCCTAACACGGACGGGATCCACGTGCACAGCTCCTCTAACATCAGAATCTTGAACTCAACCATTGGAGTCGGAGACGATTGCGTCTCCATGGGAGCACCGACGTGCTCGTTTCCGGCACACGTTGTGGTCCAGGCCATGGAATCAGGTGAGAGCAATATGATTCGCGAGAGTTGGTTTTGGTTCATCAGTTGTTTCGGTTTTTTGGTTTATTAGATTTATTGAAACTGAAATTGATTAGACAAAAGTTATTAATCATTCGGTTTGGTTTTAATGCGATTTCAGTTTGATTCCGCTTGATTCTTGGTTTGGAAACTCAAGTATAACAAATAAATTATGATTTAATGCGGTTACGTTTTAGATCGCTTAAATGCAATTTCAGTTTGATTAAGAATATAACTTAAAGTATAAATAAATTGTGAATATCATATACATATACTCGTCAATTTCTAGCTAGATGTTTTTTTTAGATGGTTCTAAAATGTTAAATAATTTCAGTTTTCTATATGTTTATTGCTATTTTTCATAATTGATCCCTAAAATATTTACTATTTTGCAGAAAAAGCTTAAGTAATAAAAATCAAGGCTGAATGATCATTGATAAAAAAATATTTTAAATGTGTGAAAAGTTTAGAAGATATAATTACAACCTGAAACAGAATGATAATTCTAACTTACTTCCGGTTCATTCCCAATAAAACAAAGTGTTAGAAAAAAGAACTTACTTCCGGTTCGGTTTGGTTGTATTAGAAATTGGTTTCCGTGTTTGGTTTTTGTTCCAGAGGTTAAAAAAGAGGATGATAAAGTTTAGCGGTGATCGATTTGGTGCATGCAGTATAAGAACGAGGAGGAAGTGAGAGGGATTATTGTTCAAAACTGCACCATTAGCGGAAGTGATAACGGAGTTCGGATCAAGACATGGCCTACATCGCCACCGAGCCAAGCTAATAATATGAGATTCGAGGACATTATGATGATTAACGTCTCCAACCCCATTATCATTGATCAAGACTATTGCCCTTCTAATAGCTGCAACACCACCTTTGTAAGTATCTAAATGGTATATCTATGCATGCGTATAGTTTCTTTTAAAAGATTTAATTAATTATTGACAAACATATGGGAAAATGAAAATGCAGCCATCGATGGTGAAAGTGAGCAACATAGAGTTCAAAAACATAAGAGGAACTTATAACACCGAGTTCGGGGTGACTCTGAGATGCAGCTCCCTCGTGGCATGTGAGAATATAGCTCTTATCGACGTCAATCTTAAGCGTATCAATACCAATACGACAGAGAAGAAGCACCAAGAGAGTTTTAGTATGAAGGGCGGTCTTCAAGGCTTAGTGGTTTTTAACTCAACCTTTAACTAATTAGATTAAGTTCACCAAAAATAAAATAGAAGGTTATTTTTACAGAAATGTAGGGAGTGAACAAGAAACTCCAGGCTAAGTTCTTGCAAAGTTTTTCTTGATCAGTTTTCCAAGAAAAAAAAGAAAAAAAACGTGGAATTCTCTTCTTAACCTTGCTTGCTAGTTTTGATGGTATGTAAATCAGTGTGGCACACTCCACAATACAAGATTTTTACTGTCACATCATTTTCAACCATTGTCTCTGCATAGTAAGAAAATCAAACCAATGTAAATGGAACAGAGGCAGACAAAAATCGCTAAGAAATTATACGCTGATAGGAAGAAAAAAATACTAAAATGTAACGGTACGGACATAAACCAAAAAAGAGAAACGGAGTACGAGGAAGATCTTGGATTTTTGGTCTGAGAAGATATAATGGAACAAGAGACTGGTGAGAAGAATAAGAACCTTCTGGAGAAATTGAAAGGGGAGAGAAGGCCAGATTTGTCTCTGGCAGCCCAACCAAAGGCTTTGTTCGGATGCTCTGTTTCTGGAGATTTCGTCATTATTTTATTGTGTCTGTCTTCGTCTTGAGTGAGTGAGAGATTGGTTTGTGTTATGGGGTTGTTACGTGGGAGTGGTGCATATATGGGTACTAGTCTACTTACAGAGGAGAGGAAGTAGCTCGAGCTATTAATAACTCTTTTATTGCATTACATCGGTATATAGAATAATCTGCCATTTTTGGAAAAACATCTTAAAACAAAATGGCCACTAATTAGAGCGTCCCGTGATTTTGTTTGCATGGCCGATTTATTAGCACTTACACGCATGAGAATTAATGATAGTTGTTCAAAGGTTTGGCTGGAATGAGGATGTCGTTATTTGAAAATTTTGGTCAAAAAAAATAAAAATAAAAATAAAAATAAAATGAAGATGTCCTTTTACCATGCAAAAACCCATGTAAATGATTTCGATTAAGGATGTCATGATGACATTAACGTATACTATATTATAAAAATTGATTACAACCAAACGATGTTATCAATAGTGCATCGACTACTGTATCTTACCGAATTATAGTAAATAGTATTGTTAACATGTCTCCATCTTTCCAGTATTAGGTTTATATCGATTTCTTTGATGGCGAAATGATTACCAAATCATGATGGCTACGAGTGACCTAAAAAGCAAATACGTTCAATGCGGTTCTATATCGTTGTTACACCAAAATGTCATTTTTAACCTGCCTGTAGCTCAAAAAAAAAAAAAAAAAAAGTTTGTGAGCACCAAATATAAAAAGATCAATGGGACAAAATACCGCTAATTTAGATATATAACTGTGGGCTAACATTGTCGGTTGGATAAAATGTCCTTTAACTAAGGTTTTACTAATGTACCTAAAATCACTCGAACATATTTTTTGTAGTAAAAGAGATGGTTGTACATTTCTGTGTGTTTTATACAAATTTAGGTTTCTACAAATTTGATTATAACACTAATCTAAAAAGAAAACGATAAAGTATCATACAAAATCATTTTGTCACGCAAATTCTAAAATCAAAGTCTTATATATGATTGGTTGTTTGAATCTGCAATTTTTTTTTTTTTTTTTATTGCTGCTATGATCTTGGTTCCGTCACATACCTTTTGTTGTTACAGGAACAGAGGAATCTTTGAGATTTTAAGGTTATGAACAAAAAATAAATTCTTTACCACAAAAAGAAATGGTGCAAAACGAAGTTATGCTTCTGCGTATGCAATTTAGCAATTTAGCTAATGATTGTTTCTTGTACTAAATGGCTTCAAGTCTTGCTATGCTTAAGAGGAAGAGTGAAAATGTTACCAATGAACAAAATCTAAAGGAGTCGTCTTAAATTTTTGAAAGAATCGTTTTGATTTCTTTAGTGAAATGTTTAGATGAAAAATGATAACCTTTACGTTACGGTTTATAAATTGCCTTGAACTCTTGAAGAAAGGTTAAGATGAGTTTTGCTTAATGAGATGTTAATCAATATTGCTCACACTCATTTGTATTGTGAGTGTTAGGATTTATTTTTCTTCTTTATGTTGAGAGTATAGAAGTTAGATTTATAAATTAATATTTTTTTGCAAAAATAAATTTGTTTCTACTTTTTTTGTTCATCTTCATCTGATTCTAGACATTGTTAAATGTTAGGAAATAAAATTGCCACATAATTCAAAAATAAAAATATACAGTACTGTTTATTCCATCACTCAGCCCTAAAACACTTGACGCCGAGTTTTATGTTATCGTTTCACCGCCGTTTTGTTGTTCTTCCTGAGCTCTGGCCACGCTCTCTTTCTATCTCTCTCTGAAATTCGCTAATCTCTGTCGATTATTTCATCCCCAGGTAAGCTTCTTCCTCTTTAGCCCAATTTTAATTTCGCATTTCGCCTCTAAACGTAAAATTTCCTGCCATTTTCCATACACCTGTGTCAATTCTAAACCACAACAAAGCTCAGAGATTGATAAACCCTAGTTATTCCCATCATCGAGTACAAATTTCAAGACTTTATCAGGATTTAATCGGACTTTCAGGGATTCAACTGTTGCAGTGACGTAGAACACTGATTTCGGATGTGCCCTGTGTATTTGTGATTTTGGATCTGAATCTGTAGATAAAAAAAAATCGTTTTTTTTTCCTTCTTGTGTAGAGTCAGATTCAGCAAAATGGCTTTCTGCAATAAACTAAGCCGTCTCGTGAGGCAAGGAGCTTCCCAGAGAGAGAACGTCTCCGTGATCGGCTCTCTCAACAAGCAAACCGTAAAGTGTTTCTCTGCAGAGGCCACTCACCACAGGTACCACCAGGAGACACACAGTTTTCTGGAGCCGGAGAGCTATATCGATAGCTGGGAGGCCCCGAACGATCCCAAAGAGGCACAGAGAAAGCTTGCGCAGCTTAGGAGAGATTACGCACAGAAAGTGAAGGTGTACCGTAAAGAGTACATACATGAAATTGAGATGCTTCGGGTCGAGAAACAACTTAAGGACGAGGCGAGACTGCAGGCTGAACGAACCGCCAACGAGGAGAGGCGGCGGTTGAAGGCTGAGGCAGCTAAGGTCAGGGCTGAGGAACGCAAGATCGCTGAGGAAGAGTTCAGGAAAACCCTGGTACATTCACTTACTCTCTTCTCAGTTCTTCTTTCTTTTTGCATAGGTTCAGTACAGACTCTGTGTTAGTAAAAAACCATGATGGGTGTTTTAGTAGCTGTGTGAGATGATTGTTGAATAAAATGCGGGAAAAGGGTTTTGTATGGCATGCGATGAATCAAAGTTTTTTGTTCTCCTCTTGAAAGTTTCGAAATTTTTTCCTAGTTATGCACTTGTGGTTTAAGAAAAGGGTGTGCTGATGGAGTTTTATGGCCGTGGGATTGGATCAGTACTTATGCTTCAGGGTGTACTGTTAAATAGAGGGGGTGCTTATGCTTTGTGATCGAGAGAAAGGTTTTGAATTAGAGAGCTAATGGAGTTATATGGCTATAGTGATTGGATAATTGTTGCTTAACCTCAAGTGGAGGTTTTGATGTGAATCCTTTTGTAGGCAGTGAAACTTATTAGTTAGAGGCTACATATGTTTGAGCTGGAGGTAGAGGAAACACTGTACACACAAATGAGTATTCACTGCTTCATTTTAAATGTACTCGTGGCTGCAAAGTAACTACTTCCATGTTTCTGATTCTAATTTTAGTTCTTTATGTCTCTTGTTCGTAGCCTCGGAGCAGTAGTGATTTTAGTGCTTTTTGTGAGTTGTAAACCGGTTCAAAGAAACGCCTGAATCATAGACTTGATGTTTAAAATTTGCAGATGAATGAAAGAGCGGAAAAGCTGGAGTATTGGAGAATGGTTGGAGTAAAAAGGGAAGATAAGAAGAAAGAGAAAAAGACGCAATTGCATGAGCAGAGTTCATTGTGGATCGAGCCAAAAGAATTGGAGAAGAAGATTACAGAAGCGCTGGTTGAGTCCATTACTCTCTAATCCAAGCCCCCCTTTTCGTCTGAATCTTTGTTTTGAGAAACAATCACTTTAGTAGTCTTTGTTGGAGACAACTCTTTTCTTCTTCAAATAGAGAAAGAAAGCGAAGGCGTTTTCGGCCTTTTTGAATGAGTCACATAACGAGTATTAAAGTCCGTCTTGTGACCAATCTTGTTTGTGGTTTTGGTGACGTTAGATCATTAATAAGAACTTTCCTCTTGATTGTTATATCACTTACAACAATGCTTCTCGTGTCACACGAATCACCCACACACGAGGAATCCCAATTCTATTAGCTCAGCGTCACACTCTGAACTTGTGCTAATCACAATTGTTCTTTTGTTCAGTGGAAGAGAGGCTGATTCTATAAGAGTATCTCCAGACCTTCATTTGGTTTCACATGTAAATAATAATATTTTACCTCGAGACATCAGTAACAGTCTGTATCAATGATAAGCAAAAGATATAAAAAAAAACTTCATCATTTAGTGAAACTCGATATTAAATACATAGTACATGAAAAAAAAATCAAATGTTGAGTTCGAACAAAATCCGGTTAGATTTCGATTCTGTTTTAGAATTTGGGATACTTGGGTTCGTGACTGTGTTGAGTTTCAGTCAAATGTTCATACGTGTCACAGTTCTAATTTTATGTATGTCAGTACAGTAACATTGTTACGAAAAAAGCAAAATTGAACTATCTGACGTAGAAAAGAACAAAAAAACAAAACTGAACTATCATATTAAAAAATAACCTTTTTATAAAATGAAACTCAAAAAAAAAGGAAAAACACATAAAATGACAGGCTGGCAAATTGGAAAATGATTGAAGTAGGGCCCATTTAATATTCAGCCTCCCCTGTCACTGTCAGCCACATGGCTTGAGTCTCTCCCCCTCTTTCAGTTCTCCCTTACTCTTTTGTTTCTTCTTATATTCCCTCATTTAGTGCATCTCTTCCTATATATTTCAAACTTTTTACTCATTTTAAATTCTCTTTTTTTTGACCGCTCATTGTCTTAATTAATTTTCAATATAATGATTTAAATGTTAAAAGTTGATCCTTTTCGGCAAAAAGAAAAATAATAAATAAATCTTAAACTATATATATGTGTATATTTGCCATATATTATATGTTCGTTTGTGAACACATCAAAGTCTTTTGTTAGATTCTCTGACAAAAGAGCTTTACGAATTGTTACTTTGTTGGTTTTATTAATTTTAAGGTGAATATTTTGGATAATATATATATATATTTTGAAAAATGGTAAACTCTAGAGTAACTTTTAACACACAAAACAATAGTAACTAGTAAGTAGAAATTATTATATCAAATGTGGACGGACGAACTATAGACATCTAAACAATAACACTATTAACAGTATACCCACTGACGGCGACGAATCAATGAAAAAGGAAGACATAATAAAACCAAAACACTAGAAGAACAGTCAAACATTTACAATTATGTATATTTCAAAAAACAAATTACATAAAAAAAAAACCAAACACATGCACTCTCCAAATAAAACACAAAATATCGATATCAGACAATCATTTTTGTCTTTATTTCTTTTCTCCTCCATATCCTAATTTAAGAAGAGAGAAAAAATGTCCTCCTCTCTCTCTCACTTTTCTCTCTCCGGTGTCAAGAAGATCTGTCGGCGGTAATACGTTACGAATATTCTTAAACTGTTTATGCCAAAACTGGTATTAATTGCAAATTAGTGGAAATAATGGTGAGATTTAAATACCGTCAATTAAAAAGTACTCTGATTGTTTTTCATTTACCTTATTCCATATTTTTCTTTTTCCCACCTGGCAAGTTTCTATTCTTCTCCATTTTTCCTACATATGCCCAATAATGTTTTATATAACGCATAAAAAAGGCTGTCATTTTGGCGTTAATCTTTTTCCTACCTTATTTGCTTCTTTCTTCCTTTTTTTTTATGAAATTATTTTATACTATAAAAAATAATAATTCGTCTTTTCTATATCATTTATACTGTTTGCTCAATTTAAAAAAAAAAAAAAAAGTTCCCTTGTCTCTGTGGCCATAACTCTTCTCCTTCTTCTTTGCTTCTCCTCCTTGTGCTGCTTCTTTCTCACTGTCGGGTTGCATTTGGCGCGAAAAGCTCTTCCCTTTTTCTGCTTTCTTTCTGCTCGTTTTCTGACAGCTTTTTTTTGTTACAAATAAAGATGCCAGTAAGTACGTGTTCTGATTTTTTTTTTTTGTTTAGTTCTTAAGTCTCTTGTACTTTGCTGTCTTGTCCGAAATTGGTTGATTGAAATTTTAAGTCAGAAGCTTGAACTCGAATCTATCAATCGTTGCTTCATTGATTTAACACAGTTCGTTATGATTTCTGGGTCTCCGTCATTTAGCTGGATCTGTTGGGAAAATCGTAGCTTCCTTAATTTTTTATATGTATCGATTCGGATCTGAACTTGGAATCAGACTGTGCTGATTTGGTATTTCGTTTGGTGTTTTGTCAGGTGGCACTAGTTTTGCTGCTGGCATTGAGCAGTGTGATTCCGATTAACGCGAGAGGTTACGGCGCCGGAAGCGTGTGCGATCTTGGTCGGAGACCGAACACGAGACCACACAGTGTCTCAATTTTGGAGTTTGGTGCTGTGGGAGATGGGAAAACGCTGAACACGCTTGCCTTTCAGAATGCTGTTTTCTATCTAAAGTCTTTCGCCGATAAAGGCGGTGCTCAGCTCTATGTTCCTCCGGGACGGTGGCTCACCGGAAGTTTCAATCTCACCAGCCATCTCACTCTCTTTCTTGAGAAAGACGCCGTCATTCTTGCCTCGCAGGTGTGTGTGTTTGTGTGTGTGTGTGTGCCTCTCTTTGTATATTGTTTTGATCATTCTAAAGAGCAAGATCAGAGATTGTGCCTTTGTGGCTTCACTATTAGAAGTAGTTTATTAACTTCAGTGATTTGTGGTTTGAGTCAAAGTCTGTTGCTTTATCATTCATGTGGAAAGGATTCTGATGTGTTGAAAACCCCAAACTTGGTTCAGTAGTTAGGCATTGTGACTTAGGATTGTTTCAAAGCTGCAGAGAGTGATTCTGTAATCTTGCGAGAATTTACCAATCACAAAATTATGTTGAATCTTGAATTTGGAACTGATTATGGATAATGGCAGTAATCAAAGAAGAAAGAACTCAATTTTTTTTTTTTTTTGCTATGTTCAATGGTTCTGCACTGTAAAACCAAACAGAGAACATTTGTGTATTTGTTTCTCAATTTTGGTCTCCTTTTCGTCTTACATCGATCAACTGTATGAAGGATCCATCGCACTGGAAAGTCGTGGATCCGTTACCGTCATATGGCCGAGGCATTGATCTACCCGGGAAGAGATACATGAGTTTGATAAACGGCGATAAGCTACATGATGTAGTAGTTACAGGTTACATACAACATGATTTGATCTTTTCATTTTGCTTGTTAATGCTAAATAAATAAAAAAAACTCACCGTTATATATATCCCATATTCATCTGTTTGTAGGTGATAACGGTACTATAGATGGACAAGGCCTGCTTTGGTGGGATCGGTTTAATTCTCGTTCCTTAAAGTACAGTCGACCACATCTCGTCGAGTTTATCTCTTCCGAAAATGTCGTTGTCTCAAATCTTACGTTCTTGAATGCTCCTGCTTATACTATCCATTCGGTTTATTGTAGGTAAGAGAAAAATTCTGAAAACGTCCCTTCTTATCATTACAGCTTCTTTTGGTTTAGAAATCATTTTGGTAAAATCTTGACTCTGGTCACTAATATTGTGCAGCCATGTATTGATTCATAAAGTAACAGCTAACACTTCTCCAGAATCTCCTTACACCATCGGCATTGTCCCTGGTGAGTGATTACGTTTTCAAAATGAAACCACAATCTTTAGTATTTGAATTTGTTTATCTTAAAACTGTAATTTACGGTTTTCGTTTTGCTTTCTTCTATCAGATTCTTCTGATAATGTGTGCATCCAAGATTGTAGAATCAACATGGGATACGATGCAATTTCACTAAAAAGTGGTTGGGACGAGTACGGTACATCGTATGCAAGACCAACTGCAAATGTGCAGATAAGAGATGTTTACCTCCGAGCAGCTTCAGGTTCCTCTATTTCCTTTGGCAGTGAAATGTCAGGTGGCATATCTGATGTCGTGGTCCGAGACGCGCACATACACAGCTCCTTCTCCGGGATTGCCTTTAGAACAACGAGAGGAAGAGGCGGTTACATTAAAGAGATCGATGTTTCCAACGTCCACATGGTTAACGTTGATACTGCGTTTTTGGCCAATGGTAGCTTCGGGACTCACCCGGATTCCGGTTTCGATGCAAACGCTTTCCCTCTGGTGAGTCACATCAGGTTACGTGACGTATACGGAGAGAACATAAGCGTCGCCGGATGTTTCTTTGGAACCAAAGAGTCTCCTTTCACTTCGGTTTTGCTGTCGAATATCTCTCTGTCGATGAAGAACTCGGGTTCTTCTGATGATTCTTGGCAATGCTCATATGTTGAAGGCTCTTCGGACTCCGTTGTCCCTGAACCATGCTCAGAGCTCGAAAGTTCCTATGGCATAGCTGTGGCCTTGTGAGAAAAAAGAAGCTTCTTTTTCGGATGTCTCCATGATTCATCATATTTGTTTTTTAAGTTAGCAAAAAAAGGTCAGATTCTTTCATTTTCACAAAATAAACCACAGTGTGTAGACTTTACCTGTTCCCCATTTCCCCTCCATTGTTGGTGCTTTTTCCCTGTTGTTTGCAGCTTGTGAGATTCATATATCTGTACAGGTTCATTTCTTCATTCATGTGTAACCCGACAAAATTTTGTTCAGTGGAGATTCTTCACATGGCTTAAGAAAAGATCTCTTTCATCATCACTTTTGTTTTGTTATTCTCTGCAGATTTCCCCTGTCAAGCTTTTTAACTTTCATTTTTGCTTGTTTTTAGCGTTCCCACCTAACTCCTAACAGTTAGCAAAACAAACAACTACTTTTTTTTTCCCGGAAGAGCATATTTGTCGGCCTTTTTACAAAACTAGGCCCAATAACGAATAGCCCAATAGTGAAGAGCTGCTTCGTACGGGAAAAAAAAAAAAACCATTCGCTACCAAACACACCCCTTCATTTCCCACCATCTTCCTCTTTTCGCCACATCTGTAATATTAATTTTCCGCTGTTTCAACCAAATTTTTATTAATATATTATGCTAATGAGTGTATGCCACTAGAAATTGATATAAATCCCTTGAGTTTTTTTTTTCTTTTCCTTCTTCTCTTTTTTTCATTGTTGATAAAATAATATAGTCAAAATTCCCAATCCTTCATCTTCCCAATCTCTAAAACCCTAGACTCACTTCGGAGTTTCTTCCAACTCTAGCAGACAAACCCAAGAAGTACCTTTTTACTCTTCTCTTCTTTTGTTTTTCCCGGGGAGAGAAATTTGACTGTTTTTTTTTTTTTGTTTTGTTTGTAATCTTGTTCGATTTTTGCTTCATCTGGGTTTTTTTTTTTTTTTTTTTTATTTCGAGCGATCGATTTTCCGTTTTGCACAATGTCGGGTTCTGGAGGAGTTTCAATCGCGCGCACAGCGATCCGCGGTGAGAATCGGTTCTACAACCCGCCGCCGATGCGGAGGATGCAGCAAGAGGCGCAATTGCAGCAGCAGCAGCAGTTGAGGGAGAAGCAGCGACGTGAAGAAGAAGAAGGGGAGATGTTGATGGACAAGGAGCGCAGGGCGGCTGCGACTGCCGTGATGCCGCCGCCTCGCGCCAGGAAAGGGCTCGGCGTTGTGGGTCAGACGGAGAGCAAGAATCGGGTGGTTTCCGGGTCGGAAGTATGCGTCGGCTCGTCTGATTCTTCCGGGTCGGGTCGGACTCAGAGCGACGGGTCCAACTTGGATCGGTTCTTGGAGCACACCACTCCCGTTGTTCCTGCCCGGTTTCTCCCCACGGTAAGACGATTCTCCCAAATCTTTCTGGTTGAGAAGTTGGAAATGTCATTAATGGCTTCTTGAAACCGGAGATTATCGTCTACTGTGTTGACTTTTAGTGGAGGATGTGTATTGCTGATCGAACGTAGTTGATGAGAGTTTTGGTCATACTTGGAGTTTGAATTGGTTTTTATCATGTGATTTTGAGTATGGAACTTAGTGCAAGATATGTTTTTTTTTGTTTCAATCTTTTGAGCATTGCTTATGGCTGCTTTTTCTCAGAGGAGCAAGCGGGAAGCTAAAACCCGTGAATCGGAGTGCCATAGATATTTTGTTCTTGAGGATCTGTGGGAGTCATTTGCAGAGTGGAGTGCGTATGGTGCAGGTGTTCCTCTGCAAATGCACGGGAGTGACTCCACTGTGCAGTATTATGTGCCTTACTTATCCGGCATTCAGTTGTATGTAGACCCATCTAAGAGGCCCAGGTTAGATTCTTGAGATGTTTCAGATCTCTCTCCTTGTATCAGACGATAAGAGCACTGTCATAGTTTTGATCAATTGCCTTTTTTTTTCAAAACAGAAATCCAGTTGAAGATAACGAAGGAAGTAGTGAAGGAAGCAGCAACAGTAGGCTTGAGAAGTCACCTAATCATGCTAAGACTGTGCAGAATACTGTGGACTTGAGTGTCGGCGAACTGAATAAAATTAGTCTGAGGGATCAGTCTGTTGCTGGTTCGTTGTCAAGTGGAGAGACTGAGATCAGCAATCCTCAGGGACGATTACTATTTGAGTACTTGGAGTATGAGCCTCCGTTTGCCCGTGAACCTCTGGCTAACAAAGTAAGATGTACTTCTAAGCAAAGACAGCTCTTTTCGTTGTTATAACTTTCCTTATTTTAACAGAGTTTTTCATACACCAGGTCTCGGATCTCGCGTCAAGGTTTCCTGAGCTAATGACATTCAGGAGCTGCGATCTTTCTCCATCAAGTTGGGTCTCTGTGTCATGGTATGTTTTGTGTTAACACTCTTTTGAGTCTTGAGATCGTTGTTTCAGAATACATGTAGTTGGACCTGAAATGGGCGATTGATTTGTTGGTTGTTAGGTATCCAATATACAGAATACCGGTTGGTCCAACACTACAAAATCTCGATGCCTGCTTTCTAACTTTCCACTCTCTCTCGACATCACCTCCTCAGAGTAAGTAACCTATGCTTTTACTGTTAACAAGATATTGTCTCTATGTGCTGATTGCCACAAGCCTAGTGGGGATCTCTTATACAGTATTGTATTTGCGTTTGAAGCAGGTTCTATGGGTTGTAGTGATTTGGAGCCATCCATAAAGAAGCTCCCGTTGCCAACTTTTGGACTTGCATCGTATAAACTGAAAGTATCTGTGTGGAACCAAAACAGAGCTCAAGAATGCCAGAAGATGTCTTCGTTAGTACAAGCTGCAGACAAGTGGCTTAAGCGTCTGCAAGTCAATCATCCGGACTTCAGATTCTTCACCTCTAATAGCCCACAAATGAGGTGAAAATGAATGAGACGTTCTTGACCCTTGATTTGGCTCTGGTCTGATCAGAAGACCCATTATCTGCTGCAGCTGCTCAACTTCACATATAAAGTTTCTCTTACACCCGAAGAACCACCAGATACTTGGCTAGACTCTTGCGTGTTTTTCAGGCGATTTAAGAGTCTGCTGTTTCGTTTCAAGAAGATGCTTTGTGAATTGTAGCCTAATCTTCCCCTTTTCTTCTACTGAAACTAGTCTTCTGCTTTTCCCTGAATAAGGATTTGAGGAGCCCATATAGTGAAATTTGCGAGGAGTGCTTTTGTAATGTTGAGGTGCAACACTTTTTGTGATACAATTTGATTGCTGAACTGAAAATTCAGCTTTGGCTTATATATCAAATTTCTTACAGAGTTTTAGTAATGAAAAATTTCTTAGCTATGAATATTTTCCGAGTCCTGACTCCTGAGTAGAGGAACAAGTACTTTCATTTTCCTGATTTTGCACAATAAGGTTCCCAAAAGTACATTCGATTACAACATATATACTCTTAAACCACGAGGCTTTACTACATACATTGAGACTAGTGTAATGATTTCTTGATTCGCCATTACCAGGTCTTCACTTAGAGATTAGAACTTGTCTTCAAGCATCATTGACAACATCAAACCCCTCACAAACTCGCTCTTTCTTGCCTTCTCTTGATCTTCTTCGTTCGGGAGTGATACTTGTCGTATGTCGCTGTAAAGAAATTAGAAAAACACGGTTAATGTGAACATAAACCGAAGCAACATATTTCTTTGTAGATTACAGTAAGAAACTTTACCTTTTAGGTGTGTCCTTAGGTGAGACTTTTGTAACCGAGTCTCCTTCAGTGATGGGTATAGCCGAAGGAGGATTAAATATAAAAGATGAGAGCAAATGATCAGAATCTATATTGGATGAAGGAATGAAAGTGGCAGATCCTCCAAGAGACTGTAAGCTTGCTTCCCGAAACTCATTCTTAAGCGTAAGATAGGCAGAGTTATATCCACCTCTACGCAACCTTCTCCTTCGCTGCACGTAAACAATCTCACACATCAAGGAATACCAAAACGACTCTTCGAAATCTAGCAATGAATAAGAATGAAACAGAACAAAAACTTAGAAGAGAGTTCCAATTTTCAAAAAGGATATCTTAAAAACGTTTCCGTGTTGCGTTGTAATATGGCCAACGATGTCCGATCCCACCCTCTGTGTGCAGACAGGACAAACCTAGTTAAATAGAGCAAATCAAAACTCTTTTAGTTTACCATTTAAGCACTCTGTTCTTACATCAAAGACAGCACATGAAAGAACCTAACTCACTAAAGCATTCTCAGAGTGAGAGCACGGACTCAATTGGTAATAACGGATTACAATGCTCACTTGATTAAGCTAAACAATGCCTAAAAGAACAACCTTTAGCATTTCAAGCAAGCTTTAAGCTCAGACCTAAACATAAACCTAAGAATAATGTAAAAATTTGTTAATTGTGAAGATGGTTACCCCGTTCTTGGACTCCACAGGATGCTCTTCATCAATATGACAACAAAGCCCAACAATATCGAACTCATCTGCACAAAACGGGCAGATAAACTCTGCTTTCAAATTGTCTTCTCCTTCGACATCTCCCAGGTACGATTCTGCCACCAAAATTTTTCACCATTAAATTAGAAACAAAAAAAAGGGAAACTTTACATATACAATCAAAGCCATGTACTTTTCATTCTCCAAATCGAATCAACCTGGTCGAGATTGGCAACGCCGCGAAGAAGACGATGATGAATACACGGAGGGACAATTGATCCACCAATTCGACTCCATTTCCTCTTATTGTTGTTAGAGGTTACGAATAGAAAATGTAAAGATCTACAGGATAAGCTATTGAGATTAGCAAAAAAAATCGAATCCGAATTAACGAAACCCTAGAAGGATGTGAGAGAGAGAGAGAGAGAGAGTGAGTGGAAGCAAGAGCTGTGAGAGAACTCGTGGGTGGGTTGGAGTTTTGTTCTTATTTAATATTTACAGTGTTGACCAGACCGAACAAGTGGTTCTTGTACCGCGTACTGTATATGTTTCACTTTCACACGTGTGGCTTTTGTGCCTCGTGTGTTTTTTTCCTTCTATTAATCTTTTTGCGACTTGCTTTTTTACCCGCGCTATACTTTGGAGTTTGCCTTTAAAAAAAATAAAATAAAATCAAAAATAGCTAACAAGAACTCGAATTCGATAATTCCAATCTAAAAGAAAATCGAATTAAGCCCTATAAAATCTAAGCACGGCACTGAATATTTAACGACCAATTTTGAGTAGAAAATAAAAAGGTTCAAATGTTAGGATGAGAAATTGGACATCAAATTAACACAACCTTGGGTTATATTGGTGTAAGATAACATGCTATTATTCATATAATCAAAGCTTTATACACATAACAACTGGCTATGGATAAAAAAACTAATTTCAAAATTTATAGACGGAAAATTGAAATTAAAAACAAAAAACACAATGAGTATATAATATTTTATTCATGTCAAAAAAAAAAGTCATGTGATAGAATTATGTAATATATTATCTACTAACAGATCGACTGATAAGTCTGATATGATAACAGACGGGAAACTAAAATTTCAAATTTTGTAGGCAGGAAAATTCTTTTTACGAAACCTACTAATACGTACACACAATATATATGTACACAAGTTTGTTGCATTATGAGTGTTGTACGTTCTACAATGATTGGTCGCGTTTTTATCGTACTATGATTAATTAGTTACAGAATTGTTAACAAATGTATATGATAGATGTTAACGGGGTCTCTCCCAATCTAAAATTCTGTTACTAAAATGTGCTTCGGGGTCCACTTTGAGTTGTTTTCTAATTAAAAATGATTAATAAATTATGCGATAATTATCAGCTTTTTTGATTGTTTAAAAGGGCAAAGCATCCTCGGAGAAAAGGCCGGAACTCCATCAGAAACTCACGCAGCATTTTATGCAGCCATCAGTATTAAAAAATGGCTGAGAAATGGGACCACCGTGACTTTCCGGCCTGTGACGACGGTGGTAGTCCAAATAGAGATCATCAAAACTCCTTTTCCGGCAAGTTCCCCGAGGGTTTGCGTGTGTTAGTCTTTGATGAAGATCCCCAATATTTATCTTTATTGGAGAAACATCTCCAAGAGTTTCAATACAGAGGTAGCTATTTTGATTGATTCTTTTAGGAGTTTTTTAAGCTGATTAATTCTCTGAAGTCCATATCTAATCGCAATGTGTATTTTTGATTAATTTTAGGTATTTTTGAAGTTGATCTAAGTGTTGTTAGACGAATTGGATCTGAGTGATGTTAATATGATTTATGAAGTCCATATTAAATCAAAATGTGTATTTTTTGTAGTGACTAGATGCAACGAAGAGGAGAGAGCTGTGTATTTGCTCCGCAACCATACGAATAGGTTCGACATTGCTATTATAGAAGCAGAAAATTCAAACGGCGATAGATTCCGACTAATCTCGGAAATTGGATCGGAAATGGATCTTCCAATCATTAGTAAGAATATAATCATATTTTAATTTTTTTTTTTTTGACAACAATCATATTTTAATTATAATGTTCGTTTGCATTAAATCAAGCATAATTTCGAAAGTTCATTTTGAAAAATTGCGAAAAATAAAATAAAAACATTTTGATTTATTTTGCAGTAATGTCTAAAGACGATTCAGTAGAATCGGTGATCAACTGGATGAGGAACGGTGTTTGCGACTATCTTATAAAGCCGATACGACCTGAAGATCTACGTTTGATATTCAAACACGTGGTCAAGAAGATACAAGTGAGGAGGAGTGTGGCGGTGGCCGGAGAGGCGGCAGAAGAGAACGCAGCAGGCGAGAATTCATCCTCTGTGGGAGATTCCACCATAAGAAACCCTAACAAGAGAAAAAGAGGCATTTTCCTTGATGGACAAGTCAACGAGGAGGATCATGATCGTGATCGTGATTCCACCACCAAAAAAAGGCGAGTCGTGTGGGACGAAAAGCTTCACAACAAGTTTATCGAGGCAGTGCAATACCTTGGCAATAACGAGAGTGAGTCAAATTCATTAGGGTTCATATATAGTTACTAGGGTTTATCATTTCAGATTTATTATTTCTCTCTCTATTGAACAATGTGATTGCATGCAGAAGCTGTTCCGAAGAAAATTTTAGAGAGGATGAATGTTGATGGCATCACTCGAGAAAACGTAGCCAGCCATCTCCAGGTAACGTTTCTTCTTATACCACCACAGTACCTAATTAAAATTTAGAAATCCCAAACAAACATAAAGTAAACATGATTCTAAGATTACAGATTAAACGAATGGTTGTATGTATATAGGATACATAAAATTGCACTCAGATTTGACAACATGAAGTTTCAGGATATCTAGTCCATTCTCAACTTTAGTAGGAATCTATATATACATAAGGTTTCGATGAACCTCACCTACAAATCTTGAACTCTAATTTATACTAAAAAAAAAAACTATTGTAAACATACTATAGATAGCATTGATATTTTCTGTATACTTTTGACCAATCATAATATAGGGAGTATATTTTAACATTGTTGGGGCTAAATCATCAGAGATACGAAATTACAGAAATCAAAATGGAGTATGGAAGTGAATATAGCTAGAGGATTAACGGGACTTAGCATTTGAATAACATAACTAACAGAATACTAATAAAATTAGTTGATAAGAATCCTTATTTTGTTTTACATGTATCGTATTGATCTCCTTTCTCTTTCTAAATTGGGTGTGTAGAAATATCGGTTGAATATGAAGAAGCTGAACGATCAAAACGAAGGAGTGGAGAGGAACCGAGTTTTAATAACTCCGCAAGAAAGAGGAATGTATGGTGGAGAAGGAGCAACCGAATTCTACAGAGGAAGAAATGTCCAATTCCCAACACATCATATGAACAACATTCCTCAACTTTCTTCTGTGCAGCAGCAAAGCACAAGCCCTAATCTCATGACACAGCTCATATCACCTCTCGGACATCGTCATCTTGATGACGTCTCTGTCGTACTTTCCGGTAGAAACCTAGTGATGACTCACCAACATCATCATCACCACCACCATCAAACCTCAGATTATGCATGCAATGGTGAAAAGAGCCCGACTTATAATGATGACGAGCTTGGGTTTTCAAGTTTGACTTCCTTGTTCACGCAAAACTCAGAAGATATGAGTTTGTTTCATCTCCAAGACCCGGTGATGCTTCCCAACGATAATCAATTGTCTGCCAATCCACAACTGATGATGAACGTTCATGACACTCATGAACCATCGATGTTGCATATACCTTCGTTTCCTTCATCTTTCACACATAGTTCCTTTATTGATCAGGTGATGTTTATGTTTCTTATGATTTTTATAATTCTTTTATAGACATCAAGTGGATCCATATCTATATCTTTGTTGTGTGTGTATTTCGTACAGAAAGATACCATCAAAATGGTGGATGTAAGTGGGGGATTCAGCTACAACAATAGTTACTCTGTGGACAGCAACATGCTAACTTAACCGTTGAGATCAGGTTTCTTGAGGATTAATCCTAATCCGGGATCTGCAAGAAAGGATCAGGATGGGTCAAGATCGAGGCTAAGTATGAAAACCGTAGACAAGTAGAGAGATGAAGTCCGACCATGTAGGTTAATGTTGATATTGTCATTTAATTCTAAGGTTTAGGATTTATGGTTTAATTTCTAGACAACGCTTTCTCTTCTCTCTCTTTTGTATATTCTTGTGTTAGCATGCATGGATTGCTTGCGATGCATGGAATAATATTTTGAAACAGTATAATTTTTTTGTTAGTAGTTTCAACTTTTCTATAAATGAGTTATATCTCCTACTCCAACTAACATTGTGGTCGTAGTAGCTCATACCTTTTAAATGTCATAGCTTATACCTGTCATTAAACTCTTCTCTTGTATTCATTTTGTTCATTTCTTGCTTTGTATCTGCGCACATAGATAAATTCAAGAGGAAACATCCACATTGATCAAAAATTATAAGAATAAGCAAAACATTCATGTGAAGACAACCATTAAGTTTCGCATAAAAAAACTGATAATTTGAAACCACGAAAAAATAGTTTTTTTCTTTTTAAGATAAACTAACCACCAAAAATAGTTTCGAAGATATAATATAGCTAGAAGAAGATAACCATTTCTTTAAGAATTACAATTGTTTATTTTGCAAAAGAATTTTTTTTTAAAAAAAGACTGTGTTTAAAAAAAAATACTGCACAAGCAAGATATAATCTAAATTAAACGATTAGACAAACCAAATAGCCGACTTTTTTTATTGTGACTGATCTAAAAAAACACACTCCGGGGGCGCTAGTTTTGCAGTAAAGTGAACAGCTCCTTAGAAATAAAGACCTGAGATATGTCAAGATTTGTTATATTTTCTCCATAATCCAAGAACTATCACTATTCAAATGACCATAAAATTCTACTACAAATACAGTATATAACAAAAACCAAAAGATGCATATATTTTTGAAAAGATCTAACTGTTAACAAAAAAAACAAAAAAATTACAGCCTCATATAACGTAACTATTGTATAATTGTTTCCAACACTTTCATATGTTCTTTTAATAAAAACAATCTCAAACGTGATCCAACTCTAAATCGACACAAATAAGTTTTGACATGATTACTTCGTTGGTGTAGACCAATGTCCGAAAGCGAAAATTTGTTACATCTTCGGATTCGATTATAATCATATCAAACATTTCGTGTAGAAATTCGATCGGTCATTGAGTTCCGGCCTGTTGCTTTATCCGTGGTGAGATTGCCGAGACTTTCTTATATAGAAATGCTTGCTCATCTCCACGATTAATCGGACGCTGCAACAAACCCACATACTATAGTACTACAACTAAGAAAGAAAGAAATTGATATGGTTTTATAAGCAAGTGAAAAATGATTAATGGATAACAAAGGAAACATCTCAAGTGTTGGGTCATTAAGTTTCCGTCTGTTGCTTTACCCGTGGTACGTAGTTAAATAGTGAAATGTCGAATGCTTGCTCATCTCCATGATAAATCGGACGCTAACAAAACCAAACACAATACTATTTTTTTCATGATAATGTTAGCGTCCGATTTATCATGGAGATGAGCAAGCATTACACATTTCACTATCCCAAAATTGAAAAGAGAATTTATTAAAGATAAAATAAAAAGGTCGAAGAACTTATATAATTAGATCCAAGAAAACCTTAACCATTCTTAGAAATGCCTGATAAAAAACAATTTAAACTTTCTTAGCCTTAAAAACAAAAGCAGGCTAATTTATTAACGATAGTTTAATGATCATTATCATGTTGATGATCAAGGTTACCTATCGATTTATGTTGAAAGCATCCGTTTTCTATCATTGCGAAATTTACATGGAGACTGAAAATTCCGCAGATTTATTATAATTTGGCATGAGACCTCTCTTATAAACAAAAGTAAGCTTAAAAAATAGAACAAAAGAACCAAAGAAAACAAACTTGAAAGAAGTGAAAGGGGTTCAAAAGAAAACCGTGTAAAGATGGGAGATGTCACTGGGGGTTTATATACCAATCTTCAAAGTAAGAATATACAGTAGATGATGTCAAAAACAAAAAAGAATATACAGTAGATAAGATGCTCGAAGAGTTTGAAATTATTAAAAGATTATTAAAGATTTTTCTTAAGATTTTTTTTATTTATCCTATGGGATTACGGCTAAGAATCTGGCTGCCCAAAAACAAGATTGAATTAGTAAATACTGAATACTAATAATGATCTAAATATATGCCCTTAAGGTTGAGAAAGCATAAAAGGAGACTTGGGACGATATATAGCCTAAAGGTTAAAGTAAAACCTATTTTTATACAATTGTATCTTAATCCGGTTAGAAAGATCCCTATCATAATATTTGTAAACCAAAGCTGCAGAAAATGTCGTATTAGCTTAGTTACATAGTTTTCATGGCTAAGTCACAAAATCTGTGGCTACATATCATCTCAGCTCACATTAGTAATGTACCATGAAAATAGTTCGTAGCTAAAAGACCGTTATCAATAATCCGTCACTGACCACGGATTAGCAACTCACCATTATGTGGCCAAAAATGATCATGACTTAACCAATGTCTTTTTCTATTATGGCCATGGTTTTTTTTGTAACCAATATTTTGGGAAGGCCACATATTTATTTAGCCATTATTTTTTCCCCCGTATTGATTTTTTTGCTAAAAATATATAAACATTAACGAGCCAATAGTTCTTGAAGTGGGTTCAGTAATATTTGGTGAGACGAAGCTTTAACCCGTTGAGAAAGACAGACAGTGACAAAAGAGTACACAAAACCAAATACTTATGGTATTAAAATGCAAAGCAAGAAATCTACAATGCATTGGTACTTCAAACAACTGAAGTCGCATTAAGTAAAAGATCAAATTAATTTTACAAAACGAATTAATCAATCAACAAAGCATAATATATAAACCCTAGAAAAGATTACAATTAAATCATAAACGCCGCAGCAAAAATGGCGATGATATACGACAACACCGTAATAAACCCATTTCTTCTTCCACCACTTGCCAACGGAAGCACATCGGGAAGCAAACATTCCTCGCCGTTGAATATAACTTTCGCCGGAAACCCGTCTCGTTCCGCCACGTTAATCCCCGGCGTGAGCTTCTTGCTGAACTGTATCACAGATTGCTGTTTACCCGGAACCCTAAGATTCTTCTTCGGATCTAGTTCATCGCGTTCCGCCACAAGATATTCCAGACCAGGAAGACCTTCCATGAAGATGGTGTTGTTGACACCTCCGTCAACGCTAAGGAGACTCGCGTTGAACGAATACGCTTTCTCGAATCCACGAATCGCCGGTTTCTTCATCTGAACCGCTAAAAACCAGTCGGGGAAATCGATTCCTCCCCAGTTGAAAATCGTGATCCTCGCGGTCCAGCCGCCTCTATAATCCGACGCCATGTGCCAATTAATCGAGACGCCGCAGTTATCGCCGCACGGCATCGGATTGGGGATGGTTTTGTGTTTGAGTGCGTTCCACGCCACCGTAAGTGATGTTCTGTTCTCGAAAGGCAAGAGAAGAGCGTCTGGAGGGATGAGAAGCGGCGGAGACTCAGCGCTGCAAGTACGTCGCGTTTCGGAAACGCAACCGCAAGCGCAGGTGTTGCAAGGGATGATCGAGTCGTTGAAGAAAGCGGAGAAGGAAACGCAGCATTTCGGTGTCTCTGTTTTGACGTTTGTGATGTTGCAAACAATTTGCCAGCTGGCGAAAGATGATTTGTTAGTGGGCATACCGCTCGGATCCGGATAGAAAGTCGGGCTGACCCGAACCGGTGGCCCGCATGAGTAATCCGGGTTAAGCGTTCCTTTGATCCTCCAGTTTTGAGGCGGGAAAAGCGCGGATCGGTTGAAATCGGGAGGCATTTTGGAGACTTGCATGGTGAAGACGGAGGCTGATTTTGAAGGGTCCATGACACGTGGCAATATCGTACCGTTTCTGCAGCAAGAAGGGATTTTGCCTAAAGTAGGGTCCTCTGCTTTCGTGGGAGGCAAGTCTACGATGACGGGACGTCTCTCACAGGTGAGAACGTCGGCGAAATCGAGGCCGGTGTAGATTTTGGACTGTGGACCGAAGATGCATTTCGTGGCGTCAACGACCGTTGGATACGCGCCTTGCATTTTCTGTATGAACTCGTCTCGCTTCCAGTCGAAGCTAAGCTCCCAATGGTCGAGCCGGCCTAGCGGGTTGTGGTTCTCCATGGTTACTTCGGCTAGGTAGTTCTGGTCGTAGGCTCGGACCACATCGTACATTATGGTCAAGTCTCCGGGCTGTCGTGGAAGGAATTTATCGGTGATTAATGTTGTGTTGACTTTAATCGTTGGGTCTCTCTTGCAGCACGTTGTTATCTCTCTTTTGCCTAAAAAGAGCCCATAAAAACTCGTTTAGTCAGAAACTTAAAAAATACTTTTGCACTTCAAATTTGTGTCCATTAACAATTTTTTAATTTTGTAGAGGGAATCAATTAAATTAAACTTAAATGTAGCATAAAAAAAACTGAAAAATCCAAGTAATCTAAAATGGAATTGAAGATATTAAAATTAAATAAAAACTAACAGAACACTATATGAAGATTAAAAAAAAAACCATTAAGAAAAAAATGGAATTGATTGGAGTAATTACTTAGCGGAGTAGGAGGAGTAGGCTCAGGACAGAGCCAACCATCATTAACAAGTGATATGTTGGATGGCATAGGAATCTCCGGAGGAGTCACCATGAACTGAGTCCCGACGAGCTCGATCTTAGCTGTCATCTGTTTTAAGTCTCCGGCGGTTTGAATGGCCGTTTTGAGGTCGGAGACAGGATAGCCACCTAAGATGGTGCCGTTTCCTACCAGAGCAGGAAGCTCTGTTCCGTTGACGATTAACGCATTGGCGGCGGAAATAAGGATCTCGCGGTGACGGAATCCGACGAACACTCTCCACTCTTTGAGTTCTTCACGGCCGTTGTTGAGAACAGTTAGGACTGATTCGAACCGGTAAGGCTGATCCGTTGTCTCGTTCGGAGGGATCTTGCGACCGAGTTTGAATCTGTAGGAGAGGAATATTCCGTTGCAGAGTTCTGAGGGTGGAATCGGCGCCGGCGCTGGAGCCGTTATCGTCGGAGGAAGCTGAGACAGAGACGGAGGTGTAGCGGTGAATACGAGAAACACTCCGAATATAATCGGAAGGAGAAA